GTTTCCTTGATTGTCGATATGGGTTTTTCACCCGGCCCACGAGGGCGCGGTTTTCCTGTATAGTAAGTTGTTGAAGGTCCGGCAAGCCCAAGGGCACAGCGGTGTAGGAATAATAACCCACCCCTTGTCCTTGTTGTAGTCGACGCCTACCAACTTAACCTTACACAGGCGGGCGAGGTTGTTGGTGGGCACAGGGCGGGGCGTCCCAGGTTCCCAAAAATAGAAAATGCGGATCTCGGCTTTCGCAGGCTCGTCCGGTGTGTCGATCACAGCGGCATATTGCACCTTGCGCTGCAGGATCCAGTTCTCCGGGTCGGGGATGGCTTCAAGCGCTTCGCGCGTAACGTCGACGATCACGCCCTGCCCGGCGAAAGAGAAGAGCGGCTTCGCCACGTAGTTTTCCATGTCGGCCGGCCATTTCCAAACGTCTCTTAGGAATTGCGTCGGCGGCACATTGGGGTGATGGATAAAGGGGAGCGTGTATTTGCTGAGGCGGTAGAACCAGTTTGGGTGCGGCACCCACATGACGTCGAGATCTTCCTGCAACAGCTTGCCTTGCTTTTGGATTTCGGCAGGCTGCTGGGACAGGTCAAAGATGAGACGGTTGTAGATGCGGCGGATCTCGACGCGCGCCGTCCTTTTCATGAAACAGCTTGCGCCCATCGCGCTGCAGCTGCGTGAGGCACACTGTTTCAATGCCGAGGTAGGCTTTGGTGGCAGCAAAGTCGATACGGGTTTTCTGCTGCTCGGGGAAGAGCTCCAGCAGCACCACGTGCTTTGGGTCTTCGTCGGCCAGGATGAGCCGGCGGAGCGCTGCGAGGTAGCCTTCTTTGTCGAGCCCGCCGAGGTAGTTGGTTAATCCTTTGGGCTTGCCGAAATGGCGTGCGCTTACTTCGGGGAGCAGCACCTGGTAGGCGAAGAGGCTCGGGAAACCCTGCATCTCGATGAGCTGTGGCTCGAGCGTACCGTCGGCGCCGGTGCAGATGCCGAAATCGAAGACAATGCAGTGCGGGTGCGCGTCCTCGTGCGGTATACGGAGGTGTCGGGGGATAGCCTTCTCGCTCAGCGCGTGCTACGAGGAAGCGAGCACAGTGTCGATGATGCGCTCGCAGGCGTCGAGCATCGCATCGCGAAAGGCGCGGGATACGAAGAGAGGCGTCTCAGCCACACGGAAGTCAAGCTCTCCGGGAGGGTTACTAAAAAGGTCTTGTACAAAAGCCTGGTATTTTTCGGGCGTGAAAGCCTCGTTGTATGCCTTGCGCAGTTCCGGGATCATGATGGATGATGCTTCTTAGTTCCACGTGAAGTCAAATCTGTTTTGAACCCTGAGCCTGTTTATCTTAGTACGACCTTCCTCGTCACTTTTAAACCTCCGCCTCACCGCTCTTTGCTCCCTTGAACCCGATGGCCAAGGAGATCGGCGCTGCGCTTTGAGGTGGGCATCGGTTGTGGGTGCGCCACGACTTCAAGTTGTGGGCGATCCTTGGAAGTCTCAGCTGTATGCCCTGTTGGTTGGCCCTGGGGCCGACCGACCTCAACCAAAGCTCGTAGGCGCCCTCTGTTGAATTGTAGAAGGCATTCTGGGATCTAGACCTGGTATAATACAATGGAGGGAGAGGTGTTGATCTAGCAGAGCCATAGGGAGGTACAAACCATATCTGACAGCACACCCACCATCGTTTCAAATATATATCAGCCAGAGCATAAAGAATTACAGTCCCTAGGTAGCTCAGAAATGTCTCTGGCCGGCCGGCCGCCGTTCCTAGACAAGCAAAGCCACCTCAGTGGAAGTTCCCTAGGAAATTGACCCCTATCTTCTGATGTGTTATCAGCGCTGCACGGCGGGGGCTATCTCCTCTTGGAGTGGCACTGATTTCGACATCTTCAATGTGACGGGATTCCGAGAAAATTGATTCAGTGCCACGAGGAAGCGGGGTGGTGCGCGTGAGTTCAAGTTGGTTCTACAGGAACAACTTCATAGACAGCGTGGGTAGGCGAGTGCGGTGTCATCAGGATGTACGTTGTGAGCCGAGTCGAAACAGAAAAGGGTGTGCAAGCCAGTTGGCCGAATTTGGAAATTGCTAGAAAACGAACTGAGGACATCTTCTCAACCAAAGTACACATACAGAGACGAGAGCCCATCCACGCTATGGATTCTAAAGATGATCTCGGGCTCTTTGTCCCCAAACAGCACCGTACCTGAGGTATTCCAATTCGAACCATATTCTATTCTTGTTCACCCCACAAACCCAAACCCATCCCATACCTAGGCAAACCCCCTCCTCCTCTCCGGTCCATCCCCCCAAGCATCTAACCGACCGGACAAAGACCAAGGAAACGTGAAACACGCCTGCCGGCAGCCGGCCACGGTGCGCATGCGGAACACGCCCCTGTTGGACGCCACATGTTTTATATGCCAGTAGTCACTAGCGGTGTGTGCGAGGTGCATGACCTCTGCATATTTACATGACAGAGAGCAAATGTAGGCATATGCGAGAAGGAAACTGGGCGAAGGCAACTGGCGACAGGAGAGGATCGGAAGGTTGGTAGTCGCGGCTGCCGGCCATGTCTCATCGCGAGGGAGGAGGCGAGCTCTTGGTGGACGAATCTTCATTATCAGGTCTGCTAGAGGTGTCTCAGCTTTTGGAGAATTCTATAGCCTATCTATGCCGTAGATAGCTGATACCCTCTAAGCCCGCAGCCTCACGGTGCACTTGATAATAGAGTATGCTTAGCTCATGAACGGCGTCAGGATAGACCGACATCGAAACCCTTGCCCGACATTGAATACCACGGTGGAACGTCGATGGCGAGTACAGCATAGGTTGTAACCATCTTTCTCCCTTCTACAGTTTGACCTGGCCCTCTCACTACATGGACTGTGACAGTCAAAACCGCTCGTGCTAAATGCCACAGCACACCTCGATCACATCCAGCGACGCCCCCTTGGTCCCTCCTCACGTAATTGTAACATCATCTCTCCAAGCGCATCTTGCAAACGATATCCGGCTTATCAAAATAAAAGTATAAACTTCCAATTCCAAGTCTTCAGAGGACGCCCAAGAGAGTTGACCTCCATATCCCGTCTATTTTGAGCGTCATCATCGTCCTACACCTTTTCTAGACGCAAAACTCCATCGCGAGCAACCAGACCGACCCATACATGCTTGTGCTTTTGGCATGTTCTTTGTATACAGAGCGTAATAGTAAAAACTAGACACTAGAATGTAGAAACCGTAAATACAGCAGAAAATGCAGCCTCGCTTCGTGGCGCTTGAGAAGACGGGCAAGCTAAGGAGATAAGGAATGGACTTGGACAGAGTAATCATCACAACAGCTCATGTAGGGATAAAAAAGGAATGACGGCAATCGATGGGGTATCTTGATTGGCAAAAGGATAGGAAAGAACAAAAATCGTAGGCGGAAAAGTCGCGTAGGTCCAATTCTCCTCCATTAGATCGTCATGCACTCGTCCTCGTACAATCGTGTAAGGGATGCATCGTCTCGTCGGACGGAGGAAGACCGTGCAAGAACAGCGTCAACCCGTTCATTTGCGTAATCCGACCTTCCCAGCCAGGTTCTTGAGCCAGACCGACGCACTGTTCCGCTTATCGTCCTGACCGCCGCCCTCGCGGACCATGGCCGCCTCGCGGACCATCGGCCCGACAATCTCGACGTCGCCGAGCTCCGGAAATTTGCCGTCGTCACTCAGCATCTGGGGGATGGACGGCGGCGGCGGGAGCTTCTCCTCGGCCGTGCGCCGCCGCAGCTGCGAGATCACCGACGGATCGCCCTTCCACAGCTCGCCGAGCCGTTGGACAAGGTCGTCTTCGTTCCGCTGCCATTCCAGCTCGAGCTCGGCCCACTTGGCTTGCGTCAGGGCGTACGTTTTTGACGTCGACCCGTAGTGTTCCCCGGTCCGCACCAGGTGCTTTGCGTAGTTTGTCCTGGCGAGGTTCCAATCGGCGCGAAAGGTTTGGAGCGTCGCGAGGTCCACCGTCTCCGCGACGTATGGCCTAGGCTCGATGGTGAAATTTGCGTGGCCGAGGCGGTCGGACCAGGAGTCTTGGTGGTCGAAGCAACAGGGAATGGGAGACGGCGCATCGCCGAATGTGCTTGAGATGGTCCCTCGCCGCCGCAGGGAAGAGGCGGAGGGCTTGCCGCTGAGGGGCGGCGTGGGGAATGTCTTAACTGCCGGCAGCTCGGGAACCGGCGACGGAATCATGGATGGAGACTGCAAGGGAGACGTCTGAAGAGACGGGGCGGTCTGCGTAGGGCTCACGACGGACTCAATCACCAACGGCGGTAAGAGCGGTGTTGTAGCGTTGGCGCGATCACGCGCTACCCTCATCCCAAGAGTCGCCGGCACGTCGTCGAGGGGCGGGGGTAAGACAACGCTTTCGGAGCTCCCGTAGAACGAAAGGGCCGGGGTGGCGGGCACCGAATCTTGGTCGCGGGGGTCTCGGCCCGAGATGGAAGAAGACCTCCTGGAAGCGGCGAAAGAGAAGCTCGGGCGCGGTTCCGGCAGAGAAGGATCCGAAGCAGGGGAAAAGGTTAGGTCATGGCGACGGGAAGTAGATGAGGATCGCCAGCGGGGCAAGCTCGGTAATCTCGACCCGAGCCTCGTGCTCCAGGTTGAGAAGCCTGCATCGGAGCCATGGCGCCTCTTTTTCTGCCGGGGATTCGCGTTGAAGTCGCCATCACTGAGAAAGCCGAGGTCGTAGTCCAAATCGGAGGTCATGTAAGAATACATGACTGTGCCTTGCGCAGGGTCGCCATTGTGGGAGCAAGGAACATCACCTGGCCGTCAGGTCAGCACGGATCGAGACTGGCAACCTTGAACGAAAACCGGCGAGAGCACCTACACAAGCAGTAGTTGGGTAATCCGAATTCGCGGTCGACGTGCTTGGGCGGGGTCGCGGGTTCTTCCTCCTCTTCCCTCTCTGGCGGCTCCTCTTCCACGTCTGGGAGCTGCGCTTTGCTGGGTCTGCTCGCGTGCAGCGACTGCGTGGGCGAAGCCGGACTGTCGGTGCAGGGATGGAAAGTGAGCTCGAGCGAGGAAGAGGAACCGGAGAACCTCGAGTGGTTGGTGCGTGAAAACGTCGATGCGACAGGCGAAGGTGAAGTAAGGTCGGACGAAGATGAGTCGTAGATGTGGTTTAGGGATGTCAGCTCGCCGTCGCTTTCGTGTTGTTCCAGCTTCCTCCTCTCTTCCACGAGCCGCGGAAGCAGCAACGGCTTCAATCCAGACGACATTAGAAGCGCATAAGCATCTGTGGTGCGGTAGTGAGTGTGCGGAACGGGTGAGGTCTCAAGGCGAAATCTCGACGGGGCTCGCGGTATGGGAGGAACTGGGGATGAGAATGGAGGTGGGTGGCCCAGGCACAATTTGTTGATAGCAAACTGGAGGAGCCACTTTCGACGCGATCGCTGGATGTGTGGCACCGACAGGGGTGTGTGAATGGTTCCCGGCAAAGTTGTGCGTTGGTTGACCAAGTTGTTTTTGCGGGGCCGGTGGATGGAAGCCCAGCCCGGTCCGTCCAGCCCGACCCAGATGGGCGAGCTCTCAGCCTGGCTGTGCTGGCGGAGTAGCAGGGGGCCGGCAATTGGCAGTTGGAAGCTTGGTCAGCCCAGTGGAAGCTCCGCAGGATGATGACGAAGTTTGGGTTGCTGACCAAGTTCCTCGGACCGAGTGTACTGGAAAGGTAAACGGCCCAAAAGACCTGCGGTAGCTTTCAACAGGAAAAGGCAAAGCACGAACAAGCTTTGAAGATTGTGAATCTACTCAAGCTTCGCGATTTATATGAACCCCGCAGCAGCTCCCTACGAGAGTCGCACGACTGGAAGTACCCTCAACCCCCTCCGTGTCTTGGCTGCCGGCACCTTGTGTGTCGCGGGATTCGCTCGACGAATGCGATTTGGTCGAACGTTCCAGGCTGTAAACTGGGCAGCGCGGACTGCCACTGCTCCTGCCCCGTCAATTCGTCGTGCAGTGCATCTCTTTGGGGTTGTTTGGGGAGGGAGAGGGTCGTCACTCCGGAGGGCACAACACAATATGGATGCATGGGATTGCAAGACGTGGGCTGTCGAGGACCGGAGCACTGGGAAGCGTCCATATTGCTGCCACTGGCACCACGTGTACTCGGGCACTGTACGCTGCGACGTCGCCGGCGTGGGGTTGGGAGAGACGGCGCGTTTCTGGTTTGGCCTCGGGGTCAGAGGCCTCGCTTGCTGGGGCCTTGGGAAGTATGGGATCTGGGACGCCGGAGCCGGAGTGCCCAGCAGCCAATCAGTTCTTTTGAGGCCATCGCTAACCTGACAGGCAGCCCCGCAACGGGGTTGCGAGGCCGAACCAGGACAAGAATGCGCGGCGACACGGTTGGGCAACATTGTGGCGCCAGGACGGGTGGATAGAGGGGGTTCGTTTCGAGCAACTGACAACTGGCTGTGGCCACAGCTCACAGTTCACGTGAAGCGCCGTTGGCGATTTGGTCAAAGTGTGGGCTGTGGGGGATGGCGCTTCTTACTGGAGAGTACTCCGTACGGGCGGAATATTCATGCGGTGCGGTATTGATATGATGCCTGAATGGCTCAATGGCGTCAATATATCGCTGCTGTGTTGTAACAGCGCGCTGGCCGGTTTTCCGCCCCCGCCGTGATGCTGGTATGGAGCAATGGGGTGGATTCTGGCATCCCAAAAACTTCGTCTGAGGGTTTGAATTGGCGGGCCGTGGTGGCGGTCAGTTGGATTGGACGAACGAGTTTGTGCATGCGCAAGTGGCTGCCAGGGCTGCCAGCCCTCCGGCGGCCCGCCAACGGGTGGAGGTAACGGCTTTTTTGGCGCTGGCCAGTAAGGCGCGAGCAAAAAACTGGACGAAACCCGCTCTTTCCGCACGAATTGGGCTCCGCCCCATGTCCCAACTCCAAATGCGGCTCTTTCCATCTTTGCGGGAAAACCTGAATGGTTTGCGGGCAACTTGGACGGAAAACACAGCTCGGTTGACTGTGAACCATTGACGAATGAGGTCGAAAAGGACAGTCGGGCTGAGGTACGGATACTGGAGACTGCACCTGGAGTGGGACATTTCAATTTGAACGGACACACCGGGCCCACCGTCTTTCATCGCGACCTCCCGTCGCCGGTGAGTTCCGAAGTCAGAAGGGAAAGGAAGCTCATGAAAATTCTGGCGCTGCCCGGGCTTGAGGCGATCGCCTGGCGATGTGGGTCTGCCAGATTTTGCATGGACTCTCCAGTTTTGCCAGTGACATCTCTATGTGTCATTCATTGTGGACAAACACTTGTCGCCGCGCCCAGGAACATTGGGTCAATGCCCACCGTTAGCGGCCAAGCCTCCCAGTCCCTGATAAGAGGTTGATTCTCTTCCACCCAACACACCAAAACGAGAGCGCTTTTCGGGCCCAGCTTTCTTAACGTCACTCGATCAGCGATACAACTCCACACGTGGCCACATCGAAGCTTTCAGAATACGCCTGAGGGATTATGATTGAACTTCAAGCTGCACCAGCACAACCGGCCCACGGTTCAACTACATTGAACCTCGGCCTTCTCACTCGGCGAGCGCCCAGCTTGCAACATGGGACAACGTCATCATCATGCTGTGCTGCCGAGCAGCAGCGTTGTGATTGCTCTGGTTCGAGCGGAGCAGCTGCCAGTATACAGGGAGACAATGTGTTACAGGAACATGCTGCCCGCCTCCTAACTCTCAGTTATGCCACGGGTGGCACACCCACGACTTGTGCAGTGGGCCGGTCCCATCGAGGGGCGAGAGAGTTGGGACTCGGGGTCGTGACAACACTGGAGATGGTGATGCTCGACTGTGGACTGCATGGGCACACTCTCTGTCGCTATCTTTCCCCGCGGGGTTTGGGCTGCACCAGGTGCATGTTGTGCGTTGCTGTCCTGTCGCCCCCCGTCTGATTCAACATGGCGATGCCCACGTCAACTTCATTGATCCTACCGCGGGGGTCCGTCCCCGCATCCACAGAGACTGATGCATTGGGAGGGTGAAAGGGACACAGATTGCGACACCGCGCCAATGGACAATTGGCTGGTCTGGCTAACCATGGGCGCATCGAAAACAAACTGCCCGAGCGTGGGCAAGTTTTTTGCCCTTGATGCGTTGTCGTCGCATCATCCTGAGCTCGTCCATGCCCTCAGCACTGAGGGATGGTGGCATCCCGGTTAGATGAGTTTCCAGCTTCGGAGCTGATCGAGAGCCTTAGGACCTCTGCTTCCTGCGTCTTACCGAGCGCGAGTTTGTGCCTTCGAAGGCATGACAAAGGTAGGGAGGTCTGCCGCAGAGCAGAGAAGAACTCGAAAAAATCTCGACTGGCGGGTGTGCCTGCCAAGCTACGGCTGACGTGCTGCCATGTGGTGGCCGGGTCAGCAAGAATGCGCCGCGGTTCCCACTTCAAGTCCGATTGTCTTCCAAGATGGCTGTCCCGTCCCTTGCATTAGCCTGCCGTTAAGGAGGGGCGCCGAGTTGTGGGATTCGCTGGCCCTGCTCCGGCACTCTCGGGACGGGTCCTTTGGCGGCGTTCTCGGCCTTCTGTGCTGGAAGACATGTATCTTGTCATTCGCGTGAGAGCTTCCGGCCAAAAAGATGGCGCCTGTACCTGACGAGCGCGCTCTTATACGTACTGTGTACGGGATACGGAGTGATTTCCCGCATCTCGAAGATCGGGGGCGGGGCCCAACGTCTTGTCGAATGATGCAACCCAGCTTGACACCCCGAGGTTACATCGACGAGTCCAGTTCCTTGGTAACACGAGAGAATTCTGATCTAGGGCGTTCCTCTCTTCTGGTTGATCTGTGGGCTCCCATCATTCCATGGTCACCATGACGGGTGGTTGAATTGTTGTCTCCATTCATAAAGGTTTTCGGAGCAACAGCCCCGACTGTCAAGACCGTTCATCACCGTCAAGCGGCGAGCCCCCTCCTCTCCCGAAACAAATGACAAATCCACCCGCACTCCCATCTACATAGTAGACTAGCCATACCCGGTTCGGCAGGGTTTCTGCTTCCGAGGGCGGCATTCATCCATTCTAGATGAAAATGTCGCACAGCGTGGACATCCTGCCGTCACCATCCATAGAATGGGGACCAAGAGGTCCAGGCGCAAGCGCAGCCATATTCTGTACTATAGGTCTAGTTAGTAAATGCTCCGAGTGCAACGGTCCCTGCGCCAAACTGACTGGTAGGGCGGATGAATGTCCCAAGCTCTCAACCGCTGGGCCCAATGGTCGGCGGCCATCACTTCAAGTTTTATCGTTTCTCTATACGCATCCGTCTCATTGTCATGCTTCAATTGAAGGAAGATAGTAATAGTTGGACGCTACATAGACCTCAGACATGTGTTACTCCCGTCAAATACAAAGGGGTATCGATCAATTTCCAAAGTCTCTCATTGACTCCACGACAAATGAACCTGCCTCACTGCTTGCCATCCGGACTCTCAGCATACGGGCTCTTCTTCCGGAGTTTCGGCCCCAACTTCCAGAAGATCAGGGGAGCCGGCGCGAGGACAGTAGCGATGCAGCCGAGCAAGGTCATAGTCCAGTGGACGCCAATCCCGCTGTACATTGGCCTCGACGCCATAACCATGCCTCCCGCAATCATGTATCGCAGAAAAGTTATACTCGACAACGCCATGGCAGAGTGGTCGCCGTAGCTGTCAATGATGTACTCGTAGCTGCTGACGTAGATGGCGATCATGACGGCGCCGAACAGGAAGCACGCCGTCAGGCTGCACCAGATCGACACACTGCTGTAGTTGCCCCATCCGAGCCAGAACAGCGAGACGGGCAGGAGCGGTCCGGCCACGATGGCTGGCCAAAGACGGAACTCGGGCGAAACTCTGGCGCCCCGGACGTGCTCTGTTCTTGCCCGGGCCAAGCTGTAGAGCCCTGGCGCCAGGAGGGTGAAGGCTGTTGCCCCTGAGGCGATGGCGCCAAAGCACGAGCCCGTCAGGGCGGTCGACAGCCCGTAGGTTTCGCTGAAGAGGTAGTCGAATCCCGAGAGAAAAGTGAAGAGGAGGGTGTAGAGAAGGATGAGGTAGATGCCGAGGACGGCAATGACGGGCTCGGTGAAAAAGAACCTGGTCGGCATGGTAAGCCCTTTCTTCATCTGCGCCTTGAAGGTATTCGAATACACATGCTCCGAAACATAGCGCCTGTCATTTGTGGCCCGTCGAATGCCCGAGGCTTTCCAATCCAACAAGACGGGCAGGTAAGTCTCCGGGAGGAAGACAAAAGCCAGGATGAAAGCCGGAACCGAGATGATTAGCGTAATCCACTCATTCCAGCGCCACCCGAGGTTAAGATTCTCAACGATCCAGCCACCGGCAATTGGCGCAATCATGGGTGCTGTGAGAGGTCATGGTGTTAGCAAAGGAAATGGCTAAAAGAACAGGTGTCCTGCCAGAGCACACTTACCAGCTACATTTGCCCACGCAATGACGGGGAACACAAACGCCCTTTTGACCGACCGGAACTGGTCCCTGACGCTGGAGCCGTTGATGGTCAACGTGGCGCTGGCAAACAGGCCGATGAAGAAGCGGCATACTAGGCGACCCCCGAAGTTGGGCGCCAGCGCAGCACCAAGGACGAAGAGCAGGAAACAAAAGGTCGAGACAAGGTAGGTCGGATTCCGGCCGACCGTTTCTGATATGGGGCCGGCAAACAAGGAGCCCGCCCCTATGCCGAACAGGTACATGGAGATGGCCAGGTTCTCGGCGACCTTGGAGTGGCCCTCATCGGTGCTGGCGGCGCTATTCGCCATGGACTCGGCCGCCCCGGCCCATGCCTGCACGAAGACCAGGTAAGCTAGGATGGCGATGTTTTTGACCCGGTCAAGCAGCGGCCAGTTGCGGGGGTCGACGGGGTCATCGTCGCCATTTGTCTTGATGTAAACTTTGTGACCCTCTCTGGACTCTTCATGGTGTAAGCCTGGCGCGGGTCCCATTTGCTCAGCATCTGCTGGGCATCCTTGAACTGATTTAGGGAGGTTGACCTTCTCAGACGAGGTCTTGGTGCCCTGCGAGGTAGCGTGCTTCTGAAGACGGCGATGTTGAACGAGTGACCACATGGCTGTGAGTGCAACAGAAACGACATGGTTAATCTGTAGCTGGTCAACGGGCGACCCTTATTATCCACATGGCTTTTTGGTCAAAGTTCATGTTTGCAACCCCGTTCTTGTAGGCGCGAGTGACGTAACTCTCGATGACCCTAAAGGGCCGCGATGAACAATTGGAACCATTCAACAGCCGTGGTGTGGTGGGGGGCCGATTTGTGGAGCTGGTCACGCGAGCATATCAGGTTTTCCCGTAAGAGCGAGGTTCTTGTATTGGAGTCGTGGGTTCTGACCTCGGAGGCTCATGGGCAGATATGCAGCCAGTTGACTGAAGATGACAGAAACAGAGCATAGGGTGATACAACGGAACCCAAAGCTGTAACCAAATCGAAGGCACCGAATACCTGCGCACGACAGAGGGCAGTCAGGAACGGTGACCGTCAAGTCGTGGATATTAATAACAGTTGCAAACTGAGAAGAATCATTGATATCTCGTGGCACAGGTTTACTTATCTGTCCCAACCTGCTCCTTGTATCCACCCGAGTACTGTGAGTACATCACTGGCCCGAGATGCCAAGCTTGACCATCAGCTCTCGCTTGGGTATCTCCAGAATGGCCTCCAGGGTCCTGGCATCCGGCACGCCGTCCTTCCCATAGGGCCTCTGCAACAGCTCCTTGATGTCCTCGTACTTCTTCCCCAGTGCCTTCGAGTCCGACTCTGAGAGATTCTCCTCCAGCTGCCTGAGGTCACCCCTCGACTCTTCCCTGATGTGCGGTTCAAGGTCGACCCAAATAGCACTGAGTGACGAGTCGAAGCTGGCCTCGGCAGGGTCGAATTTCTGCATGTGCCTGAGCTTTGCGTTCATCTGCAACTCTGTCAGCCGCTGCACTCATTGACACATCCTAGGTATCCCAGGACAAGGTCAGGAGATGCACTCACACTGTCAAAGTCGTCAGACAGCCGTTGATGCCTCTTGCCGCCATTGGCTATGTGATTGTCCAGAGCGGGAGCCACAACGAGGTCTTCGACAATCAAGTAGCGATCCAGTTCCCAGATGAACTCGTCTGGTTTGCGGGCTTCTGGGTCGGCCTCTCGCAGGCGTCGATACGCCGCCTTGATGCGGGCGTGGTCCCGTTTGACGGCTTCTGAGATGCGTGTCATGTTGGCGCGTCGTTGAGGGTTTCTTTCACCAAATTGCCGGGTCGATTCTTCTTTAAGTGAAGTCTCAGGCGAACGGGCTTTCATTTGTTGGTGTTTTGTTTGGGAGTGACGTCAATGACCTGTAATGGGCAAGTCTTGGCAAGCAAGCCAATCAGGAAGTTTGCTTACACGCAACTCCAGCTTCTTCCTGCAGTGGCTTCCCGAGAACGACCGTCTCAACACTCGTTTGCTCGGAGGCGGGCTTGGTGAAAGCTACCGAAATCCCTGTTAACAGCAGCTCGTCTGGCCCAATACTTAAACCTCCCGTTTGGTACGAAACTAGACAAATTCAATGTCCTTCAGTCCAAAATCTTCTAAGTCAAGAGCCTCGCCCTGCATAATCCCATGGACGTAGCATTCGCCGACAAGCCTCAGCCTCTCCACCGGCCTTTCCTCCTGGACTTCCAAATCCATGGTGGCACTGCTACAGTCCTCCAGCTCGACACCGCCGTCGTGATCCTCCCGACACACAAATGGGGCAACCGCCCCGGGCAGAATACACACGATGTCGCCCACGGCAGCCGACGCAGGACCAAGGCCGAGATAGCCTTTCCTGGTGTAGAACAGCTTCCTCTTCACATACCGTCGTTTGAACGAATTCATAAACGCAGCATCGTTGGGCTGCACCAACTTCCTCTCCTCCCCCCTCTTCACCCTCATGACCCAGCTCGGCTTCTCAACGAACCGCTCCAACTCCTCCCAGCTCGGCGTATCCGCCTCCTCCCCGCCCTCCTCGGTCAACGCCAACGCCTGCAGCTTGATCAGGGTATGCACCAGCCACCCAAACTCGGGCCGGGCAAGGAACCGCTTAGAGTTGGTCTTGTCCCTGATATATTCAGGACCGCGCCGATCCCAGCCGACCTCGGCCCAAATATCTTTGGCTCTCCGCATCGCATGCGCAAATGAGGTCGCACAGTCCGGCGCCGCCGAGTCCGGGTAGGCGGCGACCTCTTCCGCCTCGAGCTCGGCCCGCACCACCACCATGGCGCAGACAAACTCCTTGAACAGGGCGCCGAACCGGGCGGGCGCCGGGCTGACGGTCGAGGTGGCGTCCTGGTCGGCGCAGAGCGTGCGCCAGAGGACTTCGGTGCGCCGCTGCTTTGGTGTGGTACCCGGGTAGGGTGTCTTGAGGAGTAGCGCCAGCTCGAACCACGACGGGTCCAGCAGCACGGCGCTGTTTACGTGGTCTGTCCTGTCGTTGCCCGTCTCGACGATGGTGTCGAAGATGTGGCCTCGCACCCGCAGGCGGGACCATGATGGGGAGGAGGGGACGAGTTGCGGGGGTTGGTGTGTTAGCTTGCCGGCGGCCGCGAACGAGCCGCCATTGCACATCATGTTGAAGTAGGGCAGGCTGTAGTCGGGCACCCAGGACGGGTACGTGTCAATGGTGCGCTTGGACGCGTCCTGCACGCACGAGAAAATCTTGAGGGACCCGCTGTGCTCGATGAGGCGACGGGTGGCGGCGGCAAAGACTTGGATGGGGGGGCTGTGGTAGTCAATGTCCCAGGCCGCGCGCACTTGGTCGTCGACGAGCCCCAGGATGCCGTAGATCTTGTCGCGCGGGTCGGTTGACTTGAACACCCACGTGGCGTAGACGAGCTCTTCGAGGGTGAAGCGCAACGCGTCGGAGGGTTCTTGTGTGTTGGTCGTCTGGAGGTGGTCCCTCCACTCGGCCAGGCTCAGCACATTGTTCTCGAGGGGCACGGCGATCTCGTGGATATCAATGAACACGGTGCTTGGGCTCCATCCCAGTACCCGACAACGGGCATCGATATTGCGGGCAGCCTTCACGAGGGTCGTCCACGAGAACAGGTGCTTGCCGCAGAGCAGGACGAGATTCCGCGAGAGGATGGTTTCCTGTATGATCCACAGGCGCGAAAACCACTGCCGCTTGAGGAGGGCAGCCAGACTGCACCAGTCCATCCAGTCCGTGTACTGGAGGTTGCTTTTGGCGTAGACGTCCGGGTCCTGGCCCCGGAAAGGGATCACTTCGCTCTGGGCAAAGACGTTTCTCGGGTAGGCTGACACTCTTCTGATTGTCTGGACCGCGGCAGCCGTGTACTCATCGGAGCGGCCTAGCCAGATGATGGTGTATGCAGCTTTCGAGTAGACCTTATCCATGATTCTGACTTGCAGCGCTCGCTCCTCCATGTCGTTTTGGTTGATGCAGATCGCGTCGATCCAGATGACCAGTTCGCCGTCTGCAATGTTGATTGGGGAATTTGTTTCGGAGGCTGCATGTTCAACTTGATCATGCCCTCGAGCCGCAGTCTGGAGCTGCTGAAGTTCGCCCAGGACATCGAGTAAGTTCCTTTGCACTCTCAGCAGCTTTCCATCACAAAGAACAGCCGTGGTTTGGGCCACGCTGTACTCGGCGTTGACGGCATTGAAGTGCGCCGTGAAGTCAACTCCACTGGCGTGAGGGTTGCCCCAGGTGTACGACAGGGCGTAGAAGAAGGGGTCATGGTCCAGGTCGACAACGTCCAGCGTCACTTGTGGTGTTCCATCCTCGTCTCTCCCTCTAAGCTTCAGCACTCTGATGGACGTCAGTGTCGGGAGCGGCTGGTATCGGTATGGCTTTCTGGACTCTGGCTCGGCTTCGCGTATGTTCAGCCCTTCCAAAGCTGTCACGCTTGAGGCGAATGTTGAGTTGTCGCTCATGATATCGTGAAGAGGCCGAGGCCGACTCGTTTTTGTGAGGTGCCATCAACCATATCGACGGACAAGTGGAGAACCACTCCTCAGGTGTCATCGGGCCCCCTGCTTCGGAGGAATAACTGTCCGTAGGCATGGTTCTTCGCCTGTGCGCATGGCCTATCTGAATGCTCTCTTAACCAAGGCTTACGGAGTACAGTAAGAGATGCTCCTTCTGTAAACATCACTTTTTCTAGCGAAATAACGGGAAATTCTCAGACTTCTGAGTCCCTTACATGATACAACACAGGCTGATGTTCTGTAAGATAAACTTCAAGATGACACCCCTCCCGTTTCTCTCCTTGGCCGCTTTTATCTTCAAATCTCTAGGACGCTGATCATAGGGAAATCACCTATGCGGTAATCAGTGCGCGTGGATGTCGCTCAGCGTGGCTGCGATTGGAAACAATTTTTGTCACAGCTAGCCTAGAGATGGTCCGGTACCTTAGGAGTGTTACCTTAGGGTTGAAGGGAACTATGGTCAGCGATGCCAGTTGACTAGAGTCTCTGAGACCCTCCAGGTACAGCTTCTCCCTTATGCGTCCGACAGTCCCAAACACTGCAGCATGGTCGACATGACGGTGCCTTGCCAACAAATCATGCCTTCTCTCCGGACGGACCAGCAGTGACAATTCCCAGCGGATCGGGGCTACCAAAGTTGGGCGACCCGTCGGCATTCCAGCTGACCTTCTTGGCCGCCGTATACCGGTTCCCATCGCAGTTTCCAGTCTGGATCCAAGTCGCGTGGTAAATGTTCCAAACCTCGGTTCCGTCCGGGCTGTTGATGAAACTGCATAGAGGAGAAACAGAGGTTAGCTTCGAGTTGTGTTTCAAAACACTACACCAAGTTCCAGCAAGGTAAAAAGATGATTACGAAAGCAAACACACCAGTTGTGGCCGGGCCCATAGTTTCCATTCGCCGAGCTGAAGAACGGGCCCGTCTTGGTCCAGCTGCTTGCCAGCGTCGGATCGCCGCCGTTGTAAGTGAGCACGCCAAGCTGGTAGCTCGGCGTCCAGCAGAAGCTGGCGCTGTAAACCAAAAAGATCTTGCCGTTGTGGTAGAGCGCCGTGGGCCCTTCGTTGACGGGTGGCTGGCCCTGGGCGCGCTCCCAGTCCAGGAGCGGCTCCGACAGCACCTTGCGGGCGCCAATCGTGGTGGGCGAGTTCATGGGCGCGATGCAGAGGGACTGCAGGGTGCCCGAGAAGCAGGACCAGACAAAGTAGCTTTTGTTCTGGACGGCGAGGATGCTGCCGTCGATGCCCCAGTCCTGGGTGAGTTGACCGGCGTACGAGTAGCGACTGAAAGGATTACCACCACCTAGATATTCCGTATCAGCCTCTTGCGGAATAGAAGATAAGATGAGTTACATAAGACAATTGTTAGTACTTGCCCTTCAAGACATGCATACGCTGGCCATCCAGGTTCTGGCTGTTACCCGCCGTGTAGTAGATGTACCATCTGCTCGAGTCATTCTCATCAGGCTTTGAGGCGACTAAGCAGTCAACGTAAATGCAAATGAGATAAAAGTACGAACGAGTTGCCAATCTTGTGCAGCTCGGGGGCCCAGACGTTGCAGCACCGCGAGGGGTCTGAATCAGTCCAGACCACGCGGGTCTCTCCCGTTTTGAGGCCCTCGAGCGTCTTCGCTCTGGTGATTTGCAGGTTCGTCCATGTCGTGGTCATCAAATAGTAGTACCCGTTATAGTAGGTCATGTGCGGATCGGATCCATTGGTGGCCTTGAGGGGGTTGGAGAAAGACGCCGCTGAGGCGAGAGCCAGGAGGTTGGTGAAAGCCCCAACAATGAAAGTGAGCTTCATGTTGCTGAGCCGACGAGAGTCGTCAGTTACAAAGGGTCTTGGTTGTGTGCTGGCACAGATGAACTGCGCCCGTGTCCCTCCATTTTTATAGTTCAAGCCGAGGCTGCCCACCTAACCTCATCCCGTTGAGAAATTCTTGTTGTCAAGGCCAAGTCCAACATTTCGGTTGTTGATGGAAGCCGGAGAAACTCACAATCAAAGTCGAACTCTAGAAAGTGGGCTCCGAGAGGAGACGTTGCGGAGCCGGCCTGCCGCGTGTCCCCTTTTGTCACGATGAAACCTGGAGAGGCGGACCAGAGCAACGTTGTTGGACAGGCATCCTATTGGTGCGCATCTTACAGTAGCTACTCCGTTGTTCCCGGCACTTGGGTTCGATATCCCACTTTTGGGGGAATCTGGGGTAGCGTTGGACGATCGTCGATGGAACCGATGAGCCTTCATCAATGCGCTCCAATACTCGGAGGGCTGAGAGCTGCATGTCCCTCCGGGAGGCACAGTTTGATTTATCGACCGGGCATCAACTGGGTGGAAAAACTCGGCCACGGGCACCAACTCTTGTGAGGTGCAGAAATCCACCCATAAAGGAATTACCGCTTCAAGAGAAGTTGGCCTGCACTGAGCGGATCGCTTCAAACTTTTGGCGAGCTACCCTCTCTATCGGTCTACCCCTGCGTTGGCAACCCTTCGTAATCTTCTCCTTCGTCTTAGCGCCCCTTTCTCACATTAGCGCTAGGGATACTACCAGGTAGAGATGTCGGAGACGCGTAATGCCTCGCTATTCTCATGAGATGCCCAGCCTATATAAAGCAAGCCAGCTTGATACGTCCCTCCTCTGCAGACCTTGGCAAGCTTGGTGTTGCGGAGTGTCGATCATCACAAAGTCCCTCCTACCGTCTTGGCTTACACGCCGATTTCTCCACCATGGTCAGATTCTTCCATCTTTTTGGAGCTGTTGCTCTACTCCCTGCTCTCGTCCTTGGGTATTCGCTACCCGAGGCTTGCAGCGGAGTGTGCAACAATGCTCACGACCCCTCCATTATCCGCCGTTCTTCTGACGGCACTTACTTCCGCTTCTCCACCGGTGGTAAAATCGCCGTCCACACGGCTTCGAGCCTCAGCGGCCCTTGGACCTACCAGGGTGCAGCGCTGCCTAGCGGATCTTCGATCAATCTGACGGGGAACCAAGACCTTTGGGTAAGCAATGAGGGGATTTCAATAACCGAGGATAGTTAATGTTTAGTTTGATGTTGACTTAACCCCTCCTACCCGTAGGCCCCTGATGTCTTCAAGCTCGGCAGCTACTACTACCTGTACTACTCCGTAAGCAGCTTCGGGGTGCAGGACTCGGCCATCGGCGTCGCCCGGTCCACGAGCTTGGACGTCGGCACTTGGACCGACCTCGGCTCGACGGGCGTCGCGTCGTCCAGCACGAGCGGCGTGGCGTACAACACCATCGACGGCAATTTCATCAGCGACGGCAGCGGCAACTACTTCATGACCTTTGGTAGCTTCTGGCAGGGCATCCACCGCGTGCGCGTCACGCCACTGCCAAGAACGGCGAGGTCTACCAGGTCGCCTACGACCCGTCCGACTCGGCCATGGAGGGCCCCTTTGTGTTCCAGTATGGGTCCTACTATTACCTCTTCTTCTCCAAGGGCCAGTGCTGCGGCTACGACAGCAGCATGCCCCCCTCGGGCAACGAGTACCGCATCATGGTGTGCCGGTCCACCTCGGCCGTGGGCCCCTTTGTCGACCAGAGCGGCACGAGTTGCCGCAACGGCGGTGGCACCGTGGTGCTGGCGTCCCATGACTGGGTGTATGGGCCTGGAGGGCAGGGCGTCTACCAGGATCCTACCTACGGACCGGTCAGTTGTGCCCACGAATTCACTTTGCTTCAACGTTCATTCTAACAAGATCCGGTACCAGGTCCTGTACTACCACTACGTCGACACGCGCATTGGATATGCTGATGGCCAGAAGCAGTTTGGCTGGAACAAGATCAGCTTCTCAACGGGCTGGCCCGTTGTCTAAACAACTGATGTAAGCAAAAAGAAAAAAAGAAAAAGAGGAGGGGCCAGCAGCAGTGTAGTTCTGTGGGCTGTTCGTGTCCGGCGACCTCTGACCTCATTGAGTCGTTCGTCTGCTTCTGGCCGTGTCTTGCCAGCTCACCACCTGTATTTGCACATATGACATGCATAACAGACACGGCATTGCCAAACAGGGGCATTGTTTCGTGTGTGCAATTGTTTGTTGACTTGCAACCGTACATATGTAGTCATCAAAAAACTTTGACATAGAAATCGATGCCATCTCCACTCCTTATCTTGCGGTCTTGGATTAACCACGCATTACCTGGCTTTGAGTCCTTGGCATTGCCAGGAGCTAACTCATCACGATTTGGTTGTGCATTTGTCGATTATATCCAAGGTGCCTAAGTTAGATATTATAAAGTCTTTGGTAGCATGTGGTAACTATACTCTCAAACACTGAGCCGGTTGTCCTTTGGGCGAAGATCATTTCATCTCGACAGCCTTTCGATGCATCAAAACCATCAACCACATCATTGTTCGCCAGTCACGGACATTTCCTGACTCAAGACGTTGCGAGATATTGAGGGAGGAAATGTCAACGCTGTGCTCGCCCATTGATTTTCATCTATTTTCCCAAACACCACCAACATAATATACCTGTAATTATCACGCTGTCCGCACCAGATTGGCAACCAAGCCACTACTCCATCCCGTCAACGAACAGCATACCAGCAATGCTAGCCGACGTCAAGGTGGACAAAACACCGCAGAACAGAGCCGAGACGGAGACCTTGACAACATCGCCAGAGCGCCGGGGCGAAATCTGCGAGAGCACACCAATCTGAATACCGAGCGACCCAATGTTGCCAAAGCCCTATGAAGCATCAAATTAGCTATGAAAACCGCCCGTAAAAGAGGAAACTTCCATCATGATGCTGAAAAGGGGGGTCACTTACGCAGCAGGCGTAGGTAGCAATCAGCTTCGAGCGCGCAGCCATAGCTGCGTAGCGCGGGTCCGTGACCAGGGCATTAAAAGCAGCATACTCGTTGATGATAATCTTCTTGCCGATGAGCTCACCAACCTGCCTGAGATCCGAGTTCGGCACGCCCAGGAGCCAGGCAACCGGATACAGAATGTATCCGAGGATAAGCTCTAGACTCAAAGTCGGGTTGGGGTCCGACAGGCCCCAGTAGCCACCCCACCAGCCCAGCAAGCCGTTGATCAGGCCGACGAACGCAATGACAGTCAGCAGGCAGGCAACAATGGTGGCGCCGATCTTGAGGCCCAGCCACGAGCCGTTGGTGAAGGCGTGGAGGGCGTTGACCGTGTGCTCGTCGTCCTCGTGCTTGGGCACCTCGACTTTGCCGGCCGTGGTGGGCGTCTCGGTCTCGGGGTACCGCATCTTGGACACGGCCAGCGTGGCCGGGATGGACATGATGCAGCTCGACACGAGGGCCTGCGGGTTCAGGCCCATGCCGATGTAGGCAACCAGGACAGAGCCGGCGATGGTGGCGAAGCCGCACGTCATGATCTGGTGGATCTCTGCCATGGTCAACTGGTCCAGGAAGGGCCGGATGAGCATGGCGGACTCGCCCTGGCCGATGAAGGGAGTGGCCGCCGCCACGATGGCCTCGGCGCCCGACACCCGCAGGCTCCAGAAAAAGAAGACGGCGAACTTGCCGATGAACCACTGCAGGAAGCCGACGTAGTACAGCATCTGGACGAGAGCAATGAAAAAGATAATGGCCGGGATGACGCCTGTCAGGAACCAGGGGCTGGCCGCCATATCGGCATCGGTCAGGAAGGCGAGGCCTTGGCCCGCATAGCCCAGCAGTTGGCGGGCCATGTCCGAGATGAACTTGAATATGTCGTAGCCTGCCTGGGTGCGCAGCACGAAGACGGCAATGATGAACTGGGTCAGCATCCCGCCAATCACCGTGTGCCAGGGAATCATGCGCCAGTTGCGCGAGGTGGCCGTCAGGATGACCAATAAGACGATGAAGCCGAAAATAGAAATGGCACGGTTCGCGCGCGTGTTGTCCCCCGTCTCGTCGGGAACGAAGCTCCCGATCAGGAAGACGGCAAAGGTGCCGACGCCGGCGATGGGCTTGTGCAGCTTCGCCGGAACCATGTCGTAGACCCTTACGACGGTATTGACCCAGACGAAGCGCACTGGACGCAGGACCAGCCGGGAAGGGACGTAGAAGAAGAAGAGGCGCAGGAGGAGGGCGATGTAGATCAGGGTGGGAATCAGCCAGCCCTTGCCGTTGGTATGGCGGAAGAAGACGAGGCCGTAGATCCACCATCTGCAATCAGCCGGGGGGCATCATCAGCTGGCATTTTCCACAAACAAAGCAGCATCATCAAAGTACTACCGATGAGAGGGGGGTTCACGGACGCTGTGAAAACCATGAAGGAGACCAGCTGAGCCAACTTCTTCCAATGCCGATGCCACATGTCGCCGAGTGGCCCGCTTTCCCGCTCCGAGCGTGATTTGGTCTGGAGCGAGCCGACCCTCTCGCTCTGCTTCTCCTCGTCGATGCCATACTGCTGCTCGACCGGAAACGAGACGTTCTTGCCATCGGCGCTGCCGACTCCGGGGCCGCTGCTGCCGGAGCTGGAATGCTTTTCCAGGCGGTGCTGCTCGGATGCTGAGGCGCTGGACTCGATGGTGTCGTGGCCCGGGACGCGCGCGGGAGACCCCATGGCTCCGCAGAGGAATGTCCAAGCGGAGGCTGCCGAGAAAGGGAAAAGGACGAAGAAGCTGGAGCCACACCAGGCAAAGCCTTTTTCGGTAGCAAGTCAGAGTTCAGACGGCGTGCTGTGGTCCCGTCCGTGAGCAGCGGCGGGCTCAAATCGAAGCCGAACGCTCCCAAACTTCCAAGGAGATCGGCAACCGAGGGGCGGGTTGCCGAATTTAAGACTGGGTCCAAAGAATTTCTTCTCAGATAGCCCGGCGAGATAGGAAGCGTCGCATGGGTACTGGACTCTGGATGCCAGCAAGATAAGCGGGCCAGCGGCCGAGGTGGACGTTGCTTCCGAGATTGTGCCCGCAACAGAAAGAACCTGTGGGGTCCAAGGCACCAGACTGTGAGGGCACGAGGGCGGTCGCACGACGGGAGGAGGGAGATAGGACAAGCCAGCTGGCGGCCAGACGATGAGGGCGCACGATAACGACGCGAGTCCTATTCTTCGGTGTTACTTTGTACCTTCGGCGGGTCTGACGTGCAGGCTCCATGCTAACTCGCTGACTGGCCCTGGGGATCCAAGTCCATGGCGGATCGTGGATCCTGGATGGAAATCGGCCATGCGGATCATCCGAACTTGCATCGGGGCCCGCCGTTCAGAACTTCAGTAGGAGGAGGGCAGCAGAGGGGTGCAAGTGAGGAATTGGCCAATCGTGGGTGCGGCCCAGCCGATGGAGGATTTCTGGTTGATGGACGCCACCGGATATCGGTCACTCTCAACAAAGCGAAGAGCAGGAAGTCGCCGCTCGAGAGGCATGGATGTTGGTCAGTGACTGAACTCTCTGCCACCTTCTTGTTCCGTCTGGTGACGTTGTTTATCTTATCTTCTGGGGCGGTTGGCCTGCAAGTTTGCCGATAAATGATGACGTTGGTTTAGGGACGACTTCAACTCTTCAGCGGCTAGTCAGACGTGCTCTGGCTTTGAATCAAGCACATGTCCGTCATACCTGTGACTTTGCCGTCCATAGGACGTTGTTTTCCCCGACGATATTTTGAAGAATTTGTGCGATGAAAGGGCCCATCATCTCAGCAGTTTCTCCATCGACCATCCCACTTTCCCATTCCAGAACTTAACAAGTGGATCATAGCTAATGCACCCCGCAAATTCCGAGAAATGAGCAGAGCCGCGGCCTAAGGCGTTAGCCTCCTAATATCCAATATGGACGTCCTGCTGCATTTGGCATGGGGTCACGCGCAACCACAAGAAGCCAGCCAGGGGTAGTTTCAGCTCGTTGATTCTCGGTCACCCAAGAAGTTGTTGATCCGGAGCTGAATACTAGGTAGGAAGGTCGATTACCACGAGGCATCAGAAATACCTGATGCTTGCTATTTGGGATTCTTCGAATACAAGATTGTTGGTGATGTGTGAGATCAGCTGCAATGGAGTTCGAGAACCTGCGACAGCATGTATGGATGAAGGCGATAAGCAAAGTGTCATCAAACCAGTACCTCTATACATGGACTCAATTGCACGTCGGCGCGGGAAGCTTCATTCAAAGTACCAGGCTCTCATGAGAAGTCCAGATCAGTCCGCAGCCGGGATACTGCCGACAATTGAGAGGTGTCGCATGTACTGAGCAGCATTGATACCCTACTCCACTATCGTCTGTATCCAGTCCCACGTTTCGGGGGCAAAGCGTTGCGTGGTCACCCGTCCCTTATCCTGGAGAACCGAAATGGTATGGCCCCGGGGAGAGAGGTGGCCCATTCCACATGCTTTGGGAAAGATGCAGGTCAAGTCAAAGGTGGCTCGAATGAAAGTTACTTGAAATCCCCACTTGTGGTCTGCCAGTGGACCTCAAGACCCGGACCAACCTTCCACAGTAGCCTGACCTGATTCAGACGACAAGTCCAAGCGCCCCCCTTCTGGCGGGACGTCCTAGCACAGCTCCGGGGGACTGGAGCTCCAAACCATGATTTGGGAGCTGCCAGCATTCGGAAGCAGTACCCAAACCCCACCACCGATTCCTTCAAGTTTATCTTTGGCGCCGGCGTCTGGCGATTCGGGAACCACCGAACGCCCAATGGAATTGGTCATAGAGTTCTCGGCCATCGCCGGATGTAACCCGGGTATCTCAGGAAGATTGCATGTGCTGGACGTGGGCGTTCGCTCGCTGCATCCTCAGACCCAATATCGGCCCCAGACTTCGTACTCCTCCCTCGTTCCCCGGAACTTAAAGTCGATAGGAACGACGTCCTGAAAACCCTCCTCGGTCTTGGGCTCCTTGAATCGTGACGCGAAGCCGTTGAATGCGAGTTTTGGGAGCCCCTTGCGTGCTTCTGGATTAAGCTGCAGACGAGTCTAAGTATCAAGGCAACCAACCGCACAAGACCAACAGTACCTGCTTGTTCTGTGCATTCAATGACCGCACAGCATCGTTGTGTTCACACAATGACAAGGGCGTCCTGAACCAGAAGCACCGGATAGGCACCTTGTGTTTGCGAGCCAAGCCTACCCATTGCGACCGGGTGTCGACATCGGGGTTTGTGTTATCTTTCGGAGAAGTCAGTAGATGCGCATGGCAGAAGCGAGGCAGCTTGACCCCAAAGGGCAAGCTTACCAACAACAACAGAGTCCCCTTCTTGGAGGAAGTTGGCTGCGGCCTTGAAACATTTATCCTTGCTACCCCACGGTTAGGCCTGCTTGGGGCGCGCGGCGAATGCCGAAACGAACCTCTTTAGGATATCCTGATTGACCCTCTCGTAGCCTAACGGCTTCAGGTATTTCCAATAGAAGGTGCTCTTGCCAGCCCCCGGCGGACCAACAAAGAGAATGATGTCCTGGTCGTTTGTCTTCGCAAGGCCAACGCTGCTGTCCTCCGCTTGATCGACGAACGGAAAGTTACCGAGATCGAAATCTCTCCGAAAGTCGCGCGGATCCTCTCCAAGGAAGAACTCTTCTGGAGTCTGATACTTGATGTTGATGTTGTGAGCGAGGTTCCGGTCGGAGCAGCTGAAGTCCTTGGCGGCGGCGCTGGCTCCCTTCAAGTCGGCGGTGCGGCCCCCGGCGTCGCCAACGAACAAACTCTTCTCTCGGTCGATATCGGACTCGGCAAGGTCATAGTCGACTTTCATCTCGTTCCACATCCCCGGCCGTGGCTTCCGGTAGATGTCCCTTCCCGTCGCCGCGTACAGCGTGATGGGAATACCCAGCTGGCTCAAGACGGCGCTGCATTTCTGCTTGAACGTGGACACGCGGTTCTTCGCACTCTTTGGCCCTTTCGCCTGGGGATCAGGGTGGAGTGTCAAGCCGCCTTGGTTGGTGAAAATGACAACCCGATACCTGGGACGAGCGACCATCAGCAGGTGAAGTAGACAGCAGACGAATGATAGATGGCGCACCCCTCGTCATTGTATAATTGCCTCAGTCGCTCAGGAACCGAGTGGTGCCACCACTTCCAGTCGGCCGGGTCGTCGGTGAATCGCTTGCCCGAGGCCGCTATAATAAGCGTCGAGTCCTGCCTTTGGATAAGCTCTGGAATCATCCAGACTGTGTGGCAGCGATGGGCATACCAAGTCAAACATCGCAACCCTTCGCCGCTTCACAGTAGTATCCAGAACTCTGGCCTCGTCGTTCTCGGGGACATATTTTGCGACGAGCAAGGTAGGGGGTGTGTCGTCGTCGGGTCTTCTCTCGAACCATGTGGTGCGATCCTTCGGCTTTTGCGACGACGGCGTGAAGAAACTGGCAACAGCGCTCTCTGCGAAACGCGCGGACTTTGTCAGCGAGGCGCATCGGCGAAGATGGCGCAATGCGGCGACTCACTCGAGATTGCAGCCTGGGTTTTGCGTTTCAGCGGGGGCGGGGAAATGTCGCGGTCATTGTCGGACGCGGGTCGCTTGGTCGCTGAAGGGGATGGTTGAAGATCTTTTGAGGAAGGCATTTCGAATGCCTTGTCTGGACATCCGCGACGCGTTGGCTGCCGTGGTACTTTGCTAATATCTAGGACGTATCGGCGGCGAGGGAGGTCTGGATTGAACTGCAGGGATAAGTTGTCGGGACACGAGCGCGATTCTGGAGCGAAACCATGTGACCACTTGAGCGGTCGAAACCAGCATTTAGCCCTAACCCTTATAAGGTTCATGGATACCAGGTATGGATGGGAAGGTGGAACTGCAACCAAGTCCGGGGAACGTAACTAAATACGAAATACAGTATCTTTACAATGTATCGCCAAGAGCCCTCAGTGATTTTCAGCAGCAGAACAAGATGTATCATCGCCACACGCTAAAAAGGTCAATTCAGCATCAACTTCAACCTTTCGAACCGCCACTAGAGACGTCTGCCGCGGTCATGGAGTCCATCATCTCGAGTTTCTCTCCCCTCTCCATCAATTTTGGTAACGGCTTCAGGCTCGTATTTAACAGGTAATAAATTGAAGATGCCCGGTCAGTTAACGAGCGTATCGAAGTTTTTCTGAACAAGCAAACACCTGTAGCGGATCCTGAGCACATCAGGGCAGCTCTATTACGCCTTGACATCTCAACAACCGCGACCGAGCAAAACCGCCGACGCCCGCTTCATCGAAGAGTGCTTTGACCTCTCCTGGGTGACGGTCAGTTCGTCTCATGTTCTGCTGCGACCGGTGGGGGAACGAGGGAATTCACCGGCCCTTGCGCTGGTGAAAGGCTCAGGCAACAACATCAGACGGACCTACGCAAGGGTGCTCGAAGTCATGATGCGGACACAACCCACAGTCACCAAGCAGTCAGTCATCTGATCAGAATACTGAGGCAGTGGAGACAGGCCTGCAAAGACCCAGAATGCCGTCGAGATGGTCAAACAGCTTGCGTCCTGTTTTTCATCTCATGATAAGGTGACGCTTGGTCCCGACGATACTGGACCAGATATCTAAGGATTTGGGGTTGAAGGACGCCGAGAAGGAGCTTGCAATGGTACCCCATCAACCCTAGGGCTGGGTTGGTTCTTCCACGGAATTTATGTCGGGTGCGAATCGTACCTTCTTCTGAGAAACACGACAGGGGCAATCAGAGAAGCTTTCCACGTTGTGACTGCGCCCTGACGCTTGCATGAGCGCCCGAGAGCTGCTCGTGACCATAGGAAAGGGACCGGACGTCGGTCCCTTTTGGCACTGGATGCTCAGGTATGACCTACTTAAGGTAGTAGGAGATAGGGAGGCTTTGGTCTTCCTTCCTCCTGCTCTACTAATCCTTTTCGACTTCCTTCCCGCACAGTCACCATCGGTTTCCGCTTTTGCTTCCCCATTGCTCGACACATCGTTTTAGTTCAGTTCTGCTAGACCTCCACGCCGTCGCCTCCTACGTATCTTCGTTACCGTCCGATGAACACCTAGCAGCTTTGTTGTACTAGACCACTTTACGTACCTAACCTACTATCCCTAATTCCCTACCTACAATGCCTTCGCTCTTAGAACGGTGGTTGGTATGGATGCCTGCGAACGGCAGGGTCTGGCGCATCGCCGCGCTCGCCGTAATTGGTAAGCCGCCTTTTTCCGTCCCGCGGTGATGGATCGAAGGGGCTGCCGCCCCCGATGGCTAACAGACAGGGGCCTGTTCCACCAGGCGGTGCCTTGTTTGGCTTCGACATCACGTCCATGTCCGCAATCATCTCGACACAGCCGTACCTGTGCCAGTTTAACCAGCGAGGATTTGGCGAGGACGGGCTTTGCTTGGGCCCGTCGTCGACATTGCAAGGCCTCATCGTGGCCATCATGCCGCTCGGCTCCCTGTTCGGCGCGCTGCTCTCGGGCTGGCTTTCGGACAGATTCGGCCGCAAGAAGTCGGTCATGGGTGGCTCTCTCATTTGGTCAGTACTCCTCTTCTCCTCTCTGGCTGGCGCAGAATCTGGCTGACCAAGACGGCAGGATTGTCGGCTCCATCCTGGTCTGCGCTGCCGTCAACAGCGCCATGCTTATGGTTGGTCGCTTCGTCAACGGCCTCTCGGTCGGCATCTGCTCCGCCCAGGTCCCCGTCTACATCACCGAGGTCTCTCCGCCGACCATGCGCGGTACGCTTGTCAGCCTCCAGCAATGGGCCATCACCTGGGGCATCTTGATCATGTACTTCATCTGCTACGGCTGCTCCTTCATCCAGGGCACTGCGTCTTTCCGCGTCCCCTGGGGTCTGCAGATGCTCCCCGCCGCCTGCTTGTTCGGCGGACTCTGGCGCGAGCCTGAGTCTCCCCGTTGGTTGTTCAAGAAGGACCGCCAGGATGAGGCTAAGCACGTCTTGGCCATGCTCCACGGCCACGGCAACCCCAGTGCACCCTTTGTCCAACGGGAGTTCCAGGAGATCCAGAAAGCCGTCGAAGAGGAGCGCCAGTATGCGAACGTTAGCTGGCTCGAATTGTTCGCCCCCGGCATGATCAACCGCACCTCGATTGGCGTCTTTACTCAGATCTGGTCGCAGCTCACAGGCATGAATGTCATGGTAGGCTTTCCAGCTCTCATCTGCCTGCCGAATAGCGATCACTGGCTCACATGTTGGTCTTCCAGATGTACTACATTACCTACGTCTTCACCATGGCGGGGCTATCACAACCTGGTAAGTTAGCGTCTATGCCGCCTGCATACCCCCTCGAAGGTCTGCGCCGTCCGGGGGACTAGGGAAGAGATAAGCTAACACTTTGCAAAGGTAGCAATGCCGTCCTGCTTCCCAGCGGTATTCAATTTGTGATCAACGTGGTCATGACTGTGCCTGCCCTCTTGTGGCTGGACCGCTGGGGCCGCCGCCGGACCCTCCTCGCGGGAGCCGCCCTGATGTGTCTCTGGCTCACCATCAATGCCATCCTCTTCGCCCTCTACTCGCGCACTCCGGAACCCGGCGAGTTCACATCGGCCTCTGAGTCCATGGCCGTGTCCGGACCGCCTGCCAAGGCCATTGTGGCGTCGACCTTCCTGTTTGTTGCCTCGTTCGCGCCGACCTGGGGTCCCGTGTCGTGGACCTATCCTCCGGAGCTCTATCCCCTTCGCCTCCGCGGCAAGGCCGTTGCCCTTGCAACTTCGGCAAATTGGGCCTTCAACTTTGCCCTTGCCTATTTCGTCCCTGTGGCTTTCGAGACAATCACCTGGAAAGTCTACGTTATCTTTGCAGTCTTCTGTGCCTGCATGTTTCTCCATGTCTTCTTCGCTTTCCCCGAAACGGCCAACAAGACGCTCGAGGAGGTGGAGGAAATCTTTGACGACACGAAGCCCGGCGGTGAGTTGGGTTTTGTTTCCAGTTTTGAGTGCTCCCGCGCCGTTAAAGCCCTGCTAACTGCCTGCGACTCCAGCGATCAAGTTCATCGGCACACCGGCTTGGAAGACGAAGAACAATCGCGCCGTCATGATCCGCCGGGAGCACGCCGACGAGGAGTCGGGAATTGCGGTCGTGGAGGTCGAGTCCGGAATCACTATCGGTACGCTTGTGGACGTCCATCCTCAAAAGTCATCCAATGAGTCAGCGCATTGAGATTGACAGCCTTCTACCTCCCCTCGCCGCGACAACTCTAGGGAAGCAGCACAGCATTTGGGTATTTTCTACACGTTGGCTGGAGGAATTCTGTCATCCGGCTGCTTGGTTTGGACAAAATTCTTGTTGGCAGTGCCAAAACTATAAAGCACGCCTATGGAGCATTGGGGTATTCTGAATAGTTATTCCTCCCTATTAAAACCATAATGACTTACGACAATGAAATTGGAATTAGTTTGCTGCCTGTGTTCGTAGTGCACTGCCGTGCTCTGCGCGTCGTGTCAGTATGGACTTGTCAAAGTCGGCACACATATTGGTGATGATGAGAGGTATTTAGGTATCTATCCATGATCTCTGCCAATCTCATTATCGAGAGTGCTACAACTTGTCGAGTAAACATATGAGCTACTGCGATATCACACTTTCATCTAATCCATTAGTTACCTATTTGTCCTAAATCAGTACAGTTCTGCTCGGCTAACAGCGCTACGTCGGTCGACAAGATCCTAGTATTACAACTTTAAAACGCCGGATGGGATTTCTCTCTTCCAGCTTTGAAACCCATTTTCTTCCTTTCAATCTTAAACTGGAATCCCGCTTTTCCCAACATTGAACTAGACTTCCCCCCTTTCCAAGCCGGAATCCCATCCACATCTTCTCTGGTAAGACATCTCTCAACCTTTGCTCTTGCCCCAAGATACCGTCAATCATGATGCATCTTAACCAACATTACCAGGCAAGCCAAGGTACTTAATCAGCCTCATACTGCCCGGGGTAACACTTCGCAAGACCAGTATTCCCCGAACGCCCCTTCATGGTATCCATCTTGCAACTGGCCCTGCCATGCTTCCTGTGCGCCCCGGGCGCCGTCTTGACGGCAACCGTGTAGTTCTCGCCCGTCTGCGCCACCGCATGGACAACCACGTCCTCACCAAACGGCCACTCCCCCTCGGACTGCGCATCGTCCCGGTCGTCGTACTGCGCATACTCCGTAGTCGCCGTCTCTCGATCGCCGTCTTCTTTCTGGAGGACGGCCCTCGCCGCGGCCAACGCGTCGGCCCGCCGTGCGTAGCAGCCCTGGATCGAGGTCGTTTGAAACGAGCCCGGGCCGCTCCCCGGGCTCCGAAGGCTGTTGTTGTTGTCTTGGTTGTAGTCGGTTTGGGTCTGCAGGACGTAGTGCAGGTTGTCGTGGCCTGCCGGCAACTGCAGCGTGTCTCGGTTGTTGGGATCCGCGGGGAGGGATTCAGTGTTGGGTTTGGTGTCGAGCCCGACGAGGAATTCGTGGTTCATGGGGGGTTTGAGTTTGGCGTACACCATGACGCCGTCGCCATGCTTCCAGTTTTCCGGTGGGGTGCTGTTGGCCCGCGTGGCGTACTCGACAAAGTCGGAGGGCGAGTAACCCAGCTGCTGTTCCAGTGCTTCGAGGGCAAAGGCCTTGGCTGCCTCGAGCGTGGTATGGGTGCCCAGCACGTAGACATCTCGGATCGAGCCTGCTGTGTCGCGGTGGTAGTCGACCACAGTCAGGGTCGTGTGGTAGACTTGTTCTGGGACAGATGGGTTTCCATTGGTGTCGGCCATCTTCGAGATGCCGGAGTTAAATGGCGGCTCGTGAGCTCCAGGTGGTGCCCGTGGTGATCAGGGAAGAAAATCTCCAATTCCGTCAGGTGATGGATATCATGACACAGTGAGACTCGAACTCTCTCGCACCTGCATCATATGTGCATACTGAGTCTTACAAAAACACACGTTGTCGGTGGGTCGCCCATGGCCTGGGCGTCTGACAAAAAGTCAGTCCATGACGCCAGTATGAGGTGGCGCGACATGCCCCTCACCAATTATCTGTAGATAAATATGCGCCAGCCTGTATCATCTGAAGCCGGTACTCATTCGAGGAGGACAGTAAAATTGTAAAAGTAGGTGTGATGAAATCCAGTCGTAATCTTTGCACCGCTCATGTACGGTGAATCTCACAAATACATGGGACCTACCTGATTTCAAGGTGAAGCTGTCTCACCACTGCTGGACCCATTTTCGAATATCAAAGGGCGTTATACCGGATATCCTATGCTTGAAATCTGGCATGATTAAATCAAGTAGAACATGTTGCTCGACCCCGACTTGTTTGCCCGATTACCGAGGAGTCAAGGCGACGTCGCTTCTCAACCGTCAAGGGAGAACATCTCGCCAACCAGCTCTTCGCTTAGTTTCCACAGCCGATCGGCAGCAACGGCGTCACTAGCATGCGGGAATGGCTCCGCGAACTGACAGTCGGAGAGATACAGGGCCTTGACATCTATATCATTATCCTGTTAATATTGGCAACTTCTAGAGAAACTCGGAGCAAGAGCGGTGGATATGGGGCAACCTACCATTCAGAGCGGGATCCAAAGCTGCCACAAGCGTGGTGGAGCTCCCCTCGTTAGGAGTCTTCCAGTACGGCGCAACGTGGTAGAACTGGGCCGTCAGTTCGTCATCTTGATCGCGGCTGAGGTCTGTCTCGATTGCTGAGAAGGATAGGAGCATACAGTCAGCAAAGGCATCGTCGTATTCAAATAGCCTGTATGCAAGACTGGTTGATCTTACTGCCAGGGTGGAGAGTGTACGCAGCAATTCCGGCTTTGGTCAGATGCTTCTGAAGAGAGACAGTAAATAAGATGTTTGCCGTCTTGGACTGCGCGTACGTGACGATGCCGTTGTACCCGTCCGGGGCACACTTAGCAAAGGCCCCCGGGAGTGGCTTGAAGTGATCTTCCTCGGGCGGCACCTCCTTGCCTTCAAAGTTGTAGTCCGAGAAGCGGATGGGAGACAGCCTGTGTCCCGCACTGCTGAGCGACACGATTCGTGTAGACCCCGGAGGGTTGGACTTGGCCGCCTTGCACAGGAGGGGGAGGAGGAGGTTGGTGAAGAGGAATGGACCAATGTGGTTGGTGCCAAACTGCTGCTCGATGCCCTCGGGCGTGGCCTGGCGGGATGTAACCACGATGCCGGCGTTGTTGATGAGGATGTCGAGCTTGTCGGTCAGGGCTGCGACGTCGGCAGCGGCTTGTCGAACGGATTTTTGAGAGCCCAGGTCCAAGAGGACGATCTCTACCCGTGTGCTAGGGAACTTCTCAGCAATCTGATTGGCTACCTCTTGAAGTCGCGACTTGGTCCGGGATGCGAGTATCAGAAGCCCCGGGTTCTGAGATGCGAGGTTCAAGACGGTCGCCGAGCCGATTCCTTTCGGACTGACGCCCGTAACCAGGACTGACATGGAACGTGGTTAGCAAGTTCCAGCTCGGCGGTTCGAAATATCCGTGAAGCTTGCACGGTATACTTGCTTGTCTTTCCCCGTATCTGCTCAGCGAACACTCTGGCAACCTCGGAGCCAGGCGTCCTTTGGCCAAACGTAGAGTTAGAAGTCATCGTTCTTGGTGCGGACAAGAGGTCGTAGCCGGAAGGTGAGTCGGCGTAATATGACTGGTGTCGGAAGCTGCCCTGCAGATGGTGCAATACCTTATATGGCCGAGTAGAGCTCTGCTAGGGCATACATTTTCCGCCGAATTACCCGCCATCTCTCGGCCGGATTAGTGAAGGTCACTATCCGTTCCTGTCATTACCCTTCACAGGCTGAGCGCCGTGTTCAGCTTGCCCAGCGTCCGGGCTCGGCAATCTCGAGATAGCGGCACTACCCCGCACCCTGCTTTGGACTTTCGTTCCAACCCCGAAGGGCGCCGAACAGGAGACAGGGAAAGGTTGTCCGTGAGCTTGTCGGCGGAAGTTGAGTTCCCCACCGTCCAATTGGGTCCATATCCAACCGCCGGGGTCCGGCAGTTTCAGCTTCGGCTCATGCGCTTCAGGTCTGCATGTGAGGTACAGACCTTAGAGGAGCTTGTGATTGATGGATGTCATTCGCGCTTTCCAAAATATCCGATTCTCTAACAGGCACTGTCATCACAACAGTTGGACATACGGGCAACGACTGAGTGCAATTGACAATAGTAATCCCCACTATCGCCTGTTCGGTTGGAGTTGTCCGAGAGCCTCACCCCATACGTTCTGTGGTGACGACGCTCCTAGAGTGGAAAGAAGCTGTCCGCCATATCCGGGTGTTGCCCATGGGTGATGAACTCCGCGGAGGATCGTTGGGGGGGGGGGGAGGGGGGAAGACTGATGGTTAACGTTACTGTAATCTTGAAATGCCTAATAACTATAGTTTAGCTAAAAACCATGTTTCTTTTTATTATATTGAAGAAAATCTAAGATTATAAGCTCATATACTATTTTAGCATATTTGAAGTATTCGAAGAGGTCTGCAATAGGATTTGCAACTAACGTTACTTCTAAGGACTTTAAAGAGCTAGAGGGCCAACGCAACCTCTAGCAATTTAGGTTTTGGAAGACCAACAGCCACGATTCCACGGTGATCACACAGATGATGGGAGCTTACAACAGTCAGATTTGAGATGCTCGGAGCATCCCAGATGTTCTTGATTGAAGGTTGTTCTTCTCTCACGTCTCCAGCGAAGGGGGAATCGCCCTGACCTCGTTGCCCAGCGCCCTGGTTACCCCTCACGTTGCCTGACGCTCAGTTGGGCAGCCATGCATCCAACAGCAGGGCACTTGCAGCTGAGCGTCCAAGTTTCCAGTGCCACGACTTTCCAACATGAGGAAGCTACAGATGCTGTTGTAGTTTGGAGAGCCTAAGGCAAGAACTCTATAGAGGCTCTCAATAAAGCCTGGAAGCTAGGTGGGTATGACGGATCTCGAAGTCCCAACTTCTGAAAAGGACTCCTAAAGGTTAGTTATAACTTATTAACGGAGTGAGGTTCGGTGAAGCTAAAAGGTTCATAACAAGTGCATAAGTGTCACGGCCCCACCATGAGCCCTACACTTGGGCATTTGGCGGGCGAGACTGTGGATTTCATGGCGAAGCGACATGACTCGCAACAGAGGGAGGATATCTGGAGAGCGGGAGACTCAGATTGGAACTTGGAACTTCCCTCTCTCAAGGACCAGTCAGTTGGTTAGTGTTGCACGCACAATACGGACTTTGCATCGATCACGTCGTCCTATTCCAAGACGGGATATGCCTTCACTTCGCCGCTGCCATACACCGCTACTGCCACGGTGCCACCGGCACGTCAACCGCCCCCGACACGTCATCATGAAGCCCATCGGCCTCACCCGCCGACGTGTTAGAGCCGGGCTGTGTCTCGCTATACACGATTCAGCGGGGGGACACTTGCAACAGCATTGCTCTATCGCAAAACGTCAGCACGTTCGCAGTCTATGGCTCCCACGGCATTGCCGACTGCTCCGATCTGCCCGCCGGGTCCAAGATGTGCCTCCTCTGGCAGTGCCGGTTGCACCAGGTACAGGAGATGGACACATGTGACTCTTATCATCGCAGGCGCCGGCATCACTTTCACCAGCAACCACTTCGGCGGCAAACTCGGGCTTCACCACGTCTACCCGAACTGTGTCCTCTATAGCCCCGGCATCTCGAGCTGCTGGTAGAGGGCCTGATGGCTACTTCCGCAGGCGCACGCTCTTTGTGGGCTCAATTACACCCGACTCCTTTGGCTCAGCTCGCTCCGAAACCTGAGTCCCAATGTCTCTCCATTGAGCTTGACCGTGACAGCAAGGCGAGCAAAAGAACCAAAAAAAAAAAAAACATCGAGCTTCTCTTCAGGACGTATTGCACATCGTAAAGGCAGGTCGGTTCGAATAAGCTAAGTTGGCAACTCAGCGCCCGAAAATGTTGTCGCCAGACTGCGAGAGGTAATACCACATGTGCGGGTTGACTTGGAGGTCGGCATACAGACCAACCAGGTCATCGATCCTGACGCGCTTGCTCATATCCTCCATGTCTTCCTCTTCCAGTCTTCGCCCCCCATCCCAGACCCAGAGATACTCACCCTTCCCTAGAGCCTCTATCCCGTTCAAGAACACAATCTTCGCCATCACCACTGTGCAAAAGTACCCGCCCTTCTCCTTCGCCCTCGCGTCGTCCACCACGCTCTCCAGGCTCTCCTCGTCGACGTGCAAGAAGAATGTGTGCCTCGGTGTGTTAGGACAGTCTGGCGAGAATTCACTGCCCGCCAGCTCCCGGCCGCCCGGGCCCCGCTCCACCCAGTCCACGAACCGGCGGCTCGTCTCGACCATGTCGGCCCCCTCGAGCGCGGCCGGGTCCTCGAAGACGGTCCAGCGCATGCGAGCGTAGACGTCCATCAGCCCGGCCTCCTCGAAGCAGTCGCGGGCGTGCCCCCGAACAAGGTCGGCATACTTGTCCCACTTCTCCTGGGATCGGTAGGTGCAGCGGAACAGGACAAAGCCCCAGTCGTTGAGCCTGTACAGATCGAGGGCTCTCTTGATTGTGTGGGCGTCGCTGAATTTGGATGCGACAAGCTTGGGCGTGAGCTGAGGCTTGTCTTGGGGACGTGATGATTGTGCCTCCGTGTTGGGCTGCATTGCAGCGGTTGCTGGGAGCGGAGCTGTGGGATCGGGGTACGGCTTTGTTGAGAAGAATGCCCGGGCCAGAGCCGGAGCTTGCACGCGGGGAGGAATGAGCTGTCGTGGCATCTTGGAAGAGATGTAGGCGCCGGGAATAGGGCCACGAACGGGCTGTATCCACGCTCTCAACGCGCGCGGGTATCTAGAAGTCATGGTCGGGCTTTGGCTGGCACTAGATGTGTTGGATTGGCAACAGCTATAGGTGAAGATGACTGGCTCATACAGATCACCAGTGAATGCATCAAATGATAGAAAATCGGTAGCGAACTGTAGTATTGTAATGGTGTGGTTGCGTGCAAAAGAAGAGCGAGAGGTTGGGGAGGGCCACATGTAGGTGGTGGTTCGGGAAGGAACCCCTTGGGGTGAAAACCGGTATAAAACTAGGGCCCAATGGGCCAAGGAACTCTCCGCTCTTCTCTTCTTTTCCAGGCCTTTCACAATCAATCAGTCAGTCAGTTGCACAGTTGGCCTGCGGGCAGCAGTTAGGCCTTCGGGCCATCGGCCTTCGGGGCCATTCCATCAATCAATCAAATCGATTCCCATCTTCAGATCCCTTTTTGGTGGTCGCCAGACCCAGTGATATACCACTGAGAGGTGACAAATGCCTGAACGCCTGATCACCACCCAACTTTTTTCGATGTACTTGTACAGTGGAACCTCAACTCTTCAAGTGCAGCTTGGTCGGGAGAAGCTCGCTGAATGGTTATCAAACAACTCTTTTGAGCTCAACGGATCTTGCCTCAATTTTTAAACCGACGACGGAGTTGGACTTTGCAGGTCTAGATCTATATGGAGAGATAGTTGGCCTTGGTTTCTATGCGTAAATCTGGTGGGGGCGCGAGGGGAGCGTCACGAGCCAATCATTTAGAACAGGGGTATAGCCAATCACGACGGGAGCGCGAAGTCAAGCATTCGCTCCATGGAAGGAGCGATGGGAGCGACGAGCGCTCCCAGCGGACCAGGAGCGGCAGGAGCGAACTTCGCTCCTACGCTCCTAAGGACAGTAGGAGAGGAAGCTGTATATAGTTCACGATCCCCAGAGCCTACGGGCATCACAGTAGCTTCCTCAGTAAGCAATACAAGCAGTCAGCCATATCTACTGTTGAGACAATTGCTTGTGCACTTGTGAACCCTTTGGCTTCACCGAACCTCACCCCGTTGTCAATTATAACCTTCAGGAGTCCCTTTCAGAAGTTGGGGCTTTGAGATTCGTCACACGACATCTTGTTGGAAGACCAACAGCCACGATTCCACGGTGTTACGCTTCATGGGAGCATTTAAAACAGTGAACTCTTCGAGTGCCCGGGACAAGCCCAGAATCTGTCAATTGAGGGTTCTGTCCTTCTCCTTCTCCAAGTTGCCTGGGTGCCTCCTAGACCTTATGTAACAGCTGTGTATTACCCCTGACCAGGGACGGTACCGGCAACCCAGTTTTCGAGTTTCAACCTTCACTTCCAACACTACCCCTTACCTCCCTGCATAGTTGGTCTACCAGTGGGACTGTGGCACTAGGAGCTCGGACCCCTCTTTCCCGATGGCCCCCTTGAGTGGGGCATACATTAATGGGATTCGCGCCTTGGCATCAGTCGCGGCACGACCTGGATCTAACGACCGCGTCGCTAACAACGATCGGCCCTCCCCAAGTCCATTACATCCCATTATCCATTCAGAACGAGCTCAAAATGTCGGACTCGGACGAGTCTGAGCCTATTGGTTACCTCGCTGAGCAACCCGACAACTTCGGCTCGGATGTTTCTGATGACGCCGACGAGATTGATGAAGGCTCTAGCTCCGAGCCTGGTTCGCAGTCTGAATCAGAGTCGGGCTCTGACGACTCACCCAACGACGTCTTCGACTTGGAGGCAATAGACTCGGACGATGAAAACAGTGAGGACTCGGATGAAATCGATGATGAAGACGACAGACGGCGGCTTGACCCGCGGTCAGACGACCACTCCTTCCCGCACTTCATGCGCCTCCCGCTGGAGCTGCGCATTCGAATCTGGGAATATTTCTGCCCCGACCTCACGGCCGAGTCTCGCGTCTACTGGTTCTCTCTCATGGGCGGCATGTTTCTCAACAAACAGGGCAGATATGAGGACCCGGTGGTATACGATGGCCAGTTCCTGGAACAGCAAACTCGAGCCGCCCGTGCCATGTTGGCTGTCCACCACCAGAGCCGCCACCTGGCACTGAAGGCTTTCCCTGACTCTCTTTCCTTTGGCAGACGCGGCCGCAACGTCCTCCGGTTCAACTCGCACAAAGACATTGTGGTGGTGGGCTTCAGCGATGTGTTGGCCAAGACAGCCATGCCCCGGATTCGGGGCTTTTCCAAGCACATCCGTCACCTGGCTCTCGAGTCGGATGTACTGGCCGACCATCATTGCCGCTTGTCGCCGCTCCTTGACAACTTCGAGAACCTCACGGCAGTCTATTACGTCCATGATCAAGCCGATTTCCGGTCACGACACCTGCGCTGGTGCATGACCGATTTGGCGAAGCGATACTCCGTCACCACATTCGAGGAGCAGCCTGGTCTCGGCGAGGAAGCCCAGCATACGTACTGCTGGCCCGACGTCGACAAGCATGGGCTGCTTGTCGCCAAGGATGTCCCGCTGGACGGGTTGGCCGACGATTTGACGAAGATCTACTACGAGATCAAGGGGGCGAAACACAAGAGACGTCCGGTCTGGCCCTTGGTCCAGTTTCTTTACGGGTCCTCCAACCTGCCGTATCTTCCCTGGGAGTCATCCGATCAAGAGGAAGACGACGAGGAAGAACCAGATGAGTATGAAAGCGAGGGGATCGACGACTCGGATATCAGCGATGATGATGACGGCAGTGACGACTCGGATGACCATGACTTGCATGTGTTGGATGGAGAAGAGTTGGACCCAAATTTGGACCCGAAATGGGACCCAGAACTAAACCCGACTGGCTCCGATATCGAGCCACATATCGATATCCCAACAGGTGCCAGACCCCGGGCCAGTATCCTCGATCACACTGCGGATCTCGACCATCTTGACCCACCCTACGATAGCAATGCCGGGTTCTCCAGCCCGGAGCAGTCATCTACAACGTTGCAAGGATCAGACAACGATGAGTCCGCCAGCGAATCCGACCAAGCACCTCGCACGTCAAAGCTAAAACGACCGAGAGGGCGAGTCGTCGCGTCTGACTCGGAAGATGACTCGGACGACGATGGCCTTCTTCGCAAACGAGCACGCACCGAGAATCGCGGTGCCCCCATCGTATTGTCCAGTGACGACGAGGAAACTGAAGTCTGGACGATGCCGGCAAATGGCCGAGTTCGAGCGGTCATTGCAGAGGATTCAGACGAGGAGGACGAGGACGAGGACGAGGATACGGACGAGGTTACGGACAACCGGCCTGTTATTTCCAGTTCTGATGAGGAGGATGAGGATTCCGAAGAAGCTGCCGTCGTCTCCAAACCATTGTCCCTCGCCGAGAAGCTGCAGCTACATCGCGAAAGAAACCCCATTCCCCCGTCCGACGACGGGAATTCCGACATTGAAGAGCAGCGCGGTGATGACTACAGTGCCCGGGACTATGGGGATTTCCAGGACGATGATGAAGGCAGTGAGGCTTCGGAAAGGGGGGAAGACGATGACGAGCAAGAGCAGTTCCTGGATGACGATGATGACGATGAGGAGGACTACGAAGCCTGATACGCCGCCCGGCTTCACTGAGTCTTCCTAGGGGTGGAGAGACGGCTTGCCTACTATCGATAGATGGATACCAAACGGTGACAGCTGCTTCAGAACTTGAAAGGGTTGGGCATTCCTTACCGTCGGCAAGTAATATGTTCAAGACCAACATCACTGGGAACCATAACAATACCAAGACCACTTTGAACAACACCAGAGCAATTACCCGTGTCGCACAACAAGGCACCAGCTCACCGCCACACAACTTTCAGGAGTGTTGCCCAGCAATTGGTCTAGCTAGCTAGACATGTGCGGTATGTTTTCTGTCCCTGCTAGACAGAATACCGCCACATCCAACTAACCTCCTCCACGGTATCCAAAATACCATTCCAAATCTTCTAAAGTTGGACCTCAGTTAGTTCTCACAAGGCAGGCCCCTCCCAGGTCTCTCTCCTCAGCCTCCCAAACCACGCCTGCTTATGGGGAAACGTAATCTCCTTTTCCTTCGTGAACCCGGCCTCCTCAAGATGCTGGATGAATCTGTGTCGAGCTGAATTAGCCTGCGACCCCCACATATCCAAGACGGCACTGGGAATGGATGATGGTTGCAACAACTAACCTGACATTATCCACCCTCGGCTCCAGACAGATGCTCATAGTCCTGTTATCAGCACAAAACATCCAGTGCACCAAGCTGCTCAGCCAGCTCTGCACCCTCCCGCGCGCCCACTCCTCGCCAATCAGCACATGGCACCCGCGGTCCCAGTCCTCGATGCCCGCGCCGGCATACCGCCCCAACACATCCTCCTTGACCCAGTACAGCTCAAAGTAGCCGAACGGCACGCCGTCCCATAACCCAATGGCCGGAAAACTGTGGCGGCTCTGCAGCGCGTTGGCCAGCATGCCGGGCGCGTACTCGCCCCAGAAGTGAGCCACACGCGGGTTGGCGTGCCACGTCTCGAGCAGCGCCGAGTCGGGCAGGGAGAGAAGGTGCTGTGACGACGAGGACGAGGACGGCGGCTTCTTCTTCTTGTTGTTGTTGTTGTTGTTGTTGTTGGGCCAGGCCACGGGCCCCATGTAGGGCACGGGCTTGGGTGAGATCGAGGCGACGCGGAACGAGAGGTACTGCCCCACCGATGGGACGAAGCGCGTGTAGAACACCTCGCCCATGCGCGGCGGTTTCGGGCGGAACGGGTGGCGTACGTGGTTGGTGATAGTGTATTGCAGCGGCGGCGGCGGGTAGTAGGTCGGGAGGTGGGAGGCGCTGAAGAAGGGCCCGATGGGGAACGAGGGCACGCTGGTGAGCGAGGCCGGCGGCGCCGCCCCGGGGAGGTCGGCTGCCTCGGCGGCGGCGGCGGCGACTGGCGAGCCTGGCCTGCTCGGCGTCGGCGAACCGGGGTATGAGCGGGCCATTGTGTTCCCGGCGGGCTGGAGGGTGAAGAGGAACAGGCGGCCTGGTATTTGCCAGAACATTCGCTGCGAGACGAACATGTTGGCCCAGACGTCGTCGCTGTCCTCCAACGCTGTGCCGACAGCCGAGTTGAAGCTCGCGATCAGCCCCATGCGCTCCAGCTTTGGTATTAAGTTTCGCCCACGCAGCACGCCGTCCCGCTTCACCCGCACTCTCCAATCGCCCCTGGGTTTGCCGGGTTTGGGAGTCAGCTTGGAAGCTTCGGTCGTCAGGGTAGTTGGCGGCGGCGGCTGGTGAAAGTACCAGTAGAGCGTGACCCAGAGCATCATGGCGATCTGACGGGTAGGGCTCGCCGCGGGCTTAAAGTCGGAGCTGGAGGGGCTCGAGATGGACGAGATGAAGAGGCTGTCGTTGTGCAACGTCGGCTTCTTGAAGCAGTGAACATGTGGTTTCCTCTCGGACGGGCCCGAGGTCGAGTTGGTCTTCCCTTCCTCGTCGTCGTCGTTGTCGTCGTCTTCGGTGTGGATAACGATAGTCCAGCCGATGGGAAAGGCATTGTGGTGCGTACTCAGTTCGTTCGACTTGAAGAAGAGGCCGGCAAATACGGGCGTCACAGTGAAGCGCTGCCCGTCTGGCAGGTGGATGACTTGAGGGCCCATTGACGCCGCCAATCCAGTTGCACTCGGAGCAATCTGGGGCCCGAAATGAAGCGCGGGGTAGCTGTAGCTGTCGCTGGGATGAGCTGTAGATCGGATCAGATCGCCGTACGCAGCAGCGAATTCCATGCTTGCTACACTGACCTTGATTGTTTCAAGGTGACTTGAATTGTTGAGATATGACTGCGACTACTGTGGTTATACGATTTTGGATGCAGCCTAGCTTGTCGCGGACAGGACGACAATCACTCCATAACTGCGCGCGGGGCTTGGAGGGGTTCACGCGACAGTTTGGGAATGCCGTCATAGCTCCGATGGGGCCCGTAGCAGAGCGGTTAGCGGTCGGCAGTGAGGGAACAGATGACCCCACCTTCCCCACGTACCGCCGAGTGTCGGGGGTCCAAACCAAATCCACTTTTGGCAAAAGGACTGTGGTTTTGAGCTTCCGCGACGGTCATCAAATCTGTCGTCGTGTTCAGGTATCTATCTACCTGCACAGTATCTCAGACTCGCCGAGGAAGAGGCTACTACTACCCGCTTCGACTGGTCCCGCCTTCGTCGCCATCACTCGCCGACCCCGGTTCCTCCTTCTTTCTCCTCTCGTGCTCAGTGTACGCTTCGTCCTTTTCCTTTTCGGAAGACCGCGGGTTGTGCCCTGTCTTGGTTCGCTCCTCAGTCAGAACCTCCTTGACCTCATCCCCGACCTCCTTTGCTTCGTCCCAATCAACGTCGTACTCGACCGCCACCACCTTGATCTCGTGCCGCAACGCGTTTGCTTCCTGGACGAGCTGCTCCCATTTGTGTAGGTCGAAGCCGCGGGCTTGGTAGAGGGCGTCTTGGCGGCGCGACACGGTCACATTCATGGCCGCCTTGTAGCTCAGGTCCTTGCTGATGTACAGGAACCACAGGTAGCCACCCATGATGGTCGTCAGCCCGGCGAGATACGTCACTGGCTCGACAAGGTCCCTGGAAATCATTGTCAGCTGAGTCCATTCAGCTCCCACGACAGTTTCCGGACACATACCAGCCAAACTCGGTATGGAAGGTGACATAATAGACGACCCCCCACCAGCACGAGAGCACCGCGAACCCTCCCTTGGCCAGCAGGTTGGCGCCCTTGTGCGCGAGCAGGTCGCACTCGCGCTTCAGCCTCGACAGCTCGTCAATCTGCCGACTCATCCTGCGGAGCTGGGCGCGCATGTAGTAGGTCCGGTCATTGAAGGACGGCACGCTGACGCGCATTTCGACGTCGTACCCCTCGATGTCGATGGCAAACTCCCGGCCTCGTGCGGCGTCGCGGATGAAGTCGCCCACCTCGGTGCTGTTGCTCCAACGAATCCACCTCTTATCTGACCCCTCCCGCTCGGGGCCCTCGTGGCCGAGCCCGGAATATGATGCGACATTATGATGCGGCGTCCCCCGTAAGCCCCTCTCCTCATCCTTGTGCCTCGCCTCGGACCTCGTTGTTGGCTTGTTGTCGCCGTGTTGGGTATCCTCGGCGCGGAAATACACGCTGGGCGTCTTATCTCTCCCCTTTTCGACCACTGGCGGAATCTCGGCTTGGATCAGGCGCTCTACATAGGACAGTGGCTGCTGCGGGTGCACAAGCAGCGCCAGCGGCTGGATCGTGTCGTTGTGCGAAATAGACCGGCCGGAGTCGTGCTTGCTGTCCTGGTCCGGGCCTTTATGGAGAACGATGGGGAGAGGGACTATCAGCTTCAGCAGGCGTGTCGGCGTCGTTAAGAGCTTGCCTGCACTTATGCATTAGGATTTTGAGTTGCCTTGGAAAGCTCATATTCATGGGGAACCGGTATACCAACCCTTCGTTACCGGCGCGACTTGCTTTCCCTCTTTGTCAACCGGTGGGTTGTCTGCTTCATGACGATGCCATGGGCGCTCGACCTGGCTCTGTCTGGCCCTCACTTCCTGTTCCTGCTCCTCCAGCACTTTTTGATCGAGTTTCTTGGCCTTGGCCTCAGGTTCGGTCTCGTCGGGCACCGCAGTCGAAGCGGCCCTCCATGCGTGCATCACAGGGTGAAGCGGCCGGTGCGAGACGGGATTCTGGGCCTGGAAGCGCGTTGCGAGCTTCCAGGTCGACGAGCCATGTATCAGCTGGCGGTGCAGTCGACCGACTACATAGCTCATGGCGGCTTTGTAGCTCTCGGTGGGTGTGAGGAGTTGTCCTTGGGCTGAAACTGCGCCCATGGGACAGGTGTCTTTTAAATCTCAGTGTACTGTAGGTACGGGAAAGGGCCTGGAAACGTGCGGGTGACGTCAATGCAATCGCCCGTCGCGTGGCATCTCTTGGCGCCGAGCAGGAGTTTCGAACCATTGTCTCTCAGGGGAACAATCACGCAGATCATAGTTCTCTGTCAAATTCAATGCGGAGTATATCATACCAGATGGAGTTGTCCAACCGCTGTTCACATGGAACCTTTCTCCACTTCGGTCCTTTCAAGTTCTCATTGAAGTGTTTGCTACTTATTCAAAAACATACAGTAACTGACGAACCCGCCTGTGACCATGTGAGGTCAAGACATAGATCGGATGGTCTAAGGACGCTAAAAGTACTGTGTATTCAACTCACTGGCATGACCCACTTTCCCAACCATCAAATCCCTTGAACAGACAGCCCTGCTTCCTTGTGAGCAAGCTTCGTTTGCTTTCATCCAGCGGACTCGTCACGACATACTCGAACCACACAAACCCACATACGGTGAAATGACATTCCCCAATAACTACACGCACCGCAAGGTGGCCGAGACCAAGGCCAAGCCGTGCGACATCTGCTTCAAGCTCAGCTCCAGTGTGCTGATCACCCCAGACAACAAGGTCGGTAATTGGGGTTAGCTAGTCGCATGAGCAGCTCCTCTGACGTGTTTTGTCAACCGGCAGGACTGGTTTTACGTCTGCGCCGCCCACGTCAAGGACACCGCCTTTTGTACTCCAAAGATCGACCAGGCCGCCATCGAGGCCCGCAAGAAGCGTGAGCTCGAAGAGGAGATCGAGCGGGTAAAAAAGGAGTACGAGGAGAAGCAGAAACGGAAGAAGGAGAAGGAAGCCAAGGGCGACAAGAAAGACGATGCAGACGCCAAGGCCGACAAGAAGGACGATAAGCCGGAAGAGGACTCCAAAAAGCCTTCAGACAAGGCACAGCCCGTGAGCACTCCCAAGCGCTTGCTGCTTGCCGCCCCCGGAGACTGATAATACCTCTCGTCACAGAACAGGGACAAACCAGCTGCCTCGCCCACCGAAGAGGAGAAGGAGGAGGCGGAGGAACCCCGCGTGTTTGAGCTCAAGAGGTAGGGTGGTAACCCCATTCCGGTAACCTAGGGGGGTTCGTCTCCCATGCTTGTCGTGCTGACGCATCAACGCTCCCAGCACCTTCTACCAGCAGCGGCTGAACAAAAAGAGGCAAGCTGAGATAGCCCGGCGCAACCGCGAGCGCCTCCGGGATCCCACCTACTTTCCGTCGGTGCCCAAGACCCTCCCATAACAAGCAGCCCGACCATCCCAAAAGAACCCAAGGTTTGAGCGCGTGGGTCCATTGACAGCAATCACACCGGCTTTGAGCTCTCTGGATTCCAACACATCAAGGGGACCGGGATGTTGTACAACTCGGAACCTCTCGCGAATTCCTCGTGTCCTCATCCGGCGTCCGGTGTTGCAAGTGACGCCAACAATGAGACGACAAACCTGGCTCGAAGACAAAAGGACGAGAGGTGGGAAACTTTTCCCAGCTCCAAGGGTGCGCCACGACAGCATGTCCTGCGCCTGCCCCCCCGGTGAGCCATGGATGCGAGAGGCCCAACAAGACCACAGCAAACACGGCATGCCGCAGTGATCCGACGGAATGGACTGAGGCGCGCCCGCACGTAGGACAGCCAGGGGAGATGTCCACGTCACTGCTTCAATGCATTCACATTAGTTTCTACGCTCAGTGTTGGCAGATTCGGACTCGCCGCCATGCGCGGTGTGAAATGAAGCATCGCATACGGATAATCCGAAGCGTCAGTCACCCCGCCATGCCTTCGTTGATGATGACATCAGATTGGAAACGGCCTGCCAAGCCCGCTTCAGCAGATGAGTTCGGTGAATTGTTGCCCCATCTGACAAGCGGCTGCGACAAGATGGCGGCTTCTTTAACGGTGCTCGTGGGGGTACGCCATCCGCTCCTTTGCGGAAAAGTTCCGAGACCTCCGTTAGCTGTCTTTTCTCGTTGCAGAGATGGCTCTTCAGTGAGCGGAAGGAGTGCAGCCGCCTCCTGTCCAAGAGCCGCAGCAATGGTCTCGAAATGTTGGCCCAGAGCATGAGAAGCATATGACAAACGCCCAACACACCACTCAACACTTCTCCCCACCTCACAACACTTGAACTTGACAATACTATGCTCGAGGCAGAACCTGAGGAAAGCTGGAAACGAATGCATCGGTCGGTCGGGCAGTACCCACCTATCCACACCCCTCTCCTTCATGGGCGCGTCAGGCGGGTTTGCAGTCGGAAACGTCACGTTCCGCCCGCCTCATAAGGACCTAGTGCTTACTGTGTACATGTACATGGTCTGAGCTGTCACCTCTGCACGTCATCCAGCTCTCGCGCACACACACACACGAACTGGGGTAGATGCAGCCGCACAGTCAGCCGGTTCTGCAATATACCAAGCATGAAAAGGAGGGCTCGTATGACAGTGGCCAAGGGACGAAAGAAATAGAGCATGCGGAGTGTCTGCGCGAATTTGGAGGGTGAGACGGTAATGGTTAATACTAGAGAAAGCCTTATGTTCCGGCAGAGAGGGAACCTTGACTATTGATTCTGGAGGCAAATATCCACAACGGCTAAGTGCGCATAAGAGGAGAGCAGTAGCCTAAGGGAGCGCTGCTGACTTGGCCGTCCAGCTATACAAAAGTAGTTCGGGTCCGGGATGAGGGTAGATCTGATATGGAATGCCTTCATATGCCTCTAATTTCTCGTTTCCTCTCTTCGTCGACTATCTCTGTCGGCTGGCTGTAAACCGAGGCCAGCTTTGAGCATTTGTCAGATCGTTTGGTGTGAGGTTGTGTGAAACACCAGACAGCAACCCATACATAGCTTGGTGAAGTTTGACCTTCCTTGCAATGCCCGAGAGGACCAAATTGCGTGTCACAAGCAAGCTGCCCAGATGTAAACAAACATCTGAGGGACTCCCTCAACACTCAGCTCATGAAGCTGGGGCAGATATATTCCTGGGGTAAAAGCGGGGGTTTGCCTGGTGGCTCAGACTCTGGCCTTCTGAGCTTGGCTCCTTTTCTGCTTTGGCAAGAGAAGGATGTGATTCCAGGGCTCCCCTTTGGATATCAGGTAATCGTTCATTGCCGGGAGCTTGATCCTACCTGATGGTGAAGCAAGTGAGATACCGGCGCGGTTCCCTGTTACGATGTTCTTGTAGGCGATGTACCAGATAACCGTCCCGTACTTGCGGGAGAAGCATGGCGGGCGTCCGGCCAGATCCTTCGAGTTCCCTCGCTCTCCATCATCAGAGATTCTCTTTGGGCCTCTCGATATTACTCGCAGCGGTAGCCGCGACGGGCAGCCTAGCGCCAGTCCCGGGCGGCATGCGGATACCCAAAGCAGCCATGCGGTCACCGAGCGCACCAGCGCCGCCCCTCTTGTTGTACCTGCCGCCGGTCGCGACCTTGTCGACTTTACTGGTTTGAAGCGAGAACGCTGGGGCAACCCACTCGCCGCAACTGCACTTAAACCCCTGCCAAGCATACCGGCCGATGGACGCGGCGCACTTGGCGTTGGGGCAGATGAGGCGGCCATCCAGAGTGCCCTCTTCCAGGATAGGGCGCATCCACGACAGCGCCTCGATAAAAAAGTGCGGGCACTCGGGCCCCCGCTCCGTGCTGCTGCTACTGTCCCTGCCCCAAGCCTGGTGCGGGACGATAAATGGCGCCGTCGCCAGCACGCGGCGGCACTTCTTACACCTCAGCTCCGTGCCGTCACCGCCGCCGTCGTGGTCTGGTATTGTCCCCCCTAACTTGGCACCACCACCAACAACAGCACCACCTCCCCCCTGCCTCGTCTCCTCCTCATCCTCAAATAGGATCCAGTCCGGCGCCCTCCCAATTCGTGCAGCATCCTCTACCTCCCGCTTGTACAACCAGCGCTGGTAGGCGGGCGCCCTCTCGACGGCGTCGTCACTGTCAGCGGGGCAGCCCATGTCCCACCACATCTCGAGCTGGCGCACGAAGCCGTCGTTCGGCTCGGCTATTGGGCGAGTCTGGCGGACCCATTCCAGCGCCTTCGCTACTGCAGCCTGCGCTGTTGTTGCTGTCGGGTCCGCCTTGCCGAAGCGGTGGGGGTGTTTCCAGAGGAGGTATGCAAGAACGGCCGTGACGGAGCGGGATTTGCCCATTGCGCAGTGGACGAGGACGGCACCGGGAGAGAAGCGACGAGGGGTTGAAGTGGTTATTGTTTCTCGGGACGGTGTTGGGGGGTCGTCGGTGGTTGGCTTGTCGACAACAGCAGCAACTCCGTTCAGTCCCCGGTCGATGAAGCGCACCATTCTGGGCAGGTGCACGAGGATATCCTGGTCCTCCATGTCGTCAATGTCGATGCTAAGGTGCTCGACATCGCGGAACGCGGCGTCGCCTCGGTTGAGCGAGTACTTGATGACGGAAAGGATGTGGGTTATGCCGTGTTCCTGCACGAGTCGCCCGCGGTTGACGCCGAAGACCCTGCAGCATGCATCAGTTGGGTTATGTCCAGTACTGTCCGTCAAGGTATGGGCATTTACCCTCCGACATAGAGCTCGTCGGCTCCGTTAATGCGGTTGAGAGCCATGGCGATGCAACGACTTGGTTGACTGGATGGCGTGTGATTGTTTCCTTTCGGCAGAACTGTCGACTTCTGCCCCGCCATTTTTGGAGATGCGGGGCTGTCATGGCACCCCTGTTCAGGGTCCAGGTTGCAACCTCGGCTCGGACAAATGACATTGGGCAAGAAGGGAACCACACAAGTGGATCGTGATGCAAGGCGAAGCAAGACTGCCCGGACAGTGTATAGAGAATAGATGTCAAGCCGGGAGAGAGACTGAGGAAAGAAAAGTACAAAGCACTTTCGTATTGTTCATGGGAATCGTCGCTCATCAGTACAACAAGCTGGTACCGTCCGAGTCCACGTACTTCCTAAGGCACCTAAATACCCAGATCCTTTTGACGCCTCGTGAAGCCCGTAACCCGGCCACCCAACCTGCATGCTTGAGAAAACGCCTGGGTCATACCTTCGTTTCAAGGCGAATGAAGCTCGCTAGGTTGATAATTACCAATCATCAGGCAATCCCGCCCGATGCGCTGCCATGGCCCTGCTGCCCTGCACTTCATGTTTCCACTTAGTTTGATACGCCTGCGACGGGTGTGCCACCGGCCGGAAAGAGGAGGGTCGCGAAGTCCGGGGGGCTTGCTGCACCAGCCGGAACTTCGATGGCTTTCCACCCGCATCGAAGATCCTTATCCGCCGGCAGGCAATGCCCATAAACAAAATCCGTCGTTCCAGAGGGGAAGAACAGAAGGGCCGATGCGCCATTGCATGGCTTGGCCAGGGGCAGCTGTTCCTTCTGCAACGGCAGACCAGGGCCTCGATCCTCCCACCCCACGCAGCATGAGGGATCCCATCCATATCCCCTCGGTTTCCGGCCAATGGAGTCGGCCGGATCAAGGAAAAACGCCAAGCCGTGTCGAGGCGGCCAAAAGCTCGGCGCTGGCTGCCTGCCACAACTCCATCATTCCTGGCAGAACCGGTGCTCGGCGTCTGAACTCAACGGCCGGTTGCAAGACGAAGAGAGGCAGGACAAGATTCCCAGAGGTCCGTGTGTACGCACGATGGCGGTCAGATCCAAACGGCGCGGAACCGTATTTCATCTGTTTTGCAAGGATAGAGCTTGATCATCGCGTCGGGATGGGGGGGTCCTCCTCCAACATGCAGGCGTTCTCGAGCATATTGGTCCATTTGCCGCTGGTTCCGGCGTGACTGTGCTTGAGATGCTGACGGAAGTGGTCGGCGCGGTAGAACTTCTTGCTCGAGTTGCACTCGCGGAACTTGTGCACGTCCTGGAGATGCCGGATGCGGTCCTCCAAATCCTGGTCGCTCACGGTGGCTGCCGTCCCGCCCTGGCTTGGCCCGGTCCTTGGGTACTCTTCGCCGCAGTATCCGCAGACGTCAGCCTCGCCGGGCCTCGCGGAGCTGTCGTGGAAGGCCCGCTCATAGCCCGTCAAGGCCGAACATGACCAGCTGTGCCGCCGGACGTGGAGCGAGTTCTGGTGTCTCTCGGCCTCGTTCTTGTTCTTGAAGCGGTTGCCGCAGAACGAGCACTCGTACTGCTTCTCGGCCTCGTGGGCTCTGATAGAAGACCGTCAGGTAAACTGCACACAAAGAACAAATGAACAAAACAGCAGCAGTATGATCAAAGCAGCGTACCTCAGTTCTTCCTCCGTCTCGAACTTCTTGGGCTTCTTCGGACAACACTCGCACATGTAAGGCCCCTTGAGCTTGGTGGCCAGGCTGCTGTGGCTCTTGGGAATCTCGGCTAGCTTGCGCGGCGACGCCATCGTGCGCGTAACCTGCGCCGGCATCGACTGCTGCTCGCTGGGTGTCCGGTTGTGTGGTAACGGTGCGCCCGCGGACCGGCCATTCGAGGGCCGCGGAGAGGCGGATAGACTGGGCGGCGGGTAGGGGCTGCTGCAGCTCATGGGATCCGTCGGTGAAAGACCGCCCGGGGAGAGACCATTCGGCGAGCGGCGCCCAAACGAGCCCAAGCTCGTGATACTACTCGCCGTGAGGTTGCTTGCAAAGCTCCCGCTTCGGCTCACCGACGATATGCTCGACACCGAGTTCTGGGGAATCACAAGAAGTCTGGGCGTTGGCGAGCCCCTTGACATCAAGCCACCATCCCTCCTCCGCAACAAGTCATTCGCGAGAGCAGCGTCATCACTTGGCGGTGACGAGGCCCGGCGTTTCTGCCCGGGCTGGTAGCAATCTCGCTCCCTCTCTCTGTCTCTGTCCCGGTCCCGCTCCCGCTCCCTGTCCCAGTCCCTATCCCTCCACTGATCTTCAATGGCCAGGCTGCGCATGCGCGAGGTCTCCTCCATCGGAAAATCCGTGTCGTCTTCGCGGGCCTCAAAACCGCCATATCCCGACGGTACGCCGTCTTCCGGCAGCGGCGCCCCCAAGATCCTGTGGTGAGCGCGTGCAAGCGGGGAGCAATCATAGTCACTAACGTCGGTCTCCAAGGGCGAACGGCGATCGAACGAGCCCCGCCCATGTCGGCCCAAAGGCGCGGGGATCGGGGGCTTAGCCGACATGGTACCCGGTGACCTGGTGACGTCCGAGCCGAGGAATGGCTGGCGGGTTCGGTGCGGGAGAGAGAGCGTCGTCAGGTGCGAGTGATGGGGACGGGGGCCGGGGACGTCGTTGACCGAGGCGCTGAGGCCTGAGCGTCGCGCGGGCCGGTTCAGCCTGTCGAGCATCGAGTGGTCGATCGAGTCGCCATTGGGGCGGTAGTTATTCATTGTGCGTTTGCCAAAGGGCGAAGGGAAGCCCGAAGACCTGGAAGGCCGGCGCGTCAGCCTAGGCAGGTTCCCATTGCACACAAAGACAGAGAATTGACGAACCTCAAGCTCTCAAGGCTGTGGTACCCGTCATCGGAAAAGTCACCCCTGAAAGGTAGGTCGCGTTGCTTGAAGCTATGGCCAAACGAGTCGGTGTCTGGGCTCCCATAATCGTCCCGGCGCATGCTCTCCTTGAACTGCAGATTCGGATCGACAGGGCCGTTAATGGGTACCAGCCGAGGTGGAGGCAACGGCGGAGGCACGTCGTTATAATTCATGCCACGTATCGCCATGGGATTCGAGGCGGCCGAGGGTGAGAGGTTGTCGGGGAAGGGGATGGCACGGCTTGACGGCCCAAAGCCTCTAGATATTTCTTCGCCGCGGCCTATTGATATGGGGGGAAGAGGGCTGGTGGTTGTGTCTCTTCCCCCGTAGCCGCGAGACGACGCCTGGATAGGGATTGCGGCCATGGCGTCAAGATTCACTGGCGTGCTCGCACAAGGCCGGGTAGGTGGATTGAGGACGAGCGACCTGAGGATGGCGAGGCCAGAGGCGCTGACAAGCGATGAGAGCTGAGGTGCAAGGCGATGGCCGCCTCGCCACCACGGCTGCTTACGAGTCCTGAGCTGAACCGAGAACCAGTCAGAAAGCGAAGCCCAGCAGTTCCAGTCCCTGACAGCCGGCGAGGTTGAAAAAAAAAAAAAAAGAAAGAAAAGAACTTGGAAGCTTCAGCTGCTCAGGCGTCGCAGTAGCTGATGTTGACAGTCCTCTCGATTTGGGATTGGTTGCGATCAGCTCAATCCGAGCAACATGAAGCAATGCACCCCGCGCGCATCTGAACCGAGCCAAGCCGGTACGAAAGGAGGAAAGGAGCGCGCAAACGATGGCGGTGTACGGAGCTACACAGTGAATAACGAATAAAGATGTTAGCGTGTGTCGACGATCCGTAAACGGGACTCCCCGAGAAATAAAATAAAACGGCGGACGGCGGCAACGCTCACTTCAACAGCCCCAGGCCATTGGGACAAGCCAGCCCTAGCGTGTGGAGAAGAAAATGTATGCTGGGATTGTGGCAGCAAATGAGAGCCAGTCAGCAATGGTGGCCAAGTCGCCGCGCTTCAGCCCAGCATCATGTGGGGCCGCCGGCAATGGGGAATTGTCTGGTCCCCGCGGTCAGCTGTGTGATAATCTGCGAGAATGATAACCTGGGTAGTCGGCGTGGAACCTGATACGGGAGTCAGTTCATTGTGTTAGTATTAACCCATAGATGGACTCAATTCGGGGCGTGTGTCCCTGAGTACCTGAAAAACGAGTACTGAAAGTCATCCACGAATGCGACACAAAATTTTTGTGTGTCCTATTTCTGGTCCGACACGATCGTAGGGCTGTCCGGGCACGGGATGTGGCGGCAGCGGGGACGGCACGCACCATGACAGAGGGAGCAAAACGGAACACGCGGATCATGATGCTTTGCGAGGGCTGCTGGGGAAGTTCGCAATTTCCGGGATTGGAGTTGGCGCGAAGGCGAGGACCCGTTTTCCCAAGACGCAACGGAATCTTCCAGGTTCCCACTTGATCGCCATGGAAGGAATGAACATGCATAATCAACCTCCATCCCTTCTCTCCCAGTCTTTCTGTTCGGCGCCATTGGCTTACTGCAAACGCATGGCATCGCACTCGGGGTTGTCGCGTCATCCAGAACGGTTCAATTCCGCTGTCTCAGCCTCCCAGAGACCGGCAGACATGTGGGTGGCCTCCAGGAATTGCAGGGTTCATATGCACTTCCGCCAGAAATCTGACTTCGGCACCTACCCACTTTCTCCGCCACCACCCAAGGAGAGGACGAAAGTCATGTGAGGTCTTGTCTATTTTACTTAAAATGTGAGTTTACATCTTGATCACCTAGACCCTCATTCACGGTTCCTAATTTTACTTGTGAACTTGCAGTGTCAATGTCGCCGTCATTTGACCGACCAGCTCGGTCTGCACCCTGGCTTTTCGTGTGACATGGAGCGCCCAAGGCTGGGTGGGGTTTCGCCCTGCTGGGCGAAAAGGGGTTACGGCAGGTGGGGTAATTTCCCGCCAAGCTTCATAACCCACCATGACCATGACCATGTCAAATCATCTAAGCTCAACGATGCCGTTTTGCGCCGGCTCTTGCTCTGTGCCTCGCGTGCCTTGCCTTTGCAACCATTCATAATGACATTGAAGGAACTAACCACGACATTCCCGTCCTGAAGGTTATAGCGTCAACCGCTTCCGGACGAACCAAATGAACCAAATGATGCAGGAAGCTGACTTCAAGCTCCGCTTCTCGGCTTCGGCTGGTAGCGGCCGTAAGCACGCAGTACATCCGTACTTGTCCAAGGTAGCCCAGGCGGGCGAGTGGGACGAGGGTGTCAAATTCCCATCAGCAGGTGGGACTTTTCCCTCACCCGACCGACGGCACTATAAGCACACCCGGGCCCAGCAAAACTTGGAACTACAGTAGCTAGGTGGAGCGATCAGCCGAGTTTGACAGACAACCAGCCAATATTGAACTGCGAGTGACACCTCCAGAGAGAGGAACGGGCCTTCTATGGACAGCTTTGCCTAATCCGTTGACCCTTCGTTTCACCCAGAATGGGGTTTAAAATCCACCGCGAGACCAGCGGTAGGGGCTCACCTCACCATGGGCAAGCTCGGTGCGGAGTTCGCCGCGATCGAGTCGGAGTTGCCAAAAACAGGCAATGGACGACACTGCAAGGAGCATTTTTTTGTCAGATCGACATAACTATCGACCCAGCGTGCTTTGGAAATACTAAATGCTGCACACGGTTCCTGTCTCCTAGACAACACCATGCCGACATTGCCAACCCGCAAGACAGTCTCGGGCCTGGTTCAGCACGGTCAAAGATGTACACATCCGCAAAATGTTCGGACAGGGCGCAAGAATTTCAGCCCTACAGTACTGTACGTGTCAGGGTACTACGTGCTAACGTCTCGGGTAGCTCTTCTAGAAGGATTCGCGGGAATGTTGGTTTTGCTTCTTTCGCCTTGGTCTCGGCCGCTGGCAATCCCCGTTCTTCTATGGAGGTTTCCTCCTCGTCGGGTGTTTTCCATTGGTACGGATAAGAACGACAGCAATTCCTTCGATCCAAGACTCGGATCTGCCTCTTGGATCGTCACGGTATTCCCTGCAAGATGGTGATTGCGGGGTAGACCGCGAAACCACTTAAGGTATGGTGCAAGTACCGTATTAGTTAGTGGTGAACAATACGTGACCGGTTGAACTCACTGCTTACTGCGCAACATATCTTGAGATGGCTCACCTTTTTTCCACAGCAGGCGGTTCATGCCTGGCCCCGAACGAGTGAGGAGGCGGCGATTTAGGTCATTTACGCTGCGCCATTAAGTATCGTGAGAGATTCAACAACTGGCAGGATTTGACGGGCAGAGATCACGCGCCAGAAGGAATGGGTAGGGCCGGCGACCAACATACTTCTCCACCGGACCTTTGGTCCTGGCCTGGCCTCTTTCAGATATCCCGTTCTCAGCGGAGTTCTCCATGAGCTTCCTGCATGTGCTGACGACATCTTAGTACTAGCGGGCTGGCTAAATAAGCCACAAGACGGAGGGCGAGAGTAGTGCTGGGAAAGACGGGCAAGTGCCGCATCCAGCGGAACCTGCGTCTGCACCTTAGGGCTGCAGAATGGCGGGTTCAATGCCGGTCGTTTGGATAGCCTGGAACCATGTGTTAAGCAGGACAAGCCTACCAGATTTGTGCTGTCCTCGGCCACCATAAACATGTTGAAGGAGTACCTTGTATTATCTCCTCAGTTGCGTGCAGCGAGAGCTCGAGAAGACCCGGAAGAAGCAGTCCGTCTCCAAACACGCCTCTGGGAACTACCGAACGGAGGCCTCAACCCCGCTGATCATCTCCATAGCAGTCGCCGAGCCGCTGACTATCGAGCAACTAAGGCAGGCAAAACTCAATTGGCGTTAGCGCTGCCAGTGGTCAACATCTCACCTTCGCCCTGCTTCCATTCTGCAAGGAAACCCCTGATTCAGACAGCTTCCATGCTGGCGCACATAAGCTTGGATGCGTGTCCGGACACGTGTAACCCGGGCAGGTGAGCGTGACGGGAAAGCATCGATCACACAGGTGCGTTGGGACTGGAAGGGCGGTGACCTGCAGTGTTTCCATCCCCATCCAACATCATCATCATCATCAGTATCCATTGTAGAAACACGACCCAGGCAGAAAGGCGGCCCTGACACTCAAGTCAGTTATTTACAGCAACCGGAGCCAGGATATCTCGAAAACTCAGTCTTCCCCGCCCTCATCCTCGTCATCTTCATCATACTCGCCCTGAGCGTCCTCATCGTCGTCCTCTTCTTCCTCACTCGAGCCCCCCTCGCCCTCGCTCTCCCCTTCACTGCCCGGATCATAGTCCTCCTCCATCTCGTCCTCCTCGTCCTGCAACCGCTGCTCAGCCTCCCGCTGGGCCCTCTCCAGCTCCGTCAGGCCATCGTCCGCGGCGCTGCCTCCCTCTGCTTTGCCTTCGATGTCCCCCTCCCCGGCAGCAGCGGGGTGCTTCTTGATATTCTCAGCGAGCTCGCGCTTCGCCTTGCGCTGCTCTGCCATGCTGCGGTCGGCGAGGCCGTGGCGGCGGACGTACGTCTCGTCAATGCCCCGATAATCCTCCTGGTCGATCATGCCAAACTCAATCTCCTTCTCCACGGCGCCGCCGCCGTTGGCGTCACCCGATCTTACATGATGATGATCCGTGTCGAGCTCGACGACAATGTTGAAGGTGGTGCGGAGGACGTTGGTGTAGCTGACGGCAACGATGCGGTCCAGCGGCAGGAAGAGCAAGGGCTTCTTGAAGCCCCAGAGGATGCCGGTGGGGAGGAAGAAGAGGAAGCCGTCCTTGCTGCCCCGGAATGCCTTGACGTGGACCGCCTTCTCGTTGGGGCGGTGGGGCTGCCGCGCCACGCTGTGGAACAGCTTGGGGTCGGAGCCGATCAGCTGGCACGAGTGGTTGCCGGCCGAGCGCATCGACGTCGTCAGGGCCCAGTGAAACAAGCTGCTGTATGTGTCGGAGACTGCCTCGGCTGTCTTGACTGAGGGTCCGCCGACGCTGCCGGGTTTTGGAGCTGTGGCAGGCACTGTGAAAACGAGAGGCTCGAGCGGGGTTTGTCTATCACCGGGGTTCGTACTGCCTTGTTTCGTCGTGGGCAGGTAGCTGTCGCGCGGCAGGAGAACATAGTTGTACTGTACTTGCGACTTGTCGGGGACGGGTAGGTAAAATGCGTGCTCTGGAAAAATCGAGGGGTCAGTAAAATGTCCTGAGGCGAAAGAGACAGGACAAAGACGTACCGATACTCTTCCAAGGGTACACGATGCCCTGGAGTGGGACCGACGTGCCCGGCGCTCGGGCATACAGGAAGTTTTTGGTGAAGCAAAGGTCGTACTTCTTGCGCTGTGGCGCCGTAATCGATATATCGTTAATCTCGAGCAAGACAAAGTCCTGGGAAGCTGCGTCGGGGCTCAGGGCGGCCAGCTGCGAACCTGCTGGCAACGGCCTGCTCTGTGTATGCCCAATTGGATGCGTTTGCGTGGGCGATTGCGCGACATCGATCCGTCTCCTCTTCGATGCAGGCCCGTCTTGGGCGTCGGCCGAGCCGAGTCGCTCGTGGACATAACTGGCAATGTCGTTGAACAGTCTTATACGCGCGGGCGAGTCTAGTCGGACAAGGCGCCACAAGCACGGTCTGTTAGCGGTTGCCACGTTTCCCGTTGTCCCGGGCCATTGAGCCATTGTACTTGACCCAGCAGAAGATTATTGCGGTGTCATACCGGCAGCGGTTTGAATGCTCGCCAGAATGTCTGGCCTGGATTGGAACACGATGCCCAGCGTTTGGTGGTCGAGCTGTACTGTCATGGCCAACTGCTGGGGGAGCCAACTGCTGGGAGACAAGATCGACCGATCGATGGGCGAACTGGGGGTTTTCGGGGGTTGTGTCTCTAACGATGGCGTCGCGAGTCCGAGAGCGGGCTTTGCGTGTCGCGGATGAAATCAAGATGTTCAAGTTTCAGTGGACGGTCCGAGTCGTGTCAGAGGTTACCGTGACGCGCTGCGCCGTGGTGGGAGCGTACCAGTAGGTACTGTAATTGTAGTGGAGCACATGAATCAGTCCAGAAAGGGAAAAGCGGCGGGCGCTTACAGCCTTGTTCATAACAACGTGCATGAACGGAGGACTCTGTAACGTCAAGAGGAATAATATCCAATGACTTCAGTGACTCTCTAGCTCGCAGTATTCTCGAGCTTCGCTATGGCCTAGCATCCAGATTGCCTGCTAGTGTTCCATTGTTCTTTTTCCTTCCTCGCCAGAATAGAGTTACCTTGGAATGTCAATCCTAAGTGAAGAAATCGTGAGATAACAGACCACATTCTAGGGCAGCGACGACGGCGGAGGAGTCTTTCCGCGACTTCAATTGGATATGATAGTTTGGAATGCTGCAGTGAGCTAAAAGGTGTTTTCTCGGTGCAGGTATTCCTGAGTTGAACCTTTCAGTGCTCATCGCCTAACTCCTCTAGCCGCCAGCTCCTCGCAATCACGGCGCCAGTCGGGCCCCTTGACCCGCTCGGGCCATATCCGCCAAAAGGATTGGAAAAACAAACGAGCCTGGCCGGTCCGCCGGCTAGTTCCTCGCCAGCACCGCATCCTTTTGGAGGCGCCTGGCCCGGCCGACCTCGACCGCGCGCATCATCTCGCGGGGGTCGTCGTGTGGGTCGCGGCTGACGCGCCAGGCGCGCAGGCCAGGTTGGACAACAACGGCCGCAGGGCGGGCCGCGTCAGAATCCGCACTTGGCCGGCACCGTCGGCGACCCAGTCGTTGCCGGCCACGACTCGGAGGGAGAGCGCCTCGAGCGGCACGACGCCGGCGGTGAAGGCCCGGTCCCGGTCCGAGCCGCACGACTGGTTGGCCCGGCGCCGCCGCTTCTCTTTGCCGAGCGAGACGGCACCGAAGATGGCTAGCGCGAGCTTCTCGTCCACGGCGCTGTCGATCACGACTTTGATGACGGCGCGCTTGGGGATGTTCGCGAGCACGCCCGTCTTGGCAACTGGGACGTCCAGGTCGTTGTCGTCGTTGTCGTCTTGTTCGTTGTTGTTCTCTCTGTTGTCTCTTCCGCCATCCCCAGCCTGTGAGGCCCGAGTCCATCGAGGAAGCCCTTTGTTTTGCGGCGCAAAAAGCCATGCCTCAGAAACTAAGGGACTTGCATCGAGGTGGAGCTTGAGGCGGAGGAGCCGGGCCAGCTCTCCAATGAGGAGGTACAAGTGACCCTTGGGGGCTCCGCCGCGGTAGCGGGGAATAGTGGCGGCGAGGTGCTCGAGCAGCGGGCAGTGCTGGACCACCAAGGCCAGCCCCCCTTGGTCCGTCTTGGTATCCTCATACCTCAGAGTTAGCGCAGTCAGATTCCGCTCGTGGAAGCGGGCAAACGCCACTGTCCGGCACGATCTGGCTGAGGCGCAGAGTGCGTAGGGCGGAGAAATCGGTGCATCTCTCCCACTGTCGGATGACATCCGGATATAGTCGGCTGGGCGACTCCGCCATATCGTGCCGCCGTCGAGCTCCAAGGTTTGCAGGGTGCCGCGGGAACCTCGACTCAGCTTTCCCAACTTCTCAGCATGTCCGCCGGAAGTCTGGTCGACGTTGTCCACGGCGACGTTGGCAACAGGTTCAAGAAGGTGGACATGCTGTCCTGATAGCGCACATCACACACGCTAACCTGCTGGAGGTTTAAGGCCAATCCCGCGACCAAGGCCATGATGACCTCGGCGGTGTAGCTCGCCATGACCTCCTCGTTGTAGCCGTTGTCCTCACAGTACCGGACCGAGATGCTGTGCAGCAGTGGCGACGAGACGAGCGCGGCCTCGTGGGGATCGAAGCGTCCGGCCGCGAGATGGTCGCGACGCAAGCAGCTAATTTGAAGCTCAAGGCGGTCGGTGTAGTTTCCCCTGATGAACCGTTAGTGCAGTAAGCCGAGCAGACTAGGCGGCAGGGGGATGGGAGCGCCCAAACAAGATCTGTCAAGCTGGCAACAGTGCAATCAAACGGCACAGCGGGCCCCAAATGGCGTTGGGTTGAAGCGCACTCTACCCCATTCGGTGACCCTGAGCAGCCGATAGCGCGCAGCACCTGGTCGTCACCGTCGTCCGCGGACCCGATAAGCTTCGCACACGCCATGGTTTCAAGGTGCGGTCCAAGCAGATCGTCACTAGGAGGGTGGTTGAACTGTGGTTCCTCAAGACCGCCGTAGACGACGAGACGCCGGAGGTGGCCGAGCGCTGATCCCGACCGAGGACGCGTTCGCATTGCTGGGCGTCCCCCGCTAGCCGATGTGCGCTGCGGACCTTTGAAGGCGATGCTTCTGTACAGGAAGGCGCTGACGACAGAGTAGTAGCGCTTGCTCGTCGGTCCAAGCGACAGCACACTGGGCGGATGCGACTACCCGAGCCAGTGGAACACGGCCGAGAGCGTCTCGGTCCGGGGGCAATCCAACCGAGGCCTGTTCAAGTTGGTCGCCATTGTTCCGGATGTCTTTCGATGCCTTTCAAGTGAGAGCCTAACCCCAGGTAAGTAAAGGTAGGCGGTGGCAAGGCCGAGATACTCATCATGATTACTACCGTCACATCACCGTAGGAAACACAAAATCAAGTAAGAAGGATCAGTCCGCGATACTACTCACACACGAGAGCCTCCCAGTCCAAGCCTCGCCTCTTCCAGATTTCGAAATTTTACCCCCCCTGGTCAAACACCACTCGTAGTCGAGGTGGCAATGATTTGCACAAATCGCCCGCCCACTAAATCCCCTCACATCTAAGGCAAAGGCATAAACACCTTCAACAGCTCCTCATAATCCGGCGTTCCCAGCCCCGTAATAGCATCCCACCCGTCCGTCGCAGCAAACGCCTCCCCGACTCCACAGCCCGCGCTTGCTCCTCCCAACCTAATATCATTAAGCGCCCAAGGATGGCGATACAAAACCGGGTTGATAAACCCCACCGGCTTTCTCCCAGCATGCAGCCGTGCATCATTGATCCTGGAAATAATCGACGCCACCACCGGTGCCGAAGCCGACGTGCCGTGCACCGTCTTCAACCGCCCGGACGTAACCACCCGATACCCCGTCGCCAAGGCCGCAACATCCGGGTACGCACGTCCGGTCGGATTGAATTTGCTGCGGAACGCGTCCAGGTGCGCGCTCTCTGTCGCGAGATACTACGCCACGGCCTGCTGTTGGTACTCGGGTCGCAGAAACACCCGGCTGAAGCCGCCGGCGGAGCTGCGGGTCTGGTTGTGTAGGACCCGGCGGAAGGCTACTTCCGAGACGTTGTTGACGCTTGGTTGTTTGAGAGAAGCGGAGGGCAGGTTCCGCCAGGCTACGACGACGTCGCCGTCTACGTCTGAAGAAGCTTGTTGGGTGGTCCCCCTCACGGCCGTGACCCAGGGGCAAGTGGCTGGCCAGCTGGGGACGAAGTCGCCGGAATTGGTCATCGTGTTGGATGCTGCGCCGGTGAGGGGGTCGACGCAGTAGCCGTCCGGGTGAGAGGCGACGCCGGCGTCCCCGGTCGCGACGATGACGGTGACGCCCTGGAGGCCCAGCTTGAGGAACTCGAGGCATTGGCGCTCGAGATAGTCGGTTGGGTAGTCGGTTTCGGGCCAAGCGTATGAGATGGAGAGTACGTTGGGGGGAGTGATGGTGCCGCAGTCTAGTCCTCCGTCTACGCTGCCCGTCGGAGGGAGGGGGTCGACGGAGGAATCGAGGGAGCCGCAATAGTACTTGTCGGAGGCGGCGAGCATGGTGCCGAGTTGTGGCCCCGGGAGGTCCCTCTCCCCGACCTGGATGTTTGTGACTGGGAGAGGGTGGGTGAGAGCCATGGCGTACTCGAAGTCGAGGTTCGCCACGAGGTTGAAGGGGTCGATCTGCGAGTCGAACTGCCGGTACCCGCCGTTGATGGCAGATATCAAGGGCCGGCGGCCTACGGATTCGGGCTGGAACCTGCCGAAGAAGGCGTCCAGGTCTTGCGGGAGCCACGTCGACCATGCCGGCAGAAATATGCCGAGCAAGTTGTTGGGGTGCCATGTGTCGCGCGCGGGAATGTGATAGAGCCTGCGTAGACAGGCTGGTGTGGTTTGCAAGCGACATGATGCCTCCTCGCCCTCTTCGGTTCGGCGAACCAGCGGCGTGCATCTGGAAACCTCAGACGCCGCGAAACTGGAAGTCTGACGTCGAAGTCGCCGATGAGCCTGAGACAGGGCTGGCGGTGTTGGAGTGGAGGCAATGATGAACTCAACATGATCTTTTAACCCTGGCGGTATTGGGATGCTCCTGATTGTCTTCGTGTGAGACCCCGAGGGTAATATATCGCTGAATGTGCTGCGAGGAACAGAAACGTCAATTCATGGCCCTGGTGTGACCGCCGGATCTGATGCCTGGGTATGCGAATTGCTGCGAGCCAAGCAAGCACCTCCTCGGTTGAGTTGGAAGCCGGGGCAAAGAAGCGGGCAACCTGGGAAGGGGTCCAGTACGATCCGTAGCTCGGTGATGTTGGGTCCGCCAGCCGATAGAGCTCTCGTGCTGCATCAACAATGCCCTGTTGTTTCAGGGCAACCGTGATGGAGATAGTACGATGCTCCGCACCTGAACTAACTGTAGGAGATGCACCTAATGTCAACAGGATAAATAAACAAAGAAGAGCAGATGACAACATGAGCAGGAGCAGCGTACCTCCAACTTCAAGCGATGTAGATGCCAGAGTCCCTGGGATGAGAACCAATATCGGCACAAGTACGCGGCATGGAGAACTCGGCACCGGTCATATTGAAGCCATAATCGATCGAGTCAGAGGGGCAAGCCATGAAGTTGGGCCCAAGTTCAAGACAGTCCAAGTGTTCAGTACTCGGCCGCATGGAGAGAGTATTTGGGAGCGGAGTACGACTACAAGCCAGACCGCTCACTTTGGCCCCCAAGTCCAAGACGGCCCAAGTAGTCAGTACATATCCTTGGACATAGCAAAAGGTTTGTACTCTACTACTCGCCTGAGGCGCAGCCGATCAGACTCTATGCGGAGTAACAAGTTGCTTGCAGAAACCTGTTTGATGTTCCATGCGTTCGCATAGGAGCAACCCGGTCGGTGAAAATTGTCCAGTGCTAGAGGGCTTGGCGGCATGAGCAGGGGATATCTCGGCAAGACTCGAGAAGTATATAAATGGGGACCGCCTTCTCAACGCCGTCAGTCTCTCCCCTCCCCATCGTCTTCACCTAACTAAGTGCTTCGATCATCCCCCCATCAGTCCTCGCACTTCCTTCCTTCGTCTCAAAGCTTTCTATCTAGCCAAAACGGAAGCTGTCCATCTTGTTCTCAGTCCTTCTTAGTGCCCCTGCCTGGGCAGCTCTTGCAGGGGACCTCTTTGGTCGGGTAAGCCAACACTTCCCCTTCCCCAAAGGCTATCCCGTTTCATGCTTTTAAATATTATGCCATGAATCTCTAGTCGAACTATTTCCAATGTCATCAGAACTGCGTCCGAGGCTGCACCGGTAGTCCCAACATTTGCCAGGTCGTATGCAACGTCGCCTGCGCCAACGCCGGCGAAGCAGACGAGGCAGCTGCCCTGGCCGCCAGAGAGTCTGTGAGCTCGGTGAGGCATTCCCTTGCCGCCCGTGTAAGTTTGATCCTTTTCCAATGCCCAGGGAAAGGTGTGGCGGTTTCGGTATTCTGACATCTACGCTCTACCAGTCCAACTACGTCGAGTGCCACCAGAACTGCGTCAGAGGTTGTCCGGGTAGCCCCAACATTTGCCAGGCAGTGTGCAATATTTCCTGCGCTAATGCCGGGGAGGTGGAGAAATGATGCGCTCGATGTGCTGCGGCAACGAGAGAGGTAAAAGGGGTATGCAGCGCTGCTGTTTGGGGGGGTTATTCTCACGGGCTGAGGGGTTGCAAGCACCCGTAAGAGAACTCAAAGAACTATTTCATTTCGTTCATGTTGTCTTTTCGAGACCTTGGGGAAGAGACACACTCGCTAAAGCCTCCTCTGAAACCCTTCTTATTTGAATAAAATACCAAGACCGGTCGGCGGGCGATGGTAATTACCATGCCAGGTAGACGTTAGATACACTGCCGAAAAGGGAGTGTGCTAATGCGAACTATGATTACGCCCCTAATGGGTTGTTCGTGGTGGGGCGAGTGAAGTGAAGGGGCAAGTGAGAGCGATTAGATAGTGAGTTACATCATCTCTGGCTCCATTCCAGTCCAGTCTATTGCGGCCGTTCTTCGCTGAGGCGAGCCACTGGCAGTACTTGGGTGCTCGGCTGGATCACATTGTAAGGTATCTTAGGTGCCTTGCTAAGTTACATACTAATTCTTGAAATGAACCCAATACGCTTTTCCCCTCCGTCACATGAGAGTCGAGGGCCAACAGAGTTAGTCAGACGGCATGTGATGTAATCTCCCGGGACCAGACAACTTACTACATACTTCCGGTATGCGGCCAGTTTTGCCAGGGAAGTTGCTTCCGGAGTGTGGGACGCTTCACCACTCCTTGCTCTAGCACACATGTCTGTTTCTGGAAAAGAGAACAACGAGATCAGATGAAGCACTCGCGCTGATGAGGTCATACGCGGTTGTCCTATTAAGAGTTGACCCGTCGAGGGAACAAAGCAAGCAATATGCGACGGTGTTTCAAGGAGGACCTCCAGAAACTGGATCCATTCTGGGACCATCTCCCGGCCATCCGTCGTCAGCACCGTCACTGTGAGACTTAATTTTGCTCCTGCCAGTACTTCCTTCCTTTACCCGAGTATCAGAGTTCGTTCGCCAAGATTACCAATCACCATGCGCGCCGTGTCGCGAATCGTCCAGTCAATCCTGCGCGTGTGGCAGTTGATCTGCTCCATCATCGTGCTCGGCATCCTCGCCCGCTTTCTGCACCTGCTCTCGCAGGCGGGCGCGGCCAAGGATGGGCGCATCGTCTACGGCATCATATTGGCGTCCATCAGCACGCTCTTCTCGATCGTCTTCATGGCCCCTTTCATGCACTCGTTCCTCGCCTGGCCGGCCGACTTTGCCCTGTTCATCATGTGGCTGGTCCTCTTCTGCCTCTTGATAACGGTACGATGCTCCGTGGCAATCAGCAAACCCCTTCTCACCCATCAAATGCTAAGTTGACCCTTCTCTCTCAGCGCACCGGCACACACACGTGCTCCGGGGCCTGGTTCTCGAACTACTGGGGGTTCTACTGGGGCGGATGGCGGAGGGTAACGCCGTTTGGGACCACCGGATGCGACTACTGGCGAACAGATCTGGCCTTCTCCTTCATGGCCATGTTTGCCTTTCTCGTTACCACCATCCTGGTAAGACCATCATCACCCCTATCTACCAGTGTCATCAATATCGTCTGGTATTCGACCTGAGTTGAGAGTTACCATCTCTAACAACCTCCTGCAGGGAGCCTACGTCGTTTCCAAGTGGTGGACCAAGAGAAGAAGCGACCGTCATGAGGGCACGGCAAGGTGAGTGTGTGACATTATCCTCAAATACTAACTGGTCGCCAACCCCAACATTGCACTGACACGATCTGCCCAACCCACACAGCACGATGGGCCACCCGCAGACGTCACAGATTGGAGGTCCCGGCCCGATTGGAGGTGTGGTTGGAGGCGGTCACGGGACGGCCCCTGCGACCACAACCACTGGAGCCGCGGGACATAGCGGCAGCTACGTGTGACTCGGTGTTGGATTGGAAGGGATCTAGCGTGGGGATGGAGGTGAGGCGGTCAGTCGCCTGTAATGGGATCTGAATTGCGGGAGTGCAGTCGGAGTTTTCTTGGTTCCGATCACGGGCGACGAGAATTTCGGGTGTTTGAAGGCACCAACATCAAGGTGACACTGGATCTGACGCTTTCAGGAGTTTATTCCCTTTCTCTCGGGTAACAAGGCATTGATTTGAGTTACCCGGGAACACGGTTTGGTTATCGTGGACTTTATTACCTAGCTTCATGTTGCTCACATGGATGTGAAACCTGGCTGGATCACTTTGCCTCCGTCGTGACATCCATGGATGGTCCCCCGCTATTGCGCCGGTCAATGGTTGCGAACAAGCTATTCATTAAGACCGTCTTCTTGTCTCGATCCAGTCCAGCCAGTTACCTATTTAGGACTTAAATATCGATCCATCTCGCCATCCACTTGTTGACCACTTCCTTGGCTTCGTCCACGAGACCGAGTTCTGCATATTCGGTGTTAATAACCTTAGGCAGTCGAAGCCGCCATAAGTAAGGTGTTGAGCGTTTTGGGAAACCTTACCAAGCAGCAGCTGCACCGAGCCCCTGATACCCGACTCGAGGGCCGACGCGATCCAAGCATGCGTGTAGCTCGTGTGCTCGCCAATAAAGATCAACTTGCAGCAACCCGACGTTAGCACGTGTACGACTGTCCCACCGTGTAGCTACCTGTATTCAAGGGTGACAAACGAAAGAAAGACTACGAAGAGAACTCACCCCATCATACGTCTTGAAATACTCGGGGATATATAGCTGGTGTTGTCCAATGGTGGGACTCGCCCAGCTCCCGCGCTGGAGCGGATCATGCGCCCAGCAGCGGCGGTTATACTTCCCCGTGTACAGCCCCCTGGTTTCCTCACCGTGAATCTCGGTCATGGCGTCCAGCACCATCTGCACGTGCTCCGTCTCGGTAAGCGAGTTGGGCCAGTCTACGGTCGAGTATGACGCAAGGATTGAGGCCCGGCCCGTGCCGTTGATGTTGTAGGACGGGTAGCAGATGGTTCCAATGCCCGGGATGTCGCTCGTCGTCGAGCAGCCGCCTGTGATGGGCTGGTTCTCGTAGTGCTCCCAGAAGCGGGTGCGGTATTCGAGGGCGACCTTGCAGGCCTGCGCGTAGGCGAGGTTGTTGATGGCGTTGGTGATGGTGGGAGGGAGGGAGGGCGGCAGGCGCCAGCTGCGGACGACGGGGAAGGGGGCCGAGATCAGGGCGTAGTCGTAGGTGGAGGTGCGGAGGGTGGAGGAGAATCTGTTGGGGTTGGACGTGTCGCGCCAGTGAAGTTGGACCTTGGTGGTGGCGCTGTTGCCGGCGGGCTGCTGTGTGAACTGGATGCGCTCGATCTGGCGGTTCATGTAGATGTCTTTTCTGACGAGGGGTTCGAAGGACTCGGGCAGCCGGTTCAGGCCGCCGTCGATGGTGCGCCACTCGGTCGCCTGGAAGTAAAGTCCCTCGTAGATCTGAGATGATGGAGTCAGTGCCGTTCCTCTTCTCATGAACGTGACGCTTACCTCGTCCCAGAACGAGATGGAGCTGCCACCGTTGACATCGGTATCGTTGAGGCTACCGCCGAGGTAGTTGACCATAAAGGCGAACTCGGACCACGTGTCGCCACCCAGTCCCTTGAGTCCGTTCTCTGGGCTCAGCAATCAGCAGGCACTCCTTCCATTAGCAGCATCATAAAGTGAGAGTACTTACCAATCCAGTCCTTGTGCGCCTTGAACATGTTCCGCGCAGCTGCGGCGTAGAACTCGGGGCCGGGCATATGCTCCTCCACCGCCGTGACGAGTGCTTTGGTAGACTCGTTTACGACCTTGACCGGGCCTCCGAGCGAATGATCCGCCTGGATCTGGGCAACCGTCGGAGGCAGGCCTGACGCCAACTTGAAGCCGTTCCGGTACACCAGCCCGTTGGGGTTGGTCTGGAACCAGCGGATAAAGTCGACACTCAGCTTCTTTTCGTTGCCGTTGATGCGGTTCATCTCGGCCGCCAGCTGGAAGACAAGCTGGTGGTCCGTGATGTTGAGCGTCTCGCCCGTGGCCGGGTCCTGGTAGCTGTAGGGAAACCGCATGGGCCCCATCTCCTGGTACGAGTAGTCGAACGGGCCGCCGCTGAGGTATTCGGTGTGGACCCGGCCGCCGAGACGCTGGCCTGCCTCAAGGATTGTGACGTTCTTCATACCGGCTTGGGTCAGGACGAGATAGGTCATGAGCCCGGACATGCCGGCCCCGACAATGGCAATCTCCTTGGCTTTGGCGGCCTCCACGTCCACGGGGCCGGGTTGCTTGTCCTTGAGCAGAGCCACCCCGTCGAACCAGGGCCCAAGGACGTCAATACCAGTCGAGTTATTCATTGGAATGCCGGCTGCTGCGACGGAACTATCTCAGTCACGGGTCTTTTGGTCCCGGCCGTCGTACATACTGCATAAGGGGCCAGGGCGAAGTCATACCAGCTCGCTTTAGGTTGCTCGTTCGACGCTTTTGAAGACCCTGTACAAACTGTGGCTCACTCCGGCCTGCAAGGGTGCCGGTAGAGGTCCATGCTGACAGACAGCCTCCCGACTCGGTGTCCTCGGCAAGGATCCAGACGAGCCGTGTTCCCTCCGACCTGCTGCCGTGTGTCTCGCCGAGAACATGGTGGGCATCTTGGATGGACGAAGACGTGCAGGGTCCATAGGCAACTGTGATGGGACCCTCGACGGACCTCGTGACGGCGATGTGCACGTTGGCAAGGCGGGAGTTGAGTGCTGACCTGGTCTCAAGCTGGACCGGCAGTCCGACCGAGGCAGCGGCGGCACCGCCTAGAAAGAGTAACGGAAATGTCAGGCCTGTCATGTTCAACACCCTGAGAGAAAGGACAAAGGGGCAGTGTCTTGAACAAGCATGAAGGAACTTGAGTCAGGGCCAACAAACTGCTGCCTGGTACTTATACCGCTATACAGTCTCTATCGCCGTGGTTCGATTATGTGGCTGACTCTTGATGCCCATCCTGCCGGATACCAGAGACCCCATTCAACATAATAAGTGGATGCCCAACTCCGAGGCTTCGGATGATATCTCTGAGTCTATCCGTGACTGGATGCAGCACTTCTGAGGCGGAGTGACAATACGTAAAGGTGAGGCAGCGCCGACCGCCCTTAGGTAGCCATAGACATTACGTGGACAATCTGAGAGCCCTTCACGATCCGCTGCGAGATTCGTCTTCCGATTCCGCTCCGTGGAGTCCGTGGACCAATCTATCAGTTAGAGGGGAAGAAGTTCCAGCATAGGTATAGCATGCAAGAGGACTTTACGATTAAACTCGATACGCCGATAATCACACCATGATACGACTGTACGATAGAGGTTGCCGGGCCGTATTGTGGAGTGCAGTTTTTCCTGTTGCGGAAGGTCGAACCGTTATCTGTCTGGAGCCTTTGAGATATCGATGGGGTCCATGGGGAACGCCCTCCCGAAGACATTTCAGGGTCCGCTGCAGCCTTCAAACTTCCCGCCGTTCACTATCAATTACATCAAACTCGGCTTCCAATGCGAAAACCCCTTTAGTCATGCGTGCCCGACCATTGGGTGTCCCATATCACAGATTACACTCCCAAGTCCGAGACTTGGCAGCCGAGCGTTCCGACATTGCCGCATCAGGGACTCCGATGGGAAGGGGTAGATTCCCATGGATGGCAGTTGTCGGTGTGCGCCCTCTACAAGGGATTTCCAGTCATCCTACTCATCAAGGATCCTAGGCGTCATCATCCTGTGCCCGTGGGATTCGAGTCCCTGATCCTGCGGATCAGTTCTCTTCGCCAAAATGGTTCCAAGGCGGCGCTCACCCAGCACAGCTGACAGGGCGACATGTACGCCAAAGGCGTAAGCCATCTCTGCCCCGTCAGCCAAAGATTTGGTGACATGTGGGTGTGTTGCACAACCGAAAACATCAGATCTTGAGACATGGCGCGCGGAGACAAACCTGCTCTGACCCCAGATGGGGGCGCGACGAGAGACTGTAGGCCATCCCGGGTTGTGCTCCGGGCCTCAACTCTAAAGATTTATTTCCTCACTTTCGGTGCTTCTCAAAGGGTACCTTATCTGCCGCTCTCCGCGCTATGTTACTGGGATAGGCACTGGCGGTCAGGGGGAACAACCTAGAGTCTCCTCTTGACATTAACACGCAGGAAGATGGAAGCTGCGAGGGATGTGGTTTCCGGCATTGAGGTGTTAGAACTGTGACTCGAAGACAAAGAAAGATTGTGTCTCTGTTCATTACTTCATGTTTTGTTCTCGTGGGGACACAACCGCTTTCCCGCTTGATCTAGTAACTCCTGGTTGCGCCAAAGAAGATCAGACTCGTACATGTAAGGAGACTACTTCCTGCGACACTTGTACCAAATAGACACCAGTGCAGCGATGCCGCCCAGAATACTGGCGGCGATGCCAATCCATGCGCCGATGCTAAGACCACCGCCATCCTGAGGCTGCTCTCCCTGAGTGTTCCTCGTGCCTCCCTGGTTGTTCGCCGTACCTGAGCTGGTCCCTGTTGCCGTCAGCACGCTAGACAACTCCAACAATGCAGTATCTGAGCAAGGAATAGGTACCCGATCCAGAATTCACGGCACCAGTGACGGTTGCCGCACCGCCACCAGGCTGTGTCTTGGTCTGAACGAGCGTTGAGGTGTACGTGATCGACTGAGTCGCCACTGTCTGCCCGTTCCATTGCTGTCAGCTCCTGATCTTCCAGAAGTCCTGTCCATCCTTCCACTCTCAGAAGTCATGAGTGACACACCTTCGTCTGGACTTGGAACGTCCCACACTCGTTTCCAAAGAACATCATGATGCTGTTGTAGTTCTCGGTCGAGTACACTTCTGGCCTCGCGACGAGGAAATCCGCATAGAATATCAGACACTGGTCGACCGTGTCCGAGATGAATTGGGGGTTGGCACAGAAGCACGCCTTGTCGTCACATCGCGTTTTGTATGCTGCCGAATATGTGTCGTCGACAGCGCACATTTTCTGGTCGGCGCTGAGTCCTTTGTACGCCTCTGCTGCCCTGAAAATGGGCGTTAATTTGGAACTGACTGAGGCGGTCATGAACCAAGCGATGAGGAGGGCGACCGCCGCGGGACTCGAGGCTACCATCATTGTACTAATCTCAAGAACCGATATTGCTGACTGGAATCGGGAGTTGGAAAGAATGAAAGCGGTACTCCCCTGGCGAGGAGGAGAAAAGCAGCTGGCATGAAGACCAGGTCGAGCGAGGCGGGATTGGATCTTGATCAATGTCTTCAAGTGCTCAGAGTCCGGCCTCAAACATAGCTAAGCGCGGCCACCCCTGGGCACCTGCATTAGATAGTACGCCATACATGAGTCCCCTGGAAGAGATCCCATTATACACTGGACAGGCTCGTCAAGCATGCCTGCAGCTGAACATCTTGGCAATGCGCGCTTGGGTGGCGTTACTGGGACACGCTTGGATGGCCAATCGTGAGAGTTCATGAGATCGATTCCCTGTTGTCATGCTTCAAAAATGGTAACTCGGGGTGTTGAAGTCGCTAGCCAAGCGCGCCAACGTTGATAAAAACAGAACATGTCGCGGCTGACACCTCTCGGCGTTGGCGGGTAGAGGCGGGATGCCTATCGCTTCTGGTCGTGGCTCAGCACTTGACGCCCACGTGGACTAGTCGTCGTCAAAATACCTTGCAGAATCAACATCAACAAGTCCAGCAAGGTGTCCCTGTTGCCATGACCTCAAAGTCTTGTGGATCTAAGTTTGAATTGATGTTAGCAGTTGTCGAGTCTCGTGACCAACATCTAAACGTACCTGCTCAGCCTCGTCAGTCGTGTCTGCCCTTCTTGCAACTTGATAGCCCCCTTCAGTTGGCATGATTGCCCGGACTCATCAGCAGACGACCCCTGATGCTCCTCGATGACTCGAACACCGCCAGGGCCGAGTTGCCAGATAAGGCCATAATCCCGGGCCACGAGCTCGCGCTCTCCCCAACGACCACGGGCGCGCCGAGGACGAGAAGCCCATCCTTCCGCAGCGATCCATACATGGCCTTGATCTTCGCACCCTGCGGCCACGCCGTGGCCTCGCCCTCCTCCATATCCTCATCAGTCATAAACACAATCGCCACGGTCAACCCGTCATTCAACGCAGCGATCTGCGGCGCCCCGGCGTTCCTTCCCGTTGCCGGCTCATACACCACCTGCCGCTGCACAAAGTTCTCCCCGCCGTCAAACGACAGAATCGCCTCAATCGAGTACGTTCCCGGGCCCCGCCGCGTCGTCTCCAACACCATGACCAGCGTTCTGGCCCGAACCGCAATCTCCGTCTCCGCCACCCCGACCATGCCATCCCTCAACCTCTCCCCTCTGCCCGTCACGCACGATGGGCTCGACCACGTCCTCCCGCCGTCAGTGCTGCGGACGACCATGGTGTCTTGGTCGTCCGTGTCCATCTCCTGCGAAAAGTACAGCTGCACTTCCTCGACGCCACCGCGGCGGCCCAGGCGGAGGAACGGCTCCCACAGACCAAAGGGGGCGGGTTTCTCAAAGGCTTGCGAGAGAAAAGACCAGGAGCGACCGCCGTCGCGGGACTGGCACACAGTAATTCGAAACCAGGTCGGGTTTCCTTGGTCGTCGAGGTCGTGGTTTCGGAAGGCGGCGAGGACCACGGGTACGGGCGGATCGGTCTCGGTCTCAGCAATTTCGCCGTTCTCTAGGAAGGAGGGAGGAGGAGGAGGAGGGAGTTGCAGGAGGAAGAGATTGTCGCAGTCGCCTGGGGAGCGGGCGACCTCGCCGTGGGGCTCGAAGGTCCTGGCGTCGTCGACGCTGCGGGCGACCGCGAGCACGCGCGTCTGGCCGTCGGGCGCAAAGGTGGTGAAGCCTGCGAGGATGGAGCCGTCGACGAGGCGGCAGAGGCGCGGGTAGGTGCCCGGCACGTCGTGCACAAAGTGCTCTTGCTGGGCGACGTGCAGGCCGCGAGTGAGGGTGAGGGTGTCCATGCTGGGCTTGGAGTTCAAGTTGCTACTTATGTTAGGAGTATAGTTAACTTGGTTGGTGAAGCGATGGTTCGTGCGAGGGTGGGCGAAAATGATGGTCAACGAGATGGTGGTGAGCAAGAACCAGAGGAGAGGAAACGGGTTGCGGGGGAAGACGATCCTGGGCCATGGCAATAATGGCATGGACGAGGAGAGGAAGCCGGATCTTGGGGATAGACGGGGCCGGGAAACCACAGTGGCCCCGGAATCCACTGGTGATGGTCTCACACGCGAACCTTACGGCGCGTGTTTCGTCACCAGAGTTCATTTGTGACCAGCACCGATTGCGCGCCAAGAGCGTGGATGGAGCACAGTGTAACAGGCTGCAGACCGTGGAGTACGAGAACACATCATCCACCTGGAAGCCAGTCCTCACATGGGACAAAACAACGCCGTTTCTCCAGATTATCCGATGGTCTCTACCGCAGTATGTGATACTGGACCGACTCTCGACTCAGTTTGTTGAGATACAATTTGGCGGAAAACCACGAAGGGAACAGAGGCCTACCCCACATTCCCACCGTCACTACACACTGCCGTGCTAGAGAGTTAGGGCTGCATCACTTCCATAGTGTAGGGGTCGCGTGACTGAACCGATCCAAGGTTTCAAGTTCAAGTTCAGTTAGTAAAGACTCAGGTTATCAACTACCCAGATCATTATAACATACCTGGGTTAAGGTTGCTGCTGCAAACGCGAGAAAAGGTGGCTTGTGGCTGAGCTTATTCTGACGCCACATGCAACCATGCCCGGTGCTGAGCCCCTGGGAGCTGACGACAACATTGAAATGTCAAATGGCGATAATCATGGCACTCAAACTGATCGGGAAAGCATGCCGAGTTTGAATCTCTCAAGCTTACCTCTGTACATGTATAGCGGCAGGTAGGTAGTGCTTTTCTGCTTAGTGAACATGACTCGACGGCACCGAAATGCAGCATCACCTCTGCCTCTGTTCCGCTCGAACTGGGACGGATCTCACATTGTAATAATTGTGAACCGCTAAAGCGAGTAACTTAACTTGATTCGGATATTACATAGCTGAGCCGGCCCACTGTCTCCAGGGACTTTTACTCAGCTGCAAATGTTAGTGCTGACTTAGCCTCGGACTCACCGCTGCCTGGACCCAAACCCGACTCCAAGCTGAGAGGCCTGGGCCGCCAATCGCAGGTACGGAACTTGGTTTTTGAGTGGCTCGCCTGGCCCAAGTCCAACTGTGATGTTGACATGTGTGCCGTGGCGCGAGCATCTTCAGAGATGCCAGACGGAATAGGAAATGAAGGCGAATAAAGACATGACTTCAAATAAAGATGCCAGGCCCAGTCCAGTCCTGCTTAATTCAACCTTTCCAACTCAAGCTCTCAAACAGTCAACACCTCGGTTCGAATTGACCTCAACCATTCTCGACATTTTCTGCTGCAGATTTGGCCGTTCCAACTTCCATCCTGAGTGTTGGATTAGTTAGCCAGTCCAGGCAGTCCTCATCATGGCACCGGTTTACGCAGACCACCCCTTCCCTGTAATACCAACCCCCGTCTTCCTCGCCAAAAGCAAGAATGAAGAGGTAGGATACCTTTGGCCCCTGGACTCCTTGCTCCGGGAAACTCACACAGTATCTCCTCACACACAGCCCGACATGTTTGACGAGCTCGCCTCCGAGATGGTCCACGTGCACAACATGATGATCCGCGGCCTCAACTCCATCTACCTCCAAGCACCACACATCAAGTCGGCCGACGAGAAGGGCTTCTGCAAGTACATCCTGCTCTGGCACGAGCTCCTACACGGCCACCACAGCGGCGAGGAAGCCCTGTTCTTCCCCGAGGTCGAGAAGTTGACGGGCGTCAAGGGCATCATGGAGACCAACGTCGAGCAGCACAAGGCCTTCCACGACGGCATCGGCCGCTTCAAGGCCTACGCCCAGTCCGTGATTGCCGGCGGGCAAAAATACGAGGGATCCAAGGTCGTGGCCATGATCAACGAGTTTGGCCCTGCCCTGATTCAACATCTCACCGACGAGATCCCCACCGTGCTCGGTCTCCGGCAGTACGGCAAGGACAGGCTGGCCGGCTTGCCCAAGGTGTTTGACCAGGAAGGCGAGCAGGCTATGGTGAGTTGCCCGGGGGGGAATTGCATGATACCAGGGTACTAACAGCATGGGGTCTGCAGAAAGAACTCGGCCTCGCGGGCATGGTCTTCTGCTTCGCCAACCTCGACATGCAGTACGAGAACGCCATGTGGCAGAGCTGGCCGCCCGCGCCCCCGCCCGTCAAGGTGCTGTGCCGGTCCGTCTTCTGGTGGTTAAACCCGGATGCCAGGAAGTTTGGTGCCGTCGACAGGATGGGCAAAATGCAGCCTCTGTATGCCGTGCCCGAGAGCTCTTGAGCTGCAGAAGCATGGAATTATCGGCGACTCGTCTCTTTTGCTCCGGCGCTGCGCGGATTCCAGGGGCTCAGTTGCACTCCAGCTGTTCTGGTGTATGGAATATACCGGTTTGGAAAATAAGGTAGTTACCTTAGTTTGGTGAATTTGGCACAGCAAGGAGACTTTGGAGTTCAAGCGAAGGAAGGGACTGTTTGACAATACCCAGTTAAATAGGCAGACACTCAAGCAGTGCCTCAGGAATTGACTTTTAGTTTCCACGGTCGGCACGTCCGGTGGCGCATCTAGGTACTGCTGAGACCGTCCCGGGCGGCAACCCTCAACGAGGGATTGGAGAGTTGCGGAAATGACAGGCTAGAGATATGTGATCTCAAAGTACAAGACTGACTGATCCAAAAATGAGCGAGAGAAGAGAAGAAAAGCAGATCAAACGGCCAGATCTTTCCAAACTGAGCGGCCCAGCGATTCCTCCAAACCAAAGATAAAGTAGATCGATTGCCAACCCTTACTGCCAGACCCACCACATAACCACCTTGCCATCATCCAACTTCAAACCTCATACCAAACCCTCCCAACCCTAAGCTACACCTCGACATTACCCCTAACCTTCAACGCCGCCGCCCCCATCCCAAACCGCCTCTTGACCGCCTTCCACGTCTCCACAACCGCCGTGTACACCACCACACACGCCGCCACCACGCCCCACTCCCACGTGATGGCATCATGCTTGAACACGATCCTGTTCACCACAGGCAGGTAGATGACAGGAAACGCAATGACAAACCCGGCCGTGACGGCACCAAACAAGAACCTGTTCCCCCACACAGTCCGAAAGACCGACAACGGACCCGTGTACCGTTCCGGGTGCATATTGAACAGCGACCGGGTAAAATGCTTGGCCTGCCAGGCCGTGATAAGCAGCAGGAAAGTGAGAGTAGCAAACGTGGTCGCGCGCGCTCTGAACGCGACGCCACACTCGGCCGAGTACGCCTCGTTGCATCCCGCGCCCAGACCCCCCGTGGGGCCGTGGACGCCGTAGGCGACAGACGTGAAGGCGGCGAGGCACAGGCCGCCCATGGCGGCACCGTACACAAACTTGTCGACGATGAGCTCGCGCGTGAAGACGCCGACGCTCAGATCGTGAGGCGGGCGCTGCATGATGTCGGGCTGAGCGTCCTCAATGCCCAGGCCGAGGGCTAAAAAGGAGGACGTGACGAGGTTGGCCCACAGGATCTCGAGCGGGGAGAGGGGGAAGACGGAGACGCCGTGGGGGTCTTTGAAGGCCAGGCCGATGAGGAGAAGAAAAACTTGGGCGATGTTGGAGACAAGGAGGTGGAGGAGGAACTACGGAAGTCTGTTAGCAACTCTGAGCTTTTGGAAAAGTTTGTTTTCCCGCATGCCTTCTGGATGTTGTCAAACAAGCGTCTGCCTTCCTCAATCGCAGTGACGATGGACGCAAAGTTGTCGTCGGTCAAGACCATATCAGCCGCCTCCTTGGCGACATCGCTGCCGTTGAGACCCATGGCGATGCCCACGTCCGACTTCTTCAGCGCAGGCGAGTCGTTCACGCCGTCTCCGGTCATGACGCAAAACGCCTTCCTCCGGTGCATGGCTTCCACCATGCGGACCTTGGTCGTGGGGCTGCAGCGGGCCAGCACGAGCGGGAGGTGCTCCATCTCGTCGATCTGCGCGTCGCTGAGGCTGTCGAACGCGCCGGCGACCATGATGTCGTTGGTCTTGGCCGGCGTGGTCCGGCTCAGGATGCCGATTTCGTAGGCGATGGCCGTGGCCGTCTTGACATGGTCGCCGGTGAGCATGTGCACAGTGATACCAGCCTCCTGGCATCTCTTGACCGCCGCTGCGGACTCAACTCTCGGCGGATCATACAGACCGGCCAAGCCAAGGAAGGTGAGGTCTCTCTCGACAGCCGCGCGTTGGTCCGAGTTCTCGTCTGCTTGGGTAACCTTCTCTGCGCCGGCGAGCGGAGTCTCGGGTACAAAGTCGGCGGGATCAACCGCCTTCTTAGCGATGCAGAGAACACGAAGGCCCTCGGCGGCTAGGGACTCAGCCTTGGCGACAATGGTCGCCTTCAGCTCGTCAGAGACGTCCATGAGGGGGAGAAGAGCCTCCAGGGCGCCCTTGGTGTAGGCAGAAGCGCCCGTCCTGTCAGTGCAGACAACTGTCATGCGCTTGCACGAGGAATCGAAGGGGAACTCGGCCAGAAGCTGGTGCTCACCCGACTTCAACAGGTCGGGCTTGCCCATGCCGAATCGCATGGCCAGAACCTGCAATGCAATTTCGGTGGGTTCGCCGATGGCTGCGTATGAGGCGTCAACCTTGGTGACGGTCGAGTTGTTGCACAGGGCAATTGTCTCGAGCAAGTCTTTCAACCGCGCCGCCTTCTTCTCAGCAGTCGATGATTTGGGGGTGTACACCTCGTTACCCACATGTACGTTTCCGCTGGTGGGGTCAAACGGGTGTGTCGTGTCCTGGATGGACACCTCGGTGCCGTCAACCAGCCATACCCGCTTGGCAACCATCTTGCCCTGGGTGAGGGTGCCGGTCTTGTCAGAGCAAATGTTTGTGACTCCGCCCACGGCTTCAAGAGCGGCGAGCTTGCGGATGACGACGTTGCCCTTGGCCATGGCACGGGTGCCGAGAGCCGTGGCAATGGTGAGGACAGCAATGAGCGATTCCGGGATCACGGCCACGGCCACGCAAATGCCGTAGATGAGAACGTCGCTCGTGACACGCCAGAGGCTGACCGAGAAGACAATGATGGCTAGGAGGATGGCCAGGGCGAACAGCAGCAGGGCGAACTTGCTCAGTGAGACCTGCATGGGCGTGCCGTCGAGGCCGAGGAGCACGCGGAGGCCATTCCGGACCTTGGCCCAGGCCTTGCCAAGAGGAGTGGTCCGCTTGTCGGCCAGTCTCTCGCCGCTCCTTTTCAAGAGATTGGCAATCTTGCCGACTTCGGTGGTCATGCCGGTTGCGACGACAATGCCGGTAGCACGGCCCCGGGAGATGATGCTGGCCGAGTAGACCATGTTGGTGCGGTCGCCCAGTGGCACATCCCGGTCCTTGAGGATGACCTCGGCATGCTTGCTGACGGGGACAGACTCGCCGGTGAGCAACGCCTCGTCTGTGGACAGGTTGATGCTGTGCACGAGCCTGAGATCGGCCGGGACAATGTCGCCGACCCCGAGCTTCACCAGGTCGCCGGGCACTAGGGCCTCGGCTTTGATGGTGTCGGTGTGACCAGCGCGGATGACCTTGCACGTGGGTGCAGAGAGCGCATAGAGCGCCTGGATGGTCTGCTCAGCGCGGTAGTCTTGGAAGAACCTGCCAAGGGGTGTGAGAATGGCGGTGAAGGTCAAGGCAGTACAAGATGTACAACTCACCCTACCACAATGTTGAGCGAAATGACGGCGGCGATGACGCCACCTTCGATGTGGTCGTTGATGGCGAAGGAGAGGACCATCGTGATGACGAGTACCTGGACAGTGTTAGTTCGGTACGCAGTAGACGTATTGTTCCACAACAGCAGCATGGATCGGTGAGAGCACTCACAAGAGTCAGGCTGTTCGAAACCTGTCTCAAGAGAATCGTCCACACGGATAGCCCCTTAGCTCCCTCAACTTTGTTAGGGCCATGGTGCTGCAGGCGACGGGCAGCCTCGGAACTGTCGAGGCCATTTCTGGGAGGGGTGAGCGGGAGCCACCAAGACTGAAGAGAGAAGAGCTTACTCGACGTCTGTCTCGAGCAGCGCGCAGATGTCTGGCACCGGAAGGGTGTGAGCCGATTCGGGAGTCAAGACGCGGGCAGTGTCCGTAGGGGAACTGACGATGGAGCCGCGGCCGACAGTGGCGTCGGTGGCATCGGCATCGGCATCGGCATCGGTATCAGCATCAGTGACAACGGTGCCGGTGTGGGGGGTCCCGGCGAGGGTGGGGGAATGGGAATTATCTGGGGCACTCTTGAAGCCACATATAGGAGGCTCCGTCTGTGCCTCGACGTCCAGTTCGGTCTCTGTCCCCATTCATAAAAGTGCGTCGCCGATGCAATCCCAGCGGTTTCACGCGTGAGGATGGAAGAGAAGAAGAAGAAGAAGAGAAGAAGAGGGGAAACAAGGGAAAGGATCCGGAGGCCCGGGATGGACAAGGGCTTAAGGGATCCGTGGGCTATCCAGACCCCTGGCTGTTAGCACCGCCGCGTGTCCAGTCCGATGACCGAACGACACGCCCGCCACATTTCGACGGCTTTGGACGGGACCGGAACCTTTGGCTTTGACCGTCCGTACCGTGAACCACAGTACGTCGGCCAAGCCTGGACAAGAACCGCAGGGCACGAATGACAGGAACCGCCAAGCCAAGGCCTGTTAGGTGGCCAGCCAATCAAAGGACTCCAGCAAGCCCCGCTGAGGATGCTGCCCCGGCTAGGCGGAGAGCTCTCAGTGGCTGAAGCCTTGGCACCTGCCGCCATCCGACCGCTGCAGTCCGTCTGTGTTTCCCGACCGCCGGACGACAACCTGGAACATGGACAGCTCGACCTGGAACCAGAGGCACAACCGATCACCTGCTCAATTGCTTGTCTCATGAAACCCCGATACCAGTCCTAATGGTCCTCGCTCACTGCGCCAGATCTGCACCTTTGCGGGGCTGCTCCGGTCCTCGAAGCTGTCAAGAGGCCACGTCAAACCCGTCAAAAGCCTTCGTTTGCTTTCTTGGTATGGGCCCCCACGTGTGTGCGTAGGCGTGGCACTGCCGGCATCCGATTTTGAGCAAACATGACAGCGTGTGGGAAAAAGAAACAAGGAGAGAAAGAGAACACATGAGCATGGCACCAGATATTCTCAGGCTCAGGCATGCCCTGCCGCAATCAGGCCGCTCACTCACTGTATGCGGCATCAATTGGACTATCGGCATAACGATGAAAAGGACCAACTGCAGCTCAACTGCGTCTCTGTAAGATTGGGTGTCGTCGACGTTCTGCCAAGGTGCGCCCCGCATACCAAGGATGTTGGAGTTGGCATTGTTTAAGGCCACGTGCCTCCAGCCTCCAGGAAGGCTCCTGCTGCAGGATGGTACGCACAGTCGCACACTGCTTCCCTCAGGCTCCGGTTGAACAAACAACCAGGACCTGGCCGTGTTACGGGAACACCTCATCTTGCTAGCTCTGTCCAACACGATGTCTCAGGCATACGGAACTCCAAGAACGCTTCCCCAGGTGAACAATGGAAAACTATCGCTTCCGTTCTTGCAGCACATTTTTCGTATAACATACCATTTGACACGTTGGTCATGTCAATGGAACCTCTCAGCAGAAACCGCGAAAAGCAGGCTACTAACCGCCGTAGCTCTTTCGAGACTGTTTTGGATTATGCGTTGACCGGTTGAGAACTTCAATTCGGACCAAACATGAGGTATGTTCCACACACACTAGTAGACATGCCCGGCGTTGTAACGGGGCCTTGTGGCCCAGCATTTGGGCGACGACACGTGGGTGAAACTTCCCGATTCCACATGTTCGGGGACTAGCTTAGAAAGTGCAACCTGACACTCTCTATCACGTACCTGAAGCCAGGTAACGATTTAGGTATCTTCCATCTGTCTTCACTGTGTTTTCAGTTGTATTTGCTATAGCCGAGTTACCAGCTTCACTTGGCCCTCCGGAACATAAGTGATTAGGTGGCCAAAAACCATTCCAATCTCACCATGCTTGTAGCTTGGCCACAGACAGCAATACCAAGCATTCTAAGGGTCACGAACTCAAGTAAGGTAGGCAACAAACAGATAGCCTCGTGGCAAGCGCGTGACCGGCATGAAGTCCGATTGTCTAACAACTGATTGCTTTGTAGAATTGAATGGAACACGACCTCGGGTGATTGCTCACTATTACCTTATGGTATCCCGTCATTGTGACGTTGTTCGACCGCAAGCTGGGTTCATCTATCTTGGCTATCTTCCAGGACAAGAGTCTCGGGGGGTCGGGACGAGGAATACTAACAGCAGTCTCCAATCGAGGTGAAGGGGCCGTCGGATATCATCCACCCCCGAGGAGCCGCTGCATCGGTACTTGCATCCTTTCTCTGAGGCCTCCAATTGTCTACTCGTCCCTGCAAATTCCCAGGTGTGATGGGGCGTGTGGCACGGACCGACAAAGCTTCAACAATCGACTTTAATTGAGAAACAGTACCGATCCTGACTTACTGTACCAGAGGTACCTGGTGGCCTGGGCAGCTGGTAAGCGGGCTGTCAACAAGTGACTGCACTTCTGGCTCATTCAAAGCAACTTATTCTGCCTCCGAATTTACTCAGAAACATGGAAAATACCCAAGGTGTGCTGGCTGTTAACCTCATCAATGCATGCCTGTCGGTATCCTATCCTCTTGACTTGAATATCTTCGCTGGCACCATGGCCTTGTGTGCAGATGTTTTGACACCGCACTGTTTCTTGCTTCGTCCCTCACAACACTAAACCCAGACTAATCTGAGATTTCAATGGTTCCTCGTTGCCCCCCATTACGCCACCCTCGATCCATGAAGGCGAGCCAACGGCTTCTTGGCACCAAGAGCGTTCCGGATATTAACTTCATGTATTAAGCTCTATCCTGCCTTATTTATGACCTAACGTTACTGTTTCCTACCTTGCATATCTTCTATCTATCGGCCTTTGATACCGTCCATAAATACTATAGGTGAAGACGGCGAAGTCACCAACATACCATCCTCTTTCACTGCCTCCATGAGTTAGTAACGGAGTGCTCCCTCGCATAGGTATATTAGGCATTTACTCACACGTTCTCAGGATCTCCCTTGTCATTTGACCCCTACCCACCACACATTAATCTGAGGATGGATCATTCAGCTCTGAGAGAGCCCAATCCCTTGCACAACCTCTGAGGTAAACGCAAGTGGTTCCAATTAGCTCAATAGTATCGTGTGCTCCGCCAGTCTGTCTCTGTTCCGCTCTGTCTCCATAGGATACTGAACATGGAGGAGGGTGGCCGGGAACTTGATTGTTGTTCAGTCAGGGTCGGATACTAGGTACAAGGGAAAGGGGGATGCAAATTGAAAACCGTGTATTGTCTGTTCGGGGGCTGCATGATTGCCTGGTAACAAGATTGAATATATACTGGTATATACCAGTAATATCACGGTGCTTCAACCAGTCGAGCTAATCGAGCAGGCGTTTAGCAAACCTTCGTCCTTGTTTGAAGGGACATGCCAGCGTGGTGAGCTGACCGAAGCCCAGCATGGTGACGTTCCGCCGCAACTCCGATGTGGCTGCCAGTATCCACTGATCTATTGACATGGCCGTCGTGCTTTGTAATTGAAGAACTTATTGCATGGCGCAAGGTCTCTCTTCATCCATCGAATACCTCCAGGCTGCCGCCTTCACTACAGCCTACTGGCTGACAGCTGAGCAGGCACACCAAATGAGTACGGACGGTTCCGCGAGTGAGGACAGACGGTTTGGAAGTAATAGCCTTTTCCAACTTTTGCTATGCCTAGGTATCTATGCTGAGCCCAATCCTGCTGCCGACGATTGGTATCGTGGAGGCCCCGGCGATAACGCCATGAATAACATTCTCCCCAACCAGTCCCTCCTATACCTGCAGGCGGGCGTGGTCGAAACCCGCGCGATTCAAGCCAGAGCACAGCAAAGGAAACACCGCGCGAGCTGGCCCAGGCAGAATCTTTCTTCTGACGAGCTGTTGACCTGCGCCGCCCGTGTCTGTTTGCCCCCCTTTTCCCCCATCGCAAAGCTGCTTGCTGTTCATAAAGCCGTGCAAATTGAATGGAAGTTCGGAGCGTGGTATCATAACATGCTGGTGCTCGTCTTCGGGAACCGCGGAACCCGTTATACCTGAGGGAATACCGCATAAACCAAAAAAAAGGCGCTCAGGTATTGCTTTGGGTCCGTTATATCGGTGTAGCGTCAAGATGCAAAGGTGCTCATGCCCAGAGCGTGGCGCCACCCGTCTCGATGGCCTCGATCTCGGCAGCGGTCAGAGGCTGGCGGTGGAAGCGCGGAGGCAGGTCATTGCGGTCGAAGGCTACGCCCTGGGGAGGGATGACGGGGCCGAGCCTGGAGGCCGGAGAGCCGCCGATGCCGGCGTCGGCCTTGATGGTCTTGCGGAGAGGCCCAAACTGCTGTGCGTGGTCGCGGTAGGCGCTGAACGAGGAGTGGGAGGAACCGCTGGTGAAGGATGCCGGGAGGGAGTGTGTGGGCGACGCCGGGTGGGGCTGGGGGGTGTGGTCGACGGAGGCTGCGCCGTGTTCAGTCAGCTTTCTTGCCAGTTCTCTTCTGTTTGGAGCGTCGGGCATACCGGGAGTTGTGCGCTTGCCGATAAATCTAATGGAAGGAGTGCGCTCGGCGTGCGCAGCAGCCTGGCGAAGAACCTTGGTGAAGAACATGATCGCGGTCGTGATGCTGGTTGTTATGCAAGGGAAATGGTGTCTCGGGAAGCCCGGTGTTTGGGTTTCGGCGGAAGGGCGTGCAAGATGCTCAGTTTTTCTCTTCTCCTCACGACGATTGCTGTCCTAGCAGGGCCTTAAAGCGCAGGGAACAGAGCTAATGGCTGTGAGCACGAGCTGGGTTGCAGGACAGGTCGAGGGAGGAGAAGTGAGCACTGGCGAGAGAAGGTTGCCGAGTCCAGGAGGAAGGAAGCCAGGGTAGTTGATGGGATCCTGAGGGGGTTTTCACAAGCTTCTGAATTTGCTGGACAGGGCAAGCCTCCACGCGCCCTTTCAGGCAGCCGAGCCAATCAGCCGGCGCAGTTTCACTCTTTGGGTGGTGTAAACCCCAACGCCGGAGTTCGTCCAAGGCGAATGGTACCACGCCATTTCGACGCCATCCCACTGGTCCTTTTTCTCAAACGTGGAGATTCCCCACCTGGGCACTCATCCCGTTTCTCCCCGAACAGCAGTGGCTTGGTTGCCATGCATGAATAACAGCAGAGATATCATCTCACTGTCGCCGTGTCCAGAACCCGATTTTCAATATTCCTAGGAAGATTCATGGGATTTGCAGGCTTTCAAATGCGCTTCTGTGCTGGCCGTTGTGAACTATGTACCAATGTGGGCGTTCCAAGAATCCCACATCAGGACCCACCCTTATCTCTGCAATCCCCCACCAAGTCATCGTGCTGACAACAATTGTTCCCCGCGTTCCATTTTGACATCGCCGGTGCGATCTTCAAATAGGCTATGTTGGGATGGTTCGATCCTGGAATAGTGGAACGAATGAGTTTGAGTGCCAATACAGTGTGAAACCACGCTACTGTATTTCCCCACACAACGCTAGCTGCCGCTGCCCGAACCAGCTGTGCAGACGACAACTGCCAACAAACGAGGTCGCCATGGCCGACCTCGGTCCAGCATGAAGCCCACAGATTGACGAACTCGAACGTCAGAGGCTCAGTTACAACTGCCCACCTCCGGACTCGATAAACCAAGATAAAAAAACAAAATAAAACTAATAAAAAGTCATAATATGGGATCTCCCTCGGCATGGACTTGTTAGCCTGTCGAGTTTGGGGCCGCCGTGCGAAGGGTAGCCCGAAAACCGTACCCTGATGCGTCTGCCGGTCTATTTTCCTCCGGTTATGCGTGCACAGGGAGGACGAGGGTAGAGCCAGGTGATCCGTCTTCCATCACAGGACGAGATTGATGGGTGATCAAAGTGTTCCTTTGATGGCTTTCGAAGCATTCCCTGCCACATTCGTATCGCGACGCTTGTGGCCTCCAACATCTTCGGAAGATGGGCAATATGTCCTCGACATATTGGCCGCCTCAGGCCAAACGCTGTGCTTTGGCCCGTGGAGCAGACCATGAGAGCGAAAAAGCGTCCTCAGTACAAATTCATACCATGGTCACAGTTCTCCTGTTACGATAATTGCGGGTTCTGCACCCGGAATTGTGTGGAAGGATCCGACCAGTAGTTGACTTAGACCCCTGCAGGTTCGGGGCATTCATCCATTGAATGCCAGCCACAGGCGGAATGGAGGCCACCGCCATCAACCTGTTGAGCAACTCAATTATTGCGAGTGCATACGCCCTGGTCTGGCAGAGAATTGTGCATTCCGAGTCCTGCAAGCTGTCTCCGTTGTCCGAGACTGCAACCTTCGAGGGCGGCTGGCAGTGGGCCCCTCCAGGTGACCAATGGAAACCTCTGCCTGATCCGGAATTGGGCCGTCAGCTGCAGCCCCACATGTATGGCCAACTATCGGGGAGCAAAGCGTGAAACACCAAGAAAATGGCGAGTCCAGATCAGCACCTCAATCGGCACGACAATATACCCCAGAATCATGGACGAATGATGCACACGGATCTCCTCGATACGGTTCTACTCGGTCGCAAAGAAGCGACGGCGCCAGAAACCAACACAACACAGACGGCAGCAGCAGGGACAACAGGGACCGCACGAACAGAAGCCATGAAGGGATTCGGTGTGGACGCCGCGCAGGCGGGGGAAGATGCCAAGTGCCCTGTCGACCACAAAACTCGAGAGCTATGGCTGCAGCAAGCACAGCAAGAGCGCGCCGCACAGTCGGCAGCCGCAGCAGCGACAACACAAAGCGTTCGAACACCACCAACAAGCACAGCAGCACAGCAGCCGCACCAGTCCACCACTTCCTCCTGGTCATCATGGCTCCGACTTCCTTCCTTCTACCGACCTCAAGCGCATTCCGCAGAACCGACCCAGAAACTGCCGCCGCCACGCCCGCAACTAGACGAGTCGCGCGTCGTCTCGAGCATCCCCCGCTCCTCCAACCCAGGCCCCTCAGCATGTCCCGTCAACGACGAGCAAGAAACAGGCTCCTCCGCAACCGGCCACTGGGTCTACCCGTCCGAGAAGCAATTCTTCGAAGCCATGAAGCGCAAGGGCCACGAGGCAGCGGCAGCCGACATGAAGACGGTCGTCCCGATCCACAACGCCGTCAACGAGCGGGCGTGGGCCGAAATCCTGAAGTGGGAGGCGCCCTACGTACAACCCCTCACGCGCGGCGGGTGCGGCGGGCCGCGGCTGCACAGCTTCGCGGGGCTGGGCAGCGCCACGGCCAACATGAGCCCGCGGGCCCGGATCAACACGCTGCTGGGCTACTCGGCGCCGTTTGACCGGCACGACTGGGTCGTGGACCGGTGCGGGACCAAAGTGGAATACGTGATTGACTTTTACGCCGGGCGGAATGACGGGCTGGGCAAGGGCAAGCTCAACTTTTACCTCGACGTGCGGCCCAAGTTGAACACGTGGGAGGGCGTCAAGATGCGGGCGTTGCGAGCTGTCGGGTTGGCGTAAGCGGGAGATTGTGTTGTTCCGTGTACTGCTATAATTGTCGTGTTTGTGGCTTATGTACCATACCACTCAGCCGGTCTTCGGGGTTTTAGAAGTGGGAGGGTGGTGGCGTTGGTCAGATTGGATGTAGGAGTCGTGTAGTGTATGGAAGGTCTCAGGTGCAAGCAACCAACTCTCCAATCGTAAAATGAAGCCGCAGATTCCTGGTTGTCTGCGTTGGTATCAAGAAGAAATAAAGCTCAGCCCAAGCTACGTTCCGTTTGCAGCCTATCCAACACCCGTCCCGTGCCCGACGCGGCCAAGAACCTACCATCTACTGTCCCCGTCGCGCGCTAACGTGAAACGTTGGAGCACTCCTATATATTGTACAATAATCCGAAGTCGTATCAATTCATCGATTTAGTCGTGCTTTGCCTCCTGGTGCCCGTTGAGGCGTGCTGGGTCTTTCTCGGGTAGATGTAGCCCTAGATGAAGGTTAATCCAGCCATTGCCGGCAAGAAAGCGCGACAGCGGTCACAAAGAAAACAGCCTGCACTCACTTTTCCCGCCATCTCCCACCCGCACCCTGATCGGTAACCTCGTCTCCAGCGCATTCGCGCTGAGATCCCACCCGGCCGCCGTCAGAGCGGCAAATATTGTCTCCTTCTGCTCCTCCGACACATAGCCCAGCGGCATCTCGTTCTCATAATGGCTCTGCAGCCCGTCCTTGAGCGCCGAGTCGAAGTGGTAGGCGTGGTTGACGGCGTCAAACCAGGCCGAAAGCGGGTTCGCGACGCCCTCCTTCAGGGCAATCCGCATGTAGAAATACCCGCCGCGATGCCATATCCCCATAAAGTACGTGCTCGTCTCGAAGTCGTACCGGTGATACCCCCTCGGATTCCACCTCATCAGGTCCCCGTACGTGCCAAAGTCGCAGAAGCCCGTATACTCCCCACTCTTGCTCGCCAGATTCCCCCTCCCTTTCCGCAGCACGCTCTCCCTCTGCGCGGCCTGCGCTGGGGTCAACACGGTCCCGTGGTCCAGCCACTCCCGAAAGACAAGGGTCGCGCGCTGCCGGCTCAGCGAGCGCATCTTGACGGAGCGCACCGCGCGGTAGTTCATGGCCAGGTGCACGCCCGCCAGCAGCACCATCAGGAACCAGACGACCTGTTTGTCCTCGACCATGCGCACGACCAGACTCCCGACCAGCATGCCCAACAGGCTGACAACCGTCTCCTGCGAGGCCTCCTTGGCGTTGAGCTCGGCGAGGTTACCCGTCAGCGCAAAGTGCGCCGACAGGCTGGCCTTGCTGGCATTCGCGGCGACGCCGCACAGCGAGCGGAGGACGCCCGCCGAGACGATGACGCCAAGTTTGGGAAGGTAGGGCAGGGCAGGGGTGAGCAGGTCGAGGAACTGGGACGTGTCGTTGAAGATGTCGGCCAGGAACCGGTAAAACTTGCACTCGGGCTCGATGGCCTGGCCCATGCGGTGGGCAAAGAGGATGGTGGCGATGCGCGAGATGGTGTCGCCCGTGATCTTGAGGATCAAGGCGCCCGTGGGCGACGACGACGAGTCGCCTACGCCGAGCCCCTCAAGCACGGCGCGGTTGGCGAGTAGGGATGTTATGGACGAGGCGAAGGCCTGCAGGGAGTCGTAGGTCTGGTAGGCGAGGTAGTCGTCGGTGACGGTGTGAGGGTAGCCTGCGGGGAGGAAGGCGTAGAGCATCGCTTTGGCGAGGGGCACTTCGGTTTTCTCCTGCGGAGGGAGGACGGTCAGGTTTGAGAGGCGCATTGCGTTACAAGCAGCCTCAAGGTAGACTCACAGACTTGAGACTCTCCTTCTCGCCGCCCTCGGTGTAGGTGCACAGCACCTCGCCCGCCGGATCGATGTCGTAGAAGCTCCGGCTCATGGCGGCGCCGGCAGTCGCATGCTACTCGCGACCTCAACTCGGGTCTACACCCAACAGGAAGGGGGCAATCAATGTTCGGCACGGGAATGCAGGCCTATTGAAAACACGTTAATTTCTCTCTTGACTGACGGAGTTGGTACTTGTACAGTACAAAACGTATTGGACATTGGATATCTGGACAGCCTGGGAGAAGCAAGGGTCGGCCAGGGCGGACAGCTTGGCGCGAACAGTGGGCCTCCATGGGAATCCGGGGCTTATCTGGGCTTATCGGCCCTACCTCGTGCAAAAGCTAACCATCTTTAGGTCCCTCACCTTAGTTAGGTAAGGTACCTTAGGAATCCTAAACTTGCAGGTCACAATCTGGCGACTGGAATCGTTCCGGGAACTTGACCAGCAAGCCTTCGCCTGCGCCTGTCAACAGGAATATATTGTAGTGTTTGAACCGCCCCGAGTCTGGCGCATGCTTCATCTTCAAGTCCCTCCATTAAGTTCCTCCGCCCCATACCGCTGATGTCATGCTCCCATTCGGCTCAATGATAGCAATGACCCCGAATCATCTCAGCAATACCAGTGTCCCACAGTCAAGTTTGTCGCCATTATCATCTCCGCACCGGAGTCCCGTCTTCAGCCACCAAATGCTCGTTCGTCTTCTGGGGGCCCGGACCAACACCCGTCATAATGACCCTGCTCACACCGCCCTTCAACAAATTCGCAACCGCTCCGTCCAACGACGTTGTCGGCTTCAATCCCTTAATCGCATCCTTCTTCCACCCATCGATCTCGCCGCCCAGCACATGATAGAAAGTCCCAACGACACGCTCCGTGTCCTTCTCCAGATAGTAAATGACGGCGTTCGGCCCGGCATCAAACGTGTAGGCAGCGACAGTCCTCCCCGCAGCGGCATTGATCTGCTCTACAGCTCGGATGGCGGCGCGCGAGACGTCGTTCATGTAGAAAATGGGCGGGTACGTATCGGCACACGTGGCGTGGAACGAGTTGGAATCGCGCATCGTGACCTCGGCAAAGGGAGCAAAGTCGCGGTCCCGGATGGCCTTCTCCATGACGGCCATGTTCTGCGGCACCACCCTCGCGATGCGCTCCTGGAACAGGCTCGACGTCGCCACGGTCTGCTGCATACCCGAGGTCGAGCTGACGCCCTTCTTGGCGGCCGAGACGACGAGGATCAGCGCGCACATGTCGGGCCAGTGCGCTGCGTCGGCAACTTGATCAGCCATCGAGTCGCTCCCGTCGGGCTTGTCGCCCATGCGCCATGCGACGTAACCGCCAAAGAGACTGCGGCAGGCTGACCCAGAACCCTGGCGCGCGATCAAGCTGAGCTCGGACGGCGACGCGGGCAGCTCGTACAGGTCGGCAATGGCCCTCACGAGCGCAGCGAATCCGGCAGCCGACGAAGCAAGGCCTGCGGCGGTCGGAAAGTTGTTCTCGGACACGATGTGAAGCGGCATGGTCGAGAGCTTGGCGAGGGACGAGTCGGCGGCCTCGAGTGCGGCGCGGCGGGCACGCAGCTCGCGGAAGCAAGCCTGGACACGGGCGCCCGAGACATCGGAGGGTTCGCCGTTGAGGAGCAGCCAGTCGCCTTCGAACGTGGGGTACGAGGCCGAGCACGATGCCGTGGTGAGGGTGCGGAGATCTGACTGGGCGAGCGTCACTGAGAGCGAGCTGTTGGTCGGCAGATTGAGTGTGGCATCGCGCTTGCCCCAGTACCTGCGAAGGAGTGGACGCGGTCAGTTTCATAGACGCAGTGGGCTGCTTGGAGAAGATTACTTGACAACAGCGATGTTCACCGGGGCTGTGGTGCTTGCGCGATACACTTTATCCGCCATGTTTTTGAAGTGGGTTCGGCGATGAGGATTGATGAGTGGTGTGGTTTTTTTGAGGGGAAACTCACTCTACACGTGTAGTTGCTGGGTGGGCCAGCGACCGGGATCCACCGGGCCGGGACCCACTATGCCGGACCCCGCCGGGCGGGAGCCCACCGCAGATTCGAGACCGGGACCCACTCTTCGACCTCACCCGACCCAGCATCACCACCACGCAGGCCCAGGGAGCTTTCTTGGCGGGGCTGCTGCCGAGCCTCCTTCCGGGACAGGGTGGCCCGGGGCGGCGACAGTGCACGAGCAGGTTGCGGGCGCGGCCTCTCGAGATCCCAGCATGTCCGGGTAGCCGCTACGGCGCGGAAAAGCAATTCCCCCGGCGATGACCCACCGACCGAACAAATTCCGTATAATCTCCCAGCATCCTCGCCGGGCCCTTCCCATGGACGGTACCCAAAAGGGCAAAGAAGTAGTCCCCGTCCGTAGGGCGGGTGATGGTGTCGATCGCGTCGCATGTTGTCTATCCGTCGCAGTATAGTTAGTTTAGTGCACTACTCTATAGAAGTATGGCCAGAGTATTTATATATAAAAGTGACAAGGAACAGTTAACTATATATCGTTTATGATGGTCATCCTCCAGATTGCGTAGAGGCCTTGGGTGTCGGCGCCTCCCCGTTGCTGCTGCACGACGCGCGTATAGCACACAGCTGTAAGGCCGGACCACTAGAGTCCGCCCTTACGACCATGTAGCCGGTCGGGGTTGGCAAAGTTTTTTCATAAAGAGAACAATCTTGCCCTCTGCATGCACGTAGTTCTGGTAGGCGGGCTCAGACCGTTGGGTAGTGGCCCGGCCGGTGTCGGAATTACAATATGTACACAAATTAATGTGTACTGGTCGGTGGGGTGGCCGACCGCCTCCAGCGACTGGCAGGTCTCTTCGTCGACGCCGGGCTCTTCTGGCGGCTCTAGCCGCACGTAGTACGCGCGGTTCGATGTCGCGGAGGGACTGGGAGGTGTCGCCATTGGCGGCGACGGCAGCCAGGAGATTGTCATAGGCCCCACGGCCTTTAGCCACGTGGGTGGCACGTTGAGGCATTGCGATGAAGAAAACAAGTAAAACTACGAACGACAACATAAGACCACGAAGAACAATACAAAACCGCGAACTTATAACAACAGAACTGAAAGAGACACGGATCAAGATTAGTATAGGACGCGTTGCACCGGGTATATCAACAATGAACGCCCTGTAGGACATACTTGCATTTTCTGCCTATCTCTTCCCTCTGCACCGAATAAGGTACGCTCGATGTCTGCTGACATGAATGCAGGTCTGTATCTTAATTATTAAGGGTGCGGCAGCAGTCAAGGTATTGTGGCCCTGTGCCTGCCCTTGCAAGGAATATTCGCTTGCCCAGAGTGACCTGGCAGCAGTGACAGAGGGACTCGGGTATGGATTGCCTCTGATGGATGTTAAACTCAGCCAGTGGCAGCATCGACTACTGGTTGTCCAGCTGTCACTTCTTGCGCTTGGGGAGGGAGCAACCATGTCGAATCCCAGTATGACCCCTGGACCTTCTCGCCTTCTCTGGAAACATGCGGTCCCCCCTGAGTCTTTGCCACGGGTCAAACCAAGTGTTAACACATCATCGACATAGAAATCCCGCTGCGTTGCCTCGCTAGTCCCCGACGACAAAACTTGGACGCGGGCCGCCAGATGTTGGGGCAACGGCTAGTGACTTGAAGTGAGTGCTTCCTATATCTACGTCCGCATTGGGGGCGATGAGTAGAACATATGGCTGAACCTTGAGAATGAGCTAATAGGCGGCGGCGAAGGTGATTGGTATATGTCAAGTCTGTGACCGCTGGCCGCCAGCATAGATTCATGATGCCAATGCGAGAATTAAGCCCCTGGTGAACTTAACATCGCTCGACGGGCTGCAACGTGCAAGAAGGCTATTCCAGGCTAATAGTAGAGTTATAGGCATCGTCCGGATTTACCTCATCGAAATCGTGAGCGCCTCCTTATGCGACCAAGACGGTCGCCGGTGAGGGCATACGAGTAGCCTCCAGTTGCCGGGCCTCTGAGAAACCAAAAGGGAAGGAAGTGGCCAAAAGGGCATAGAACCAGTCACCCCCATCGCTGGGGCGGACTTCGACGGGCTCTATGGCGCCCCCTGTGATGGCGCGAATCGCGTTCTTCAAGTTGGTCGTCTAAATGGCCGTCGTCGCATCAGTAAGCAATTATACAGGAACAAGAGTAGGGCAGGTGGTAGTCTTACCTCCTTCACGATCGTGACCCTCCAGCATGGCTTGAAGCCCCTTGTGGTTGGTGCCCCCACCGCCATGTTGCTGTACCACACGAGCACAGCACACTGCTATAAGATCGGGCCAATAGAGTTGGCCTGGCCGGCCTCTCACCCCATCTCGGTTGGCAACGTTGCTCGTGCAGAGCACGACTTTTCCCTTTGCATTACGTAATCTAGGTGCGGCGGCGGGAGAAAGCTTGGGTTGGAGTTGTACAATCCAAACCTGGTTTGTTTGTCAGCGTGGCATATGGCAGGCACCGGTCTAGTTCGAAGAGGAGGAAACAGGGGACTGCAAGAAAGAAGGTGGCCAAAGTAGGAAAGGAAAATGGAAAGGTGGGGAGGAGGATGTAGAGGAAAAAGAAAGGAAAGAAAAAAGAGACGAAAGGAAAGAAAAAAGAGACGAAAGGAAAGGAAAGAGAAGAAAGAGAAGAGAAGAGAAGGAAGAGAAGAAAGGAAAGGAAAGAAAGAAAGAGAAGGAAAAGAGAAGAAAAGGAAGAGGAAACTTTGAAGAGAGGAAGAAGCAGAAAGAGAGAGAAGAAAAAGCGTAAATACGGTTGCCTTCTCTTCTCTTCTAAAGACAAACAGACCAGAGTTTAACTGCACCTACACATTGGTTTGTATACATATCGGTCGGGTGACCGGTCGCCACCAGCGGCTCGCCTGTCACGGCGCTCAGGAAGGGTGCCTCAGGCTCCCTTCAAACTGGGTATAGTAGCCCGGCTCGACGGCGGGCAACGGCCGATGGGGCGTCACCGTTGGCGGTGACGGAAGCCACATATGCAGGAGTCTTTGGTAGGCCTCGCGGCGGCGAACTGGGCGGCAGGCAAATGAATGGATGTTGCCTCAGGACAGATTGATTCTCCACGTCCCTTCCCGACCCTTCTGTTCCCCAAACGTCAAGTACCTTACATATCCATTTCCACACCCGCTCCTGTCAAAGCCTAAATACACCGTTAAGGCCCTGTAGGTGCAACCCCAACATGAAATCTCAGGTATATCAGAGTCCCATAGAAAATGCTTCATTTTTCCCGGACTCTTGCCTCTATCCCCCAAGGTTATCCCCGCACATAGCGCTTCGGAGTGCTATTGATGTTGAAAGTCGAGCGGAAAACCACCTGGTCGGGGCCGGGCTGCGAACCGGCTGAAGATGTTGACCGCGGCCGTGTCGCTGACGGCTGGTTTGGCGATTGATAGCGGTGGCTGCCAACCACCTGGCATCTTTAGGAGCCTAGTAGGTGTCGTGTTCGAGTGTGATGCGCGCGCGGTGTGACGGACATCGTATTCAACGCCACAGTGCGCAACTGCTCCCTGTAGGATATGTCGATGGAGGCGTGGCCTCTACGATTAAAGACCCCGGGGCCGGTTCTTTGCCTCACACAATAGGATTGCCCCAACTCTCTCCCACTTCAACGATTCGACTGGCACGGATATCACAACACACATTCTGCACGCCTCTAAAGGCCGCCTCAGCCCTTCTCGCGCGTTATTCGTGTTTCCTCATGATGAACGAATCTGAATGCTTGCCCGCTCCTAACCATTCCGGGTACTCCTCCGTGTTGCCAAAGCGTGAGTTGGGCCCCGTGAACGGCTCATCTTCCCACGGCTGTTCCTTCCACCAGCGTGAAAAGTCGCCGCTAGCATCCCACCCGTCGGCCATGAGAAATTGAGATCCAGACGTCGCAAGTTCTCGTTGCTCTAGACCCATGATAAAGTCAATTGCTGTCTCGAGGGTCGTATTGACGACGGCCTGCGCTTCTCCCTTGTAACCATCAATCTTATCTGCGATGGACCCGAGAGAAATAGGAGCGCTCAACCGGTCCTCAATGCCAGTGCGGATTAGGGAGAGAGAAACCCTGCCAACGGTGGTCGAATCGTCCTCAGCCTCGTAGTATTCGTAATCGACAATCACCAACAAGGCACGGAACAGCAGGTGGACGAGGTGATAGCGCAGATCCTGTAAGGCGCCGGACCGCAGTCCGCGGTGCACCTCCCCATCGCCAGCCGCCAGCCGCTCTGCGTATACTCGACGGCGGGTATCAGCTTCCGCGCAGATGGCCTTGCTTATGGCAATCAGGGCGGCGATGACGGAGTTGTCGCCCAAGGGGAGGTCCCAGGGCGTGATGAAGTTGCAGATGTAGCGCTGGTGCTCAATGTCACTTCGGTACGGGCGGGACCATGGGCGGTAGATGTAATTGCGAAGCACTATGACGAGTAGTTGCTACCGTCGGCTGTCTCCAGGTTGCATTCGGAAGTAGATAGGGACTAACTTGATGCACGTGTCGCCAAAGTCCCAGCCGGTCATTGGGGGGGACGTATTGATGTCTCGGGCCGATGGCTGATAAGTAGTTGAAGTAGGTTTCTGAATAGTGGATACGGAAGCGGTGATTTCCCTCGATCTTGGTTCGCATCTTCCAGAGAAATCTGCTCCGTGTCATGCCCTCCAAGTTTGTGATCGTCTCCGCTGCCCAAGCCGTGGGCCGTGAGGCTGGTCGAGGGGAAAGGGATCGTTGGGAAGCCATTGATAAACCGATGGAGCGATAATGGGGATAAAGTGAGGTTGGCGTGGGTGTAGTTAGGTGTAGTGATGTCCGATTATCGTGCACCTGGTCGGTGATCTCGAGTGTTTGGTACAAGAATGAAAATATTCTAGGGAGAAAGTGAACTGACCGATCTTTGAATGAATAAGCAGGGAGTGGGTGAGTTGAGCTCTAAATACATACCTGGTAGGTACACCTGACCGTCGGATCTGGTGCGTCAGGCCGCATCACTTGCTTCACGTCGTGTACCAGAATACTCTTGATGACTTCCAATAATGAGGTAATTAGAGATTCTGTTTGTCAGAAAGTTGGACGTGGTGAACGGACTATGTTTCAGACACACCTTTGTCCGCACGAGAAAGATGGCCCAGTATCCGCGCAAGAACCATTCTTGCTGCAGGCTCAGGACGCTACACCCCACGCTCGGGCGTTGTGCCCAGCCACGATAATCAACGTCGATCTAGAATTTGACGCATCACATCAGCTATGCCTAGTACGAAACTCGCACCCCATTGAGTGCACCTCCCTACTCAGTACTGTACCTAAAACTGAAAATACAACTGGAAGTACGTCACGTGCTCGAACGCAGGTAGGAAGAGACGAGGTACCAATCACTTGAGGAAGGCCACTGTTTGACAGATGAAATAATCACTGCATTGTGCTAGGCTGCTCGAGACAAATAATCGCATTGTGTGTTCCTGTTCTTTATATCCCACACTGTCCGAATTCCATCCATTGCTGTAGTACATACATAGTTAGCCAGTCCTAGCCAAATACAGTGACTTAGGTACAACCACCTACTTGGTATTTACCAGCAGCACAGCGCTAATAAGCAAGCGGCAACACATTCCTTAATTGTAGTTCTGTATTCGAAGTGACCAAACTCCAGGGCGAATGTTGAAATTTAAGAGTAACCGATAAGAGGGCGGACAGTTACAGATCCGTCCGGTTATGTGGACCTTGTTCAACAGGGCTGATCCGCTTCCCTGCGACCAGGTGCTGGCGTGATCTGAACAACGAACGCCCAATGTACCAACTAATATCATTTACCCGGCCATCAATGGCCGGCTAGGCAAGTTTCCCATGTTTTAAACCGAAAGTCAACGCCCGCGCCAACCCAAACAGCTAGTGGAATCGAGATGTACGGGAAAGCCTCCACAGACGGAATCTGATGTCCCGCGTCGGACATTAAAATAGATTGACGACAACCCTCTTCTGCCGGTGGCACGGCTGGGAGCTCCGAGCTTGTATGGCGCGAGGGTCCGGCTGGCCGTTCGCAGAACCGCGCCGACCTGGATGTGTTCCTCTTCTTATGCCGTGGATCGAACTTGAAAACAGCTCAAAGCCTCTCTCAATGTTCTGTGGAGAAAGGTTCCAACCTCAGTGAAATTGGTGTTCCGTGACTTTCATACGTAAGAAACCTCCACGATGAAAGCACAACTGCTCGCAGCGCTCTTCGGTACGGCCCTGTCGTCGCCAGCGGTGGTGGCAGCAGCCGACGGCCCCGTCTCGACTCCGTCGCCGACGACCCTGCAGCCCGGGGCGTACTGGATCCGCGCAGTGGTGCCGCCCAACTACCACAAGTACCTGCAGACGATCCCCGCCAACGTGCCCGGTACGGCGGTGCTCGAGTCGCACACGACGGCGGGCCAGTTCAACATCGACGCGGACGGGCAGCTCGTCAACAAGGTGTCCAACCCGCCGCTGTACCTGTGGGTCGAGGAGCCCGCCGACAAGGCCAGCCCGCCGCGGACGCTGGCCACCTTCTTCAACACGACCAAAAATCCCTTTGGCACGTTCGCCTGGCAAGGGGATACCCTGACGTGGTCGGTGCCGAGCATCAGGCGGCAGAACACGGCCGCCTGGCTCGTGTGTGCGAAGCAGGCGCTGTTCATCAACACGGGCGCGTACGGCTACCAGACGCCTGCGGGATGCGCGGATCAGACGGTGGGTTGCTGCAATACTTCCCTTGTCGAGTTCAGCAGCGCTGACTGATATGGCTGCCTTGCGCTGTTAGATCCATTACTACAACGACAAGACGGCAAACAACTGAGGTGCAAGGGCCAGTAGAAAGGAACGAGAATTCGTGGCATGCAGATTATGTTGCGGCCGTCCCTCTTCAGACGTCTTATGCTGTGCGTGTTGGTATGGCGTCTGCTCCGGGTCGTGATGCGATGATTAATGGATACGAAAACTCCAACTCGGAGCCGAATGGATGTTCCAGGAATTCGATGTTGATCAGTCCGGCGGCTCGTCGATTGCTCTCAGACTGCAAACTGGATTCAGTAGGGGAAGTAGCCGTCTTGTCATTTTGCCACTGCTTCCGGCGGCTTTGACATTAAAAGTTTGTTGTTTTGGAGCCCTTTCCAGCTTCGGAATCCGCTGCTGTCACTTTATGGGGTCAAGGGTTTCTGCGTTCCGCTTCCGCCCCGCCGAAGGGATTCCATCCGCTTTCACGTTCCAGCCTCCCCTGAAATCTCGAACTACGGATCTGTACATTCGACGCAAGCAAACGGCTGCGCTGGACAGCAACCTATGTTTTGTTCATGCCGGGAGAAAAAACTGCAGTACCGAGACGCAGTGAACTGTGGGCGCAACAAACCGGCCGCCCCGGAGCCTCCGACCGCTGGTGACCCACGAAATTCCACGTTGATCCCAGCCAACGATCCCAAATCCTCGCATTCTGCTGCCAAGAGAACGGCTTTGGATAGAGAACGAGTGTACAGCCAGTCACAGCGTCCCAGTGGGCCGCCAAAACCGCCGCCCAGAACTGCACCGCCCTCCAATGCCCAGAAAGCCAAGCGCCTACCGAGAATACCAAGACCTCAAGAACAAGGAGGGAGGCCCCTTTCGCGTCATGCCCCTGCCGCCCTCTCTCCGGAACCATGCTTCCTCTCCTTTCTTGATCATTTGCTGTCGTTGATGGCGCTGGCGATCATCACACTCGTTTGACTTCAACGCTCGCTTCCATCTCTTCACCCCGCCATCTTCGAGCCCGGGACTGAATCAAGCGCCCAATTCGCGACCCTTTTCCACTCCTCAACCCAGTTGGTCGACCGCCGTTCCGCTCGTTTTACGCCGATTTCCATTGTCCAGTCTGTTGATATACCGACATCGAAAAGAAACCCGGACACGATGGCGCCATCATCGCCATCAAAACGCCCGGTGCGATGGTTGGCAGCGCTCCTCGCAACAAGCAGCTTGCTCCCGGCCGCACACGCGCAGCAGCCATATTACAAGATCGACACTCCAGGTACTTCACGGGCGAACAAAATTAGGGCCTTGGGCGCTGGACTGACCGGCAACCACAGACGAGATCCGACAATCTGCACGAACGCTTGCCTACGATCTGATGCTCTTCTATCAAGGGAACAAGACCGGTGAAATACCTGGCATTCTGCCCGGCCCACCCACAGAACACAAGGGCGACTATTACTGGTGGGAAGGAGGGGCTATGATGGGCACTTATATCGATTACTGGCACTTGACGGGCGACACAAGCTACAACCATGTCATCACCGAGGGAATGTTACACCAGGTCGGCCCGAACGAGGACTATCAGCCGCCCAACCACACCGCTTCTCTGGGTAACGACGATCAAGGATTCTGGGGCATGAGCGCCATGCTCGCGGCCGAGAACAAGTTCCCCAACCCGCCCGAGGACAAACCGCAGTGGCTGGCGCTGGCCCAGGCCGTCTTTCATACTCAAGCGGCCCCCAACCGTCACGACACTACGTGCAACGGCGGCCTGCGCTGGCAGGTGCCCATGACCAACGCAGGTTATAACTACAAGAACACCATCGCTAACGCGTGCTTCTTCGACATTGGCGCCCGTCTGGCACGGTACACCAAGAACCAGACGTACGCCGACTGGGCCGAGAAGCAGTTCGACTGGTTGTGGAACGTCCAGTACATCGACCACGAGAACTGGGCCGTCTATGACGGTGGGCACGTCGAGCACAACTGCACCGACATCAACAAGGCCCAGTTCAGCTACAACGCGGCGCTGCTGCTGCACGGCTCGGCCTTCATGTACAACTACACCAACGGCGACCAGAAATGGAAGGACCGCATCGACAACCTCCTCGTCGGCATCTTCCGCGACTTCTTCCCCAAAGACATCGCCTTCGAGCTCCCCTGTGAGGGCCACCGTGGCTGCAGCCCGGACATGCTGAGCTTCAAGGGCTACGTGCACCGCTGGATGTCGGTCGTCACGCAGATGGCGCCCTACACGGCCGACAAGATCCTGCCCGTACTGCGCAAGTCGACCGAGGCTGCCGTCCGGCAGTGCACCGGTGGGCCGACGGGGCGGAGGTGCGGTTTCTATTGGCAGGAGGGCGTCTTCGTCGACCCGGCCGTCGACAAGACGAGCGGCGCCGGCGAGGCTATGAACGTGCTCGCCGCTGTGTCGAGTCTGCTCATCGGCCACGCTCCGCCCCCAGCTACCAACGAGACGGGGATTAGCAAGGGTAATTACGAGGCTGGCACCAATAGCCGCGATAATGTGGAGCCGCTGGCACCCATCACGACTGCCGACAAGGCTGGCGCGGCCATCTTGACTATGTTGATCCTGGGCGGGTTTGTTGGCACTTGGAGCTGGATGAGCCTTGGTGATTAGGGTGGTTGTTTGAGGGGGGCTTTTAGGCATCTTTTCTGGCATGTCAGCTGTGGATTTATTTGCACAACAATTTTTGCGAACATCTGCTTTTCTCTTCTGTGGTTTTTTTCCGCTCATGTCATTTGGGGGCTTTGGGACGGCGTCAGAAGGGGTTAATAACGGGTTTCGGTCAGCTGTCTTTTTGGTTACGATGTCGGGGCACACTCTTCCCGAGTTATATAGGGTAGAAACATCTCAACCAAGTCCTTCAAGTTACCCCTTTTTGTCAAAGTGTTGTAGGGTTGTCTATTTTGTCCTTTCCTCCCAGGCGTCTGGACGCCCAGCACTAATTTGGTAAAGAATGATTCCCGTCTAGAGTTTGGACAACGCTAGACATCGCATCAGCCCCACGTCTACCCGACATCGACAGGAAGGTTGCCCTTCCTCCGGGAGAGCCCCGGATCTATCTTTGTTCTCGTCCCAGTCTAAGCTGTGTCTCGTGAGCTGACGGCGCAGATAAAAACCCGAGGCACTCTGCAGACATAAAGCCCTGCAGGCTAACCCATCATATAGCTGATATATCCGGGTCAATGAGCCCATAGCTGACTCGGGCATCGCCGCCATCGACGATATCAGGTCTGGCTACTTCTCTACTCAACACAGTTAACGGAGACACACGGTTCGTCAATACGCCGGCCGAGGTCTCCGGTCGCAGCATCCCTGATTGATGAGGGATTGATGTGTCATCGTATGCTTCCCGCGGTTCGACCACGTTTGAGAATGGGAAAGGGATCACTTTTCGGTTTGACCCTGGGATTCGCGATTCGGTCGTTGGCTGGTTGCACGTGCGTAAGCTTGGTGGAAGAGTAGGACCGGCAAGAAAGCCGTTCAACGAGCTGGGTTTGTTATCGGCTTGTGGTAAATGGACCAAGAACATCAATTTCAGTAAGATTCTCCGCTTACCTCCGTATTCTTTGTCCCTTCTAAGACACGTGGGAAATTGAAAAGATGGCGAGGGTGGGTATGGTCGAGATTGATGGGACTTTGGAGCAGAGAAATCACGTATAGCCCTTGTGTCGTCCCCGAAGGCCCACTGATCCATCAAGGTTCACACCAAGCAGTTCGCGGAACAACCCCACTGTGCCTCGAAAAGCCGGACCTGGAAATTTTCCCAGACTCCGATCCTAGACGCAGCACACCGCGTTGTCACGATTTCTAGACTTCCACGATGCATTCTGTTGTCCGCCCAAATGCATGGGTGGCTCTGAAACTTCCATCGGGAAGCACTAAAGTCATACAAATTGCCCCGAACACGTAGGTATCTCCTGGCTTGCGGTGCTCTGTGTCGCCGTTTTGGGTAGTGTGGCAAGTCGAGTGTTGACGTGCAAATGCGATGGCAGCACAATCTCGCTCGGGAAATACGGCTCCTTTCCTTCCAACCTGATCATCGGGCGGCCGTACCACCTTACCTTTGAGCTACAAGACAAACTTCCCAACGAAACCTTCTCGCGCCTCCGCGTCGTCCCCGCAGATGAGCTCTATGCCGAAGTCTTCGCCGAGGAAGCGGGCCCGGGCTGCGCGACGCCCGACGCCGCCGGCGCAAACGATACCGTGATATCTACAACCGACGGAGAAGAGTTCAGCCTGGTTGACGACAAGGGAAATGTTGTTGCGCGCTCCAACCGCGAGGTTCTCGACGAGAACGCGCGCCAGACGCTAACGCAGGATGAGATCGAGGAGCTGAAGCGCGAGGGGACCAATGCCGGCAAGGATGTCATTGCGAAGCTGCTGCTCTCGCACACGGCGCTGGACCAGAAGACGAGCTTCAGCCTGGCTAAGTACAAGCTGCTCAAGACAAAAAAGTACATTCGGCGGTTCCAAGTCCTGCCCATCGACGTCGAGAACTTGGCGCACTGGCAGTTGGAGGAGAGGGATGCGAGCAAGATTATGGATATGCGGGCTGAGATGATTGGCCTTGTCGGGTGCTGGGGTAATGTGCATTACGGCGGCGATGAGGTCTTCCTCCCGGATCCAAAGACGTCCAGCGCCGAAGGCGCAGGGGCTTGCGTTCCTGTGGATCGGGACGTTCTCAAGGGAAGGTGGCTGGCCGTGGACGATACCTGCGGTCTGCTAGTTGCTGCCATGGCGGAGAGAATGGGAATCCTCTACGAGGGCGAAAACACTGAGTCGGAGGTAAAGGCGGAAGAACATAAGGGGATGGCAACAGAGCAAGCTCCTGCGCGCTCAGAAATTCCCGAGAAGCCGCAGAGCAATACACCGGCAACTGAATCGACACAGAAGGATGGCGACGCCGAGATGACAGATGCGCCAACCAAGCCCGTCAAGCGAGAGAGCGACGTCAAGCCAAAACAACTAAACCCTCGGCCCTCCGATTTTGCAACTCCCTACTCCCAAACCAACACCATCACAGTGATTCACGCAACCAGCCAGCCGAATCTGTCGCTCCTCAACTACTGGGGCTTCGACATCACCGCGCCCAATCACCCGCCGCATCCCCTTCTGAACCATCTCCTCACCCTCAGCTGGCTGCAGCTCCTAAAGCCAGAGCTCGACACAGCCTACTCCACACCACCGCCCACCGCCACGCCCGAGACGCTTGCGTCGTGGAAGCCCAGCCGGCGGGGCAACTTCCACCGCAAGCGCAGGCGGTACGCCCGCATCCGGCACATCGTCGACAGCACAAGGACGGGCAATTTCTCGGGCCTCGTCTGCGCAAGCACCATGGATCCGATCAGCATCCTGCGGCACACTCTCCCGCTCCTGGCGGGCGGCGCGCCCGTAGCCATCTACTCGCCCTCGGTGGAATCGCTGGCGGCGCTTGCCGACTGCTTCAGCGTGCCGCGCCGCACGGCCTGGGTCAGCGGGGCCGCGCCCGAGATCGAGGGCATGTCCAACGAGGAGCTGGAGCGCTGGCCGGGCAACGAGCGGTTCCCGCTCAACCCGACGCTGTTGCAGGGCGTGTCAATACAGACCAGTCGGGCCCGTCGGTGGCAGGTCTTGCCGGGCAGGACGCACCCGCTGATGACGGAACGCGGGGGCGCGGATGGGTATGTGTTTACTGCGTGGAAGGCTATACCGGCCGAAGGCAAGGTGGCGGCCAAGGGGAAGTTCAAGCGCCGGAAGGTAGAGTCTGAGGCGGCGACTCCGGCTGCAGCGTGAAGGTCTCCAGCAGATGGGGGGTGGTATGTATATCCGAGGTGACCGAGGGGATATGGGGCATCTGCTTATATTTTGGCGTCGCTGGATACCTTGTGTCAAATAGGGACATGTGTCATTCATGGAAATGCGAGTGTCCTGTTTTATAGCGTCGCCTGCCTTTCTCGGTGCTTCTATTCCGGTAGCAACCTCCTTTCCTTCCGCCCATTTTAGGGCGCCTCTCGCTCACAACCCCTTGCCCATAAACTTGCGCTTGGTGAAGCTCAACCACCACTTGCTCGGCTTGGCCTCTCCTTCGTCGTATACCCTTGCCAATAACCTCGTCGCCAATTCTTGCCTGACCTGTGACATGTACTGCCGGAGGATCTCTGCGTCTTGCCTGTCGCGGGGGGGTTCGTACATCTGCGCAAAAAATCAGTGAGCCATTTCTCCTTTGCTCGCTCCAGCCCAATCCCCCTAAACCCCAAATTCATCCTACCTGATTTAACGGCCACGCGGGATCGCCCGGAATCGCAAAGTTCAAGTCTAGCGCCAGGTTCATGACATCCTTGGTGGCCTCGCGCAGGCTCGCGGTGGGGCGGATCTTGGTCAAACAGTCGGAGACGAACCAGATGCCGTAGACCAGCAGCCGGTCGGCGGGGCCCTGGATCTCAAAGTTGCGGAAGAAGGTGTTGGCGCGGAACAGCGCGAGCACCTCGTCCAGTATGTCGTAGCTCTCCGAGTCCGGGTCGGGCGACTCGTTGGCCGGCAGCGGGGGGTCCGGGAAGGGGAGCGGGTACACGGGGCCCCGGATCTTGGTGCGTAATGGAAAGAGCGGGAAGTTGCCCACCAGCCGCGGGGCGGGTTCGGCGGCGTTGAAGACGGAGTTGTAGGCCTGATGTCATGTCAGTGTCCGAGGGTAGGGGGTTGTGTTGGGGCGAGTTTGGGCTGGATTGAGACTGAAGAGGCTGATATGGCAGCGTTCTGGATGTTGGGTGTGAGACTCACCGGCATCGTGGGCAACACGCGCCTAGCGGAGCTCCTCACTTTAGTTTGGTGAGTTCAAAACTTGAGGGTGGGATGTGTCTGGCTCAGGTGCTCACTTCGCAGCCTTGCGGGGTCGCGTGGGCGGACGCAAGCTGCATCAGGCCGCTGCCAATCAACGCTGACGTCGGTGGACGTGGCTGAAGAAGGCCTTGGCGTGGTCGGTTGATGCCTCAGGCCGTACGAATTCAGGTCCGAGTCAAGAATTGAATGGGCGTCAGCGCAGGCAGCCACACTTTGGCAGGAAAGTGGTGGGCAGCCGAGAGCGGTGCCTCATTGGGCACAAGCTTACAGCGGCTAAAAAGAGTCCGAGTCTCATGACACAAAAGCTACTTTTCTGGGGACCTCCTTCTTCTGCCTTTGGTAAAGCTGTCCTGCGTTTGAAATGTGTCTCGAGGCAATGTATTGTACGGAGTACGCCGTTTAGATTAGGATTGTCTCCAAGACAATGAATGCGATGGGCCAAAACTGTGGCGTACCCGAGATGTGACTATCAAGACAAAAGTACGAATGTACCAGAGACTTTTAAAGCCATGCCGCTACCTGGCCCAATCAATGCGTGTCACAGGATTTCGTGACAGAGTCGCGATACCGAAGCGCCAAGCGCTCAGTTCGGTTGGCTCCGTGCCTTGCCACACAACTGTCTCTGACACAGGCAGAGCGGGCGACGTGAGGGGGATTTCCGGGCCGCCCACATTTGGTTCGCGTTTCTTAAACCCAGGCATTTCGCCCAGTCCGTGTGAAGCTCGCCAGCGAGACGCTTTCGCTATACCGCGCAATCGTGAACAGACGCTGTCATTTCGAAGTTTGATATCACGATTGCAGCTCTTCGAAAACGTCATATTTAGCACCATTCGGTTTACCTCAATATTTCGTCATAGGGCTCGGTTCTGTTTGCGATTTGGCTTTCCGTTTGCGGGGCGGATTCGCGACAAGCGGGTTTCAACCCACTCCCCCGGCAAGGCGACCGAACAGCCCTCCTTTCGATGCTCACAATTGAGTAAGTCGCGCTTTCGCAACCCTAGACGACCGTGGGATCGACTGGATACAATCGCCAGTGCGATATCTCCACGCCAAAACGCCTCCCGCTAATGCGCGCGTCTCCCTCACCCCAGATCCTTATTCAGCAGCAGCTTTCTCGATCAGCTGCGCGCCATCGTCCACATGTCTCCCTCACACGATAAACCCGGCGCGCCGAAGCCCGGTCATTCAAACCAAGGCGACAGCGGAAACCAAGCCCCGCCGACGAAAAAGCGGCCATGCAGGAGGCACATTACGCGGCCCGAGCCGGGCTCCTTGTATGACATCCTGCACGACCATGCCGGCATACCCCTCTACGTCGTCCCGATCTGCTGGACCGATCAACATGCCCGCCTGCTTGGCGCCCGGTTCAACAAGCGCCCCGGCGTCGTCACGCCAGTCCCGGACGTTACTCCCGGGGTCTGGCTTGAGCCATCCAAGATGGCCCAGACATTGACCTCGGAGCTGCACACCCTCGTTCGCGAAGACGCGACGCCCGCCCGCGCCTTTTGCAAGAATCGCGCCATGAAGCACATTCTGTCAACGCTATTCCCTGCGACCCTGGCGCGTCCAAAGACCGGCGCCGAGCTGAATCTCTACTTTGGGCATCGCGTCTTCAGGAAAGTGGTGCGCATTCCCTGCATCTGGAAGAGCCCCAACAGCGTCGACACCTCCTTCGACTCGTGCCCCACTCTTCCCTCGAGTTCATTCTGCCAAGCGCCCAAGAGCAGTCGCGATGCGGGCATGCCGATGCTGGCATACATCAACAGGTCACAGCTCGCCGCCATTCGCAAGAACCTCTACGGTGTTCTTCGCGGACCCGAGAACAACCCAAATGAGCCGGTGTCCAGACTCCAACGGTTGCGCTCCAAGATGCTGGTGCCAGCGGATCCCAACCACGACCCCTACATCGTCGCCATCCTTTTGGCGATGGCGCAGGCTCACTATTACCATGAAACATCATCACAACCCTCGTCCCCGGCCAGTCCCCAGGGTGCCCGCCGATCCATCCGGGTAGCGCCGTCGTCCTTCAGCGATGTCAAGGTGCAGGTCATCACCCACGACGAAGGAAACGACAGTTCGCCCAACTTTGTCATCTACACAGCGACGGTCACGGCGACGTTTCTACATCGCTTCACGTTTCCGCACAAGGCACCAAAACCGCAACCCAACGAGGACGCGATCGCCGGGATGGAGATCTCGTACACGCCGGTCAGCTTCTGGCCCATCCTCGGCCTCAAGGAGCGCCTGTCCAAAGCGCTGGGGCCGGAAATCGCGGGCGACTCCATCTACGACGACCCAAATTTCATTGGACTCTGGGACCCGCTGCTGGAGCCGCAGCCGCAGCCCCGGCCGCCCGTCTACCACCACCATCACCACTCCTCCGGCCTCAAGCGGAGGCGCGGCGCGGACAGAGAGCCGCTGTCGCAGGTGCTCAACAGTAGCTTTGAGGAGGAGCCGCCCAGCAGCCCGGACGATCGCCCCGTGCTGAGTCCTGCAGCTAAGAGGCGGAGGACGGCGAGGAGGGCGAGTACGCTGGAGGTATGTTGACGGACGGTGTCTCGGTTTCGAGACGAATGAGGATACGGTTTCTGGTTATGAGGTTTTGTGTTGTTTGTGCTGCGGCAACGTGGTGCTATGAGTCCAACCAAATTCGGTCAGATGAAAGAAGTGATGGGAGTATGGTTTATGAAAATGATGCATGGTATGGTACAATGGCCCCCTTTGTAAGGGCTTGACTGGCTAGACTTGTTTGGGAGGGCAAAGGTGAGAGGGTTATTGGGTGGTAACTAAGGTGGTTCGCTGTTAATTGTTCCTGGCTAAGGTCATCATGGTGCATCCACATGAGGTGCTGGGTGGTTTTCGTTGCTGTATGAGCATCTCTGGCGCCAAGGGCTAGCCCACAGGATTTGCTCATGGCGTTTGCGGTTTAGGTTTTAGTTTACGCACGTATTCTAGCATAGTATGGCTCAGTTGCGGTATGTTATGTTGTCATCAAGTCACCATGATGCGGGATGCCGGTAAGGTAGCTTAGGCTCGGATTGCTTTGGCATGGCAGCTTACTCGTTAAGGTTTAAGCGGCCTGAAGACAATGGGATATACTTTCGTTATTTTCTCTCACTGTCTCACCATTGCCGAGTTCAGGACTCGCCGTGCCAGAGAACCGACCCTTGAGTCATACTTAACGGACGTGAGCATAGGTATGTTTGGAAGTCAGATTCCCCTGGTATGGCAAGTAATCAGAAGAGAGAAGAGAACCATTAACGGAGTTGGTCAGGGGTATCGCAGGCTTCATTTTCCTTTTTCAGACACAGGGGGATGAGCTGCTACGCCCACTCTCTTGCCAGGGGCCATCCCCTGCTCGAAAGAACTTCATATTGGTACTGTTCGAAAGGAGCAGGAGTCTGTTGAAGAAGTGAGAAGCTGAAATAAGTAGACGGCATTGTTTAACCGCTGACGTATATTTCCGTTGACAGCATGTGGATGAAATGAGCGCGGCCCGTCTCTCAATGCTCATGATTAACGGTAGGGTAAGGTAAGACTCTCGAGGAAATCAATCTCATTACTCCCTTACCATTCAGACGTCGATGGTTCTGGGGCAGCATGTTCAATGACAATGTCTGGGTTTCGCCAAGGCTGAAAATCAAGACGGGATCTGTCTGATGCCGAGGCTTTGGGAAAGCCCTTTGCTGCCTTGCAAGTTGCGCAGGGATTGGGATGTAAGGCACTCAAGATTGTCATAGGCATAAGCATGGCATGTGAATCAAGGTCCCTAGCACTCAAAAGTTCAGAGTGGTGTGGGTTCGCTTACGATCCGGTTCACCGGAATCTACACCCTGAAAGCGCAAACCCACGCAGGGGTGTCACTGTCACTGCGGGTTGCCTGGTCCGATCGCAGTCATTCATGATGGGAGCAAGGAATCAAGGGCGAAATATCCCGTCTACCGGACTATCCAAGGACTCAGGTGGACCGGAACGACGGACAGCGACGGGAGCAGGGAAGTTTCTCAGAAATAACCTACATGGTACTGTTGAATTGGGGTGGTTAGGCCGACCAACCAGCCATTTGCCTGCCTTGTGCTTCAAGATACCTGAGAGTTGAATCAAGACACAACACAAGTATCGATTTTGATGGACAGTACAGAACGGTTCACAGAGGCGGAGATATCGACTCGGACCCTGTCACATATTTGTGCTCAGGATTCCGATCAAAGGAAGGATTGGACGCTTCGTCTCGGCGGATTGCTAGGCAGTATTTCCGTAGTGTTAGATCCGATTCCTTGAATTCTCTAGAATGTTGGTGTGGTAGGGCAGAAGAAGTAGTGACTGCCAGGCTTATTGTTTTTCGGCCGTTTCTAAGTCTCAGGTCAGGCTGCGATGGCTCAGTTCCGTGAGGTATCATTGTGTGCAACGTCAGAAGTAGCGGGGACTCGGACTTTGGAAAAGCCCGGCGGACTTCAAGGAAGCAGAACATACACGTTTGATGATATGGCTCTAGCTGGGGAGAGGAGTTCATCACTGCAAGGCAGTGATTCAAGTGAAGAGGACGAATGGCGTCGGGCCTCGAGTCCCAAACGGGAAGCAGACCCGCTGCGGTCCCAGCTTCCCCGCAAACTCTTCGGAAGCTGCACCCCACACCACTTCCTTTCCAACATTGGATCCTGAAATGTTCTGCAACCTCCACAAGCCTTCCTCTCTCCTTCCCGCGCTTTCGCTTTTCACATCAACTGAGCCTTGCAATCCGAGTCTTCGCCGTACCAGGCCTGCGACCTAGGCAATGCTTTGCATCGCCACTTACCAACTTGCCGCTCGCAACCCCGACATACAGCACGAGCTACGACGGGGAAAAAGCGGCAGTGGCACTGCTGTTTTGCGGCCCATTGCCCTGGGTTGGCTCGAACAGGGCATTGAGACAATGGAAACAATGATAGGAATGTATTCCTGCCCTGGCCGCTTCAGCCTTAGTTAGCTAGCCCACGATTCCCTTTCCCACCGGTGCCGGAATCCTCCGTCCGACTTCGCGATCTCGATGCGGGGTGCACAACAGTGATCATCTACCGATCAGGGCAACGGGCAACGGCCAGCGCTAATGCACAGCTGCTACCCCTCTGTGGTGTTGCCGAGGCTTGCAACTAGCGCCAGGCACAGAAGCTTTTCTTCACATGCTCGTGCTCTGTCGCTCTGCGTGCGATTGAGCAAGCCAGAGAGGCACTGATGCTGTTTGCGCCAGTTTTTGGCTCCGCGGCAGCTGCCGCGTGACACCCTCAATGCGACCATCATCTCGGCCTCTTACTGGTTATCGTTGGATGACGCGCTGAGCCCATCCAGCCACTGGCAAGTGGAGGAGCCTTCGCCATGCCATGGACACTCCAGGGTCGCAACCGCCCACTTCCCCATGGGGAAGAGAGACCTAGGTAGGTTGCCATCCACATCCACAGTTTCCCTCTCGCAAGGAGCCGCCGACAATGACACCCAAGACCCAGAGGACCCCCGCGAAGGGTCGCAAACGGTGCCGCAAGGGGGTGAGAGGGCTGCATCACTTGGCCACGCCTGCCCCGATCGTCCATGATTCCATGCCGCCGCGTGCTCAGCGACTCCACAGGGTTCGGTCCAAACCCTGTTCAGTATCCTACCGAAACCGAGCATGTGGGAATCTGATGGGGACATGGGCGATGCCAATGTCAACATCACACCGCTGACTTTCTCTGCGGGGAACAATCACGAGCGCCTGGACGACATGTGGATCGCCATGGGAAGCTGGAGGTTGTCATACTTAAGACGGGCATGGTGCCCCTTTCTCGACACGAACAGCAACGCTCAGCCAGGGAACCTCAACCCGCTATTCCTTCCTACGGTCCGCCTCGCGTCCGGGTCGTCCCGCTCCCGACACTCAGTCGAAAACCATCATGAAGGGCATAGCCGCCTTAGTGATCGCCGCTCTCGTTGGCCAGGTCGCCGCGGCGCCGCCGGAGCCGCCCACCCACTTGGTCGAGAAGAGGGCCGCCCCGACTGTGTCCAGCCCTGCTGCCTCCATCGTGGGAACCAGCCGCCTTGCCACCGAGGCCTTCAACGGCATCCCCTTTGCCCAGCCGCCCGTTGGGCCTCTCAGACTGAAGCCCCCCGTCAGACTCAATTCGTCTTTGGGCAACTTCGATGCCTCGGGCATTGCTCCGGCATGTCCACAGTTCGCGGCCGACTCAGACTCAAACGAGTTTTTGGCACAGGTCATGGACACGGTCATGAATCTGCCCTTCTTCCAGCAGGCCCTCAAGATCAGCGAGGATTGTCTCACGCTCAACGTCATTCGACCAATCGGCACCAAGGCCGGCGACAAGTTGCCCGTGTTGTTCTGGATCTACGGAGGTGGTTTTGAGGTGAGTATTTCTGCACCCCTTGCTTGGTCGCCATGACCCGCTGACCGGAGAGGGCACAGCTTGGCTGGAGCTCCATGTATGATGCCGGCCCGCTTCTCGTAAATGCCATCAACATGGGCAAGCCATACGTGTTTGTTGCAGTCAACTACCGTGTTGCGGGTTTCGGCTTCATGCCGGGTAAGGAGATTCTCGCTGACGGCGCCGCCAATCTCGGCCTCCTCGACCAGCGCATGGGTCTCGAGTGGGTTGCCGATAACATCGAAGCGTTTGGCGGCGATCCCGACAAGGTCACCATCTGGGGTGAGTCGGCCGGCGCAATCTCGGTCCTCGATCAGATGGCTCTCTACGACGGCGACAACACGTACAAGGGCAAGCCCTTGTTCCGAGGCGCCATTATGAACTCGGGCAGCATCGCCCCTGCGGAACCCGTCGACTGTCAAAAGGGTCAGGTTGTCTACGACCAGGTCGTTGCCAAGGCCGGCTGCGCTGGGGCCGCCGACACACTGGCCTGCCTTCGCGCGGCGCCTTACGACAAGTTCCTCGCTGCCGCCAATTCGGTCCCGGCCATCCTGTCGTACAACTCAGTCGCCCTGTCGTACCTGCCCCGGCCAGATGGCAAGGTGCTCACCAAGAGTCCCGACGTCCTGATCAAGGAGGGCAAGTATGCGGCCGTGCCCATGATCATTGGTGACCAAGAGGACGAGGGCACCCTGTTTGCGCTTTTCCAGTCCAACATCACCACCAGCGCCAAGCTCGTCAGCTATCTCGGCGATCTCTTCTTCCACCGCGCCACCAAGGCCCAGATCGAGGGCCTCGTCGAGACCTACTCGACCTGGGTCTGGGACGGCTCTCCCTTCGGCAGCGGTCTCCTCAACGAGATCTACCCAGGCTTCAAGCGGCTCGCCGCGCTGCTAGGCGACATGGTCTTTACCCTCACGCGCCGCGTCTTCCTCGAGATGGCGACCACGGTCAACCCCAACGTGCCCGCGTGGTCGTACCTCGCCAGCTACAACCGCGGCACCCCGATCCTCGGCACCTTCCACGGCAGCGACATCGTCCAGGTGTTTTATGGTATTTTGCCCAATTATGCTGCTAAGAGCATCCAGGGCTACTATGCCAACTTTGTCTACAACCTCGATCCCAACAACGCGGCGGGCGGCACCAGCGCCAGGAGCAAGATCGCTGAGACCTGGCCCCGCTGGACCGGCAAGGAGCGCAAGCTTATCAATTTCTTTGCCAACAGGAATGGCTATCTTGATGATGACTTTCGTTCGGATACGGCAAAGTATATTGCTGCGCATGCGGATGTTTTTCTTGTTTAGTTGGACTTTCTGTACATAAAGACTCGAGTTTATGCACTGGTGGAGGCATGAGCTGGACGGTTGTGGACAGGAGCGCATCGCTGGATCTGCCGTTGTTCGGCGTACGCAGCGTATGATGATGATGCTGATGATACTATGATTAATTAGCGAAATGCTTAAGGTGTTTCCTTGGCGACCCCTGCTGTGAGGATGTGCTATTGCTGTTGCTTTTTATGAGTTCCATCATGCATGAGAACCGAAAGTGAGAGGGCTTATAATGGTTTATATAGAGCTTCGCCGGGCTAGCAATCTGTCTTCTGCACCTCGTCGTGCTACACCTTTTCCTGCGGCCGCACCTTGCCCTGGATGATTCCCCCAAGAACACGTCTATAGCTGCAACGTCAATTCTTCTCGTTCTGTTTTTAGGGGCAAACATCATCGATATACTCCATGGGAGGTAGGGTTCTGCACCAACAACCCCTTAATGTCCAATTCAAAACCACCGAAACTCCTGGCGAGTGTTGGTACAGTACCAATCCTAAACTCCGAAATTTTAAACTCCGACAATGCAGGAGCTCGTATAACACCAGCGCAACTTCTTGCGTGAAGTTGCGTCATGAGCAAAATCCTTCAGGAACGGAAACCTGGAATGAAGCAGCCGACTGATGTAAGTATATTGTTATAAAGAGCCCAGAGTTCACCGTGAGGCGTACATCAGGGTACTCGCTGCTTGACTTCGGCGCCCACCAACATTCCTCGCAGAGCCTGCTTCTGCCGTCCCTTTTTCAGTGGGTTTCTGAGTCTGCTCAATATTTGATAATCATTCCCTATCATCGTGATTTAGGATTCGCTCAACATCATGGCGACCAAATACAACGCCCAAACCACCGGTTCCGAGCTCGTGCAAGAACTCGCCGACCACATCAGAGGCAAAGTCATCCTGACGACCGGCGTTTCGCCCGGCGGCCTCGGTGCTCACTTTGTTGAGGCCGTCGCGGTCGCAAAACCGGCCCTTCTAATCCTCACCGGCCGCAACCCTGCCAAAGTCCAGCAGACGGCGAATGTCCTCGCCGAGTCCCACCCAAGCGTCAAGACTCGCATCCTCGCGCTCGACCTGGGCTCGCTGGCAGCTGTCCGGAAGGCGGCCGCAGAGGTGAACTCCTGGGACGACGTACCTGCCATCGATGTTCTTATCAACAACGCGGGCATCATGGCGGTCGATTACGCTGTCTCTCCCGACGGCTTCGAAAGCCACTTTGCGACCAACCACCTCGGCCATTTCCTGTTTACCAACCTGATTATGGGGAAGATTTTGGCAGCTGGCAAGCCGAGGGTGGTGAATGTGAGCAGTGATGGGCATCGGTTGAGCCCAGTGAGGTTTGATGATCTGGACTTCCACGTGAGTTCCCTTCTCATTGAGGAAACCGAGAGAGGCTACAGTTATTGACGGCATCACCCCCTAGAGAGGCGAATATTACAACAAGTGGCGTGCATATGGACAGTCGAAGACGGCAAACATGCTGATGGCTCTCTCCCTGGCTGAGAAGCTCAAGTCCAAGGGCTTGCGAGCATACAGCCTGCATCCTGGCGTCATCGGCACAAATCTGGGAGGCCATCTGGATTGGGACGTTGATATAGCCTCCTTGCGTACGTTGATCTCTTTGGGGACTTTGCGGAGAAATGCCCAAGTTATGTATAGTTTACTAATAACACCCACAGACGAGTCAGATAGAGTGCTGGGAAACAAGGAGGGCTGGAGGGAGTTCCAATTCAAGAGCCCCGACCGCGGCATCGCCACTCACGTATTCGCCGCTTTTCACCCTAGCCTAGAAGGTGAATGGGCACCGGTATTCACTCGGTTTTTACAGGCACATGACGCTAACGAATACCCGCCTACAGACCACAACGGTGCCTACCTTCAGGACGCCCATGTTGCCGATCCATGGACCGAGACAGTGAAGCCATGGGGGACAAGCCCGATCGAGGCTGAGAGACTGTGGAGACTGAGCGAGAAGTTGGTTGGAGAACAGTTTCTCTACTAAGACCATGACTCGCTCCTTTTTGAACTGTTGAGGTAATATACGGGAGAGCACAATGGAATTTTCATGTTACAACACCATGGTGGTCGGTCGGGATCCCTGTCTTACGAATTGGGCGGTTACCAAGTGTTTGACTAGCCGGACAGCACGAAACATCGAGCAGGTATACTCATGGTGCCAGAAAACCCTCCCCGCTTCCCCACCAGACAGCGACAGCTCTAGTGTTCACGGCAAACGGAGATACAGGCCCTTCAGCTTCTCAAAGTCGAGCGTTCCCAACCCCGTCACGGCATCCCACGCCTGCTTGGCCGGGAACGCCTCGCTGACTCCACACCCGTGATTCTTGCCATGGTGCACATCCCGCAGTATGCCTCTGTTCCGGGCGGCGTACAGCACAGGGTTGAGGAATCCGACAGTGCTCTTGCCGGCGTGCAGCCTCGCATTGTTGATCTTGGCGATCATGGCGGCGACGACGGGCGTCGATGCTGACGTGCCCGACACGGCGCGGTACCCGCCGTGCAGGCTGACAAGGAAGCTCTTGGCCATGCCCGAGATGTCCGGGTACCCTCTGCCCGCGGCGTTGAAGTAGCCCTGCCTCGCCAGCTCGGCCGCGCCGGGCGCAGCAGCGAGGTACTCCCGCGTAAGGTTGCCCTGGTACCAGGGCGCCGGGAAGATACGGCTGAAGCCGCCGCCCGAGGACACGGTACTGTTGTTGTCGAGCGCCGTCTCGCCCGGGAACGACGACGACACACTACTACCACTAGCCGCGTCGTCCACCGGCAGGAACTGCGTGCCGCCGACCGATGTGACCCAGGGGCACGAAGCCGGGAAAACCGAGGCGAAATGGCCCTCGCTGGCGGTGCTGTTACCGGGGTCGTCCCGGTCGATGCAGAACGTCAGCTGGTCGGCCGGCCCGCGGTCGGCCGAGCCCGTCAGCACCGTCACGCCCTGTAGCCCGAGCTTGAGGAACTCGAGGCACTGGCGGCGGGCGTACGCGTCCGAGTACCAGGCCTCGTTCCACGCGTACATGATGGCGATGACGCGCGGCGGCGTGTGCGTGCCGCAGTCGGTCGCGTTGTAACCCCCCGGCAGCGGGTTTGGGTACACGGGATCGAACTGCGGGTCTAGGCCTGTACGGCAGTAGTGCTTGTTGAAGGCGGCTAGCATAATGTTGAGGTTGCCCTGCACGACGAGGTCGCCCACCTGGATGTTGGTGACGGGCACCGGCTTGGCCATGGCCATGGTGTACTGATAGTCGAGATTGGCCTCGAGGTTGAAGACGGGCCACTTGTACTCGGTCTGGCGCGTGCCGCCCGAGACCGACATGAACATGGGCCGCTGGCCGACCAGGTCCGGGGCGAAGTCGGTGAAGAACATGTCGAGGTCTTCGGGCACCCACGCGCCGTACGAGGCCGTGTACACGCCGAGCGAATTGTTGGGGTGGGCTGTCTGGCCGGCGCCGTCGTCCATGTTGTACAGCTGGCGGAGGCATTGCGGCGCCATGTATTGCAAGCAGTCGATGTTGCGGGTTTGACGAGCGCCTATTCCGCCCGCTAGCGGCAGCGGCGGTACGGCAACAGATTGCGGAGCTGACGAAACCGGGTCCGGCTCCGGAGCGGGCAGGACGTAGTCGATGTACTTGGCCACGCGTGCGGGCAGCGAGTACTGCTCGGACGCCTTTTGAGTGGTGGCACCGTTACGCGAGTGGTAGAGGTGGAACTCGGCCCCCAGCAACTGCTCTGCTTGCCCGACGCTGGCGTTAAATGACAAGAAGGTGCCGTCTCTGGATAGACGTAGGGCCGACCGCGGCACCCCGGAGCTGCTGAGCCATCTTCCCACTTGGCGAATGCTTTCTTTAGGCGGCGCAAAGAACTGAGCGATTTGGTCGAATTTCCAGTGCTGTCCAAAGCTTGGCGAGTCCGGGTCCGAGATGTCCTCAAGGGCTTGGGCCGCTTTGTTGGAGATATCTTGATCGACATAAAGGGCCAGGTCGATTTGGATTACCTGGTCGCTAGCAAGTCTTGCACTCCTCTTCCAGTGTGAAGCCGCTGGGGAGATGGCCGGTCTTAGCTCTGTCCGTCTCTCAACCAGTGCAAAGACCAGGGAGAGGTGATAAAGAATGGCCACCAGTGTGGCTCGCATGTTGCGTCTGCCGATGTTGGTTTTTGGGATCTGATGTGTCTGTCAAAATCTCCAACCTTTCCGCTGGGCTGTGTCCGGTCCTCGATCATTATACTCGTCCCAACCAGTCGGGGACAGCCAGTCACTTCGCCGGATCAATCTTACGTGCGGTAAGACTCACTACTTTTTACACACTAGCGTATTCCTATAACGGCAGTCGCTAAGCTCCAGTCACCTCTTGTCAAACTCAATCTGTAGGGCGGCTGTTAGGATTCAACCAGGTTCTTCAATGGTCCCCCCTTACCCCTTGCCAGGAGCCAAGTCAACAAACTCGGTTACACAGCCGGGTTTTGGATGCTTGGCGCTGTGTGATAAAGTCGAAGGCACATTGGCAAGAGGGGTAACAAGGGCTGAGCTCTGGAAGCGAGCTGCTCCCATCAAAGACCACCTGACGGACAACACCAACGGCAGCAACGTCTCGTTTCCGTTGGTCTGCTCGTATAACGAGGTGCAAAACAAAGTCTAGCGACCTTTCGTTTTCCTACTTTTTGATGACAGGAGAGCAGGTAGGCAGAATATTATGTTCCATCTTACTGCATGATGACAGCATGAACAGAAATGCAGCAACGTTTGTTTTTGCAGTTTAGTGCTCACTGGTACTGTTACACTGAACACTGATTTTTTAGGTTCAGTGTGTATTGGTGCCGGACAGCCGTTCAGACGCCGGATTACTGGAGGCTCGAGGTATCATCTAGAGGCGCCGTAACTCTGTGGGAGGTTGGGGGAGGGGGGGGGTATTAGTGATATTATTGCCTTGGCTGTAAGATTATTGCCTTGATCACGGTCAGCGTTTCATTGAGAAATGAAAGTGCAGAGCCGGCCGGCTGAGTCTAGTTGATGGACTACGATGTTGTTTAGGAGTTGCTCATCGAGCGAGAGTGTGCCTGGGCTCCCTAATGGTCTTGGGACGCCTTCATCCCGACGATGAACTCTATAAAGAGGGTTCAGTTTCCCAGACTCTTGTATCGAAGCCATCCATTCACATCCACCGGACATCCCACCTTCCTCATCGACCATCAAGCACTCAGCCTCAGAACTCCAAGGTTTTAGCTCTCGGTACCTTGCTCATCACAATGCGCTTCACTGTCCTCCTCACTTCCGCCGTCGCCGGCCTGGCTATGGCCTCTCCCACCGCCCGCTCGGCCCAGTCCAACACCGCCGTTCAGGCTCAGGAGCGCGTACGTCCTCCTCTACCGCTTCCCGAGACACTGAGCTGTTTCAATTGCTAACAAAACTTCACCACAGGGTGTCCTGGTTGTAAGACTTGACCGATGCAAAAAGATTACACTTCTCCTGTAACCTCGCCACTAACCTCGGCTCCAGGAACTCTGCGTCGCCTTCTGCCTCGCCACGGCGTGCGTTGGCACCGGGCCGGCGGCCCCCGCCGTCTGCGCGGCCTGCCTTGTCGAGTGCCTCGGCACCGCTGACGATGGGGGCCCGGTTGTCATTGACCCTGTCGTCCTCGACAAGGAGCTGGTCGACAAGGTTGAGGGGTATACGTCTCACGTTGCCCAGGCCTAAGTTCTAGCTTTTTTACCAGTAGTGACACTGAAAGCTGGACTTGAAGGGTATCAAAGGGGTGAGATGGGGTGATTATCTTCACTTGGGTTGGCCTGGAACTGGTAACTTGTGGGCCAGGACTGGTCTTTGACCTGAGAATAGGAAAAAGTGTGGAATGGAGTGTCAATCATGAAATCCTGCCTCTGAACCTGAGAGCAGCAATACATTCATCTCACTGAGCTGACGTTTTTCGATGCTGGTGACCTGACCAGAGAAGTTCTCTCTAGGCGTTGGCACTTAGCTGACATTCGTAGTAAGCTTGGTCTTATACCTACAGTACGTGATTATGTACGTACAGTACTACCTTGAGTGATCCTAATGGTTGCGTGTGGCACAGCAATTGGCCCCTATTCGCCAGGGCTTCATTCGCCAACAAGCCTTTAGCTCAAGTCACGGTACTCCGTACATCATGCATAATCTCGCCAAGAAAGTGAGCTGATCCAGAATCTCACCACCCCTGACTTCTTCTCTTCCGTTCTGCTCTTAATCATTTCGCACAGGGGCCCTTTCCTTTTCCCTTATATTCTTCCAACACGAACTCGAAGCTGTCAGGCAGGAGAGGAAACCGACCGACCATATTATCTACGAATACGTCACAAAAACTATCCAGTCGGTCCAAACGAACACAGATCAGGGTGATAAGGTAAAGTACCTGTACTAGGCAAGGTGTCAAGCTCCCTCCCCGCCTCCCTCCTAGCTGTATTTTGCCGTCCGGTTATTAACCTCCCAAGCCTCCCCTTTCAACGATGTCATCTGATTGACCTGATACTCTCCACAGTTTAATGTTCTGAAGCATCTTCTATTTTTGAGATCATGAGTACCCCGACAACCAGTGACGCGCCTGCCAGCTGCGCCCAAACTGCCGGGCAAAAGCGACCTTCACGCGAGAAGCAGCTAGCTGCAATGACCTCGCGGGCAAAGGAACTGCAAAAGCAACATCCTTCGGCCGATCTCAAGCTCGAACAGAAATGGTGGGTGCCAAGCGTGGATTTCGGCATCTACATGCAGGTACATACAGGCTGCCCCTCTCTCTTCATTCTTGCCTTGCGAGCTAATTACTGTAAACATGCACGCTTGTACGCTAATAAATGTGGTTCAGGATGCTCTTCCAGAAGACTTACGCGCCAAGTTCAACGCCATCTTTGCAAAGCTCATGCAAAACAAGTTTGCCCCTGAGGCCGTAGCCGAGGCGCGACAGCAATCGAGGGAGCTGCTCCAGGCAGAGTATCCCGAGGCGCTGGAGAGGGTGGAGGAGACGGTCTTTAAGCATGAAACGCGTTTTGCAGCGGTGCATTGTCATCTGCAGGCGGTTGGCCCGGTTGCGTGTTCGGGCGGAGATGCTGAGAGGAAGGAGCTGTAATCACCTTAGCCTGTAGGTGCTCGTTTTTGTTTCTCGGCCGTCGAATCTTTTCGGCTTGACCGTGCTGGTAGTTGCAAGTGGCCTGTCCTTTAAGAGATTTAGCGATGACTATGCACGAATCACCGGTCACTGCTCGGAACAGCAAGTTTCTCTCACCGGCATTCTTAGCTGAGCCGATTTTTGGCGAGATGCATCTAATTAACCACAGCAGAACTTTACAATGCAGGCTTCACTGAGAACCCAAACCAAGTCGTAGCCGTCCAAGTCACCGTCAAGCAGAATGCCAGGTGCCAAGGGGTCTAGACTGGGGTTCACAAGGTGGGTGAAGAACCAACAGTGTTTGCCAATGTGGAAGGAGCTGCGTGCCAACATGAAATAACATTGACCTCGACGGCAACGTCGATGATTGAAGGTTTAGCATACCTAGTGCATCTTGAAAGATGACTCTGATCCCGGTCTTAGTGAGCCGCCAAGCCGCCAGACAGGGCCGTCGCTGCACAAGTCCTGCGCAGTACCTTCCCTGGTACTTCGGCAAGGTACTCTACAATACCATAGGTGATCCAGGGGCATGAGATCGGCTGTGAAGAAAATAGTATCCCGGTGTATGCTAAGATGGCTGGGGTGCCACATAGGGGCGGAGGGCCCAACGGAACAGTTCCGGCTCGACGCCGTGGCCGATCGGGGGCGGATGGCCCTGAAGGGCGTAAGCGAGGGACACGCTTTGCTTCCCGGGGTGTTGATTCCGGCCTGCTATTTTATGTAGGGACTTTTGCGCAACATGGCCGCCTTTTGATCTAACGTGGGATATAATACAGACTACAATCCAGTCTCGACATAGCCCGCAGGGCAAATCGGAACCGAGCCGCACCTCCGTTAGGTACCTTACTTTCGCCCCTTTGATCCACATTTCAGCTTGGTTGATGAAATGCCACGACAGGAAGCCCTGAGATTCCTGAAGGACCTTCATGATGACTCGAGCCAGAACGTGCGGATCAACAAAGGGAGGAACGTTCAACAAAGGGGAGGAACGTAATGCGAGTATAATTTGGTATAATTAGCTTAAGGTAGATAAGGTAACTACAGGTTGGGTATATAAATATATGACTGCGAACCAAGAAGCTGGATCGATGTTCGCATTAGAAGGTACCCGAGTGCACCGAATGCCGCTGTCAAATATACCACGCCCGCGACGGCCAGCCGCTCGGTGGCATTGTCCTTCGGGCAGTCAAGACCTGCCAGGGTGCCATTGGCGTCCCTGTATTCACAACGGCGGGCAGTCAGGGACGCCCATATGCTCGAGGCAGCGTCAGAGTTGATCTCGGCCTGGCAAGGATTCGCGGTCGGGGTCGGGGTCGAGGAGGCCAGGACAGCGCAAGTCGCGTCGCCGTAATTGTTAGGGTCAAGCGGCTGGTCGACAACCCATCTGGTCTCGTCGGTCACGTTGAGGGCTACGCCCGGTTGTGCGCATGTTGCGTCATCGTTTGCCGTGGCTGCGACGAGATCCACCGCCTGCCCTCCAGCCTCGATGGTGAACTCGAGGGATCGCTGCGACGGCTCGGTCTTGTTGACCTTGAAAGCGGGCTCGGAGCCGCTCAAGTCGCAGCTCAGCCAGTCTCCCCACCAAAACAGCTCCCACTGGCCCTCGGCGGCCTCCAAGTCTGCGAAGCCATATACAAAATAGGGCTCATGGATAGTCCAGTTGACCCAGGACAATTCATGGACGCGGCCTCCGAGCACGGTCCCTAGCGCGTCGGACGCGTTCCGTATCGACCAGACGATGCGGGGTCGGAGATACTCCGCGAGATAGGCGTTACGGAAAGCGAAAACAACAGGGAACCATGGATTAGGCGCATATGTCTCGTTCCGCGGAAACACTACGTCGATCTCCAGCACGCCAGCAGCGTCAGCGATAACCCCGCGGCAGACTAGTAACACTACCAAGGACGAAGCCACCCGGGAGAAGAGGCACATGTTTACGTGGCTTCGAGCGGCGGTTGAAGTCCGGTGGAAATTGCTCGAGAAAGATTAGGGGCGGTGTTGTCAGAAAGAGTACCGAGGTAGACGGAAAGCGGAGGAAAAGAGTGAACTTAGGGAGGGAAAAGGAAGGGAACGGGGGAATATGACTAAAGGGAATCTGGAGGTAAGTACGGAGGTATAGTCTAAATCGTGACTGGTCAACCGACGAGAGAGCTGCAATCGTGGTAAATTACAGCGATACAATCAGACTGGGAGACACAGAAAAAACCTCCCTTCTCCCCTGAATTCTCCGGCTTCCGAAATCGCTGGCCCTACCGCTTGGCGGGTAGCATTGCCCGAAGCCCTATACTCCAATCGAGACGCATTGCTTGAGTTCGGCTGACTGGACCAGGTTTGACTGGGACGAGCTTGGCGCAGCGTCGTTCCGCTTCTCAAGAGTCCGCGGAGTTGTGCCTAACATTGAGCACGGTAATACCAAGGGATATACCCGTTGGCATATGGTTGCATTGCAATGCGGAAACCCTGGGCAATGTTCACGAGGAGGAACGAACTATTGATGCAACTGGCAACGATATCACGGCCGTTTCACCGTCTCGACCGTCTTAGCTTGATTGGGCCCTTAGCTTGGGTGAGGCCTCGCGCTCGCGTTGGAAGTCTCAGACGCGCCGGTCAAGGACCTACATCGCAGCATAGGCAACTGGCACGGGCGAGTTACCGTCAGGACGACCAGGGCATGAAGCAAGGCATCATCGAGTGGATTGGTGAGCGAGTATAAGATTCGGCTTTGGAATCTCCGACCTTTATATCACCTTAAGGTTGCCTTCATCACCCTGCCGACTCTCCTCGTCCGTTATTCTTCTAATTCCAAGCCAAGTCTCTAGTAATGCAGCTCAAGAGCCCTCTTGCCATTGTGCTTGGCCTGGGAATGGTTGCTGTCCGGGTCCTATGGCGCCGCGGTGGTGATCTGCCTCTTTTACGAGACGGCCGGGAGCGGCGTGCTTACGAGACCATCGCTCGCGCCTAGGGGCTGACCGTCGACAGCTTTGAGCATTTAAACCCCGGCGTTACCTGCCCGGACCTTGAAGGTAATAAGCCGTACTGCGTAATGGGCACTGTCACTCCTAATCCGTCCAGCACCACCACTACCAGCTCTCGTACGGCATCTACCACATCCAGCACCGCCCAGTCTTCCTCGGTCACCTCCCGGTCTTCAACGTCCGCTAGATCATCAACAACTTCTATATCTTCAACTTCAACTCAGTCCTCAACTATCACTAGAACTTCCACGTCAACTCCTAGCAACACCGCGACCCCGAGCCCATGTATATCGGCGTTATGCGAAATGGTCGCTTGGTGAGCCGTGTTATATACCTACCTAGCTTAGTTAAATTTGAACTTAGGTGCCCAGGGTTTCAGTTCTGGTGGCCTTGACCACACAGCAATGAATATCGTCCCTGTCCCTGATAACTCGGCTTATGAGTTTCATCTAAGCCTTCAATGGTTTTGCTGGGGGGGTTTCGAATGGGATGAACACGCGCTGTACCTTATACACCGTAGCGACGCAGCTTATCCCAATAGCTAGTCGTATATGGGCCTGGAAATAGCAGCCGTTATATATCTACCTACAGTCGCTAGCGAAACCACCTTCCTCTTTTCACTCCAACGAAATCTGCGCGCTTGGACATTGATACATCTATCTGCTTAAACCGTACGTGCTCACACGCACCGGCGTACTCTGTCCGATTCTCAAATTCAATACTTCTGCTTCTGGTACGTGATCAGCATAAAGAGGCCGCAGCAAAAAAGCCCTAGCCAAAAACGGCTCCCATCCGCGTATAAGATCAGTTTTCTTATGACTTGACATTGGTGGATGGTCTCGAATTTGAATAGGTATATGAAGATCAAGACGCCGGGTTCTACATCGGGAAAGGTCTGAAGAGGGGCGTTGCACAGCGCTTCGTTAGTAAGATTCGGGGCCTAGGTTAAGCAGTACAACATCTAAGACGTAGGCGGTTGGTTGCAGTGATGAACTGGTTCTAAATTACTATGTCATAACGTTATATGTTCCATAGGTCTTCAATGCAAAGCCCAGAGTTGCGAAAATGCCCTGCTACACTCGACCTTTGCTCCTACGGTGTCGACATACGACTCTAAGAACACCCCGGAGTCTTGATACGGGAGATCTGCATGAAGCTGTCAGTTCCCCTTGATAAAAGTCTTTAGCTCTACAAAGAACTCTTCGATCGGGTTCAAGTCTGGCGAGTAAGGAGGGAGATAGAGCAGCTTTACCACAGCCGCAGCGCAAAGCTGCTCTGTTCTCTCTGAGCGATAGAACAAAGCATTAACTAATCATTCCGACAACCGACTTGGGCTCCGGCCATCTCCCGCAATAGGGTAGGAGCCGTTCAGTAAAGTCCTCAAACAAAACACTGTCGGTTGATCCCTGAAATACTTGGGCAAGAACAATGCCATCCTGCGCGTTTGGTGGAGAATCTGATACCTTGGACCGCGGTGAAATCTGGCAATTTTGTACTAATAATACCCCCAAGGGAGACCATCCAATGCACCTACATCCAGCCCGCCTATCATATCCAGACTCGCCAATGTATATCAGATGGTATGAGTGAAACTTGGAGAAGTTGTGGAGGTAAGCATCCGGCACCTCGAGCAAGTTCGCCCGACCCGGGCCTCCGAGGGGCATGAGGATCAAGTTGACCAAGCCCTTGAAAATGCTGTCAACGATGGCAGCAGTGAGTTTGTGTCTGCCGATGTTGCCAACCGGGCAAAGAGATCTACGACAAGTTTGAGCGGGTCAACTGGGGCGCTAACAGCAACACCGCCACCACCAACGCCAACGACCATCGCAGCGCTCGTCAAGCGGGCCCAGCTCCGGTTCCCAACGCTGTTGTCACTCGTGCGCCGGCTCCCGCCCAAGCAGCCAACCAAGCGATCCGAGATTCCAAGGGGCGCCGCCTCCCGCCAGCCAACAAACCAGACGCCGAGGTCTTTGGCCACAACGGCCTGAACCCGATGCGACTGGTGGCCACTCCAGATCATGGCGCTCTACCATGGGCGCAGGGATCCGCGTACAATGGCATATTCGGCAACCCGACCGACGGCGCCTACTCGATCGTCGTCTCGGGCAAAAACAACACATACCACGACCTCGACCGGGACGACGGCGATACCCTTGTCTACAGCGCCGACAACCCGATCGGTGTCAACGCTAATAACAATGTCGCGTTCGAGCAGAGTTCGGATACCACAGCGCTCAGGAGGTCGAGACTCACCCGGCGCCCGCTCAAGATGTTGCGGAGCGCGGCCGGTCGGAACGGGAACCGGAAGTGGGCGCCGTACGTGGGGATCATATATGATGAGCTATATCGGGTGGTGGAGGAGTTGCAGGAAAGTAACGGGCAGAGTGGCACGGTGGTCAAGTCTCAGCTGAGGAGGGAGCCTAACCAGATGCCGTTGGCAACCATCAGGGACACGGTGCCGACTCGGCAGCAGGTTCACGATGAGACGAGAATTCGGCAACTGTATTAAGGGGGACTGTGCGTTGGACACGACCGGAAGTCGATTGACGACCTGAAGGTCAAGACCAAGGAGATCATGGAACTGAGGAGGGACCAGTGGCAAAGGGCCGAGGCGCTCAGCGAGCAGTACAAACGCCGCCAAGGGGGGCGAGTTTGATAGCATGGAGCCCGAGCCGGTCGGTGGGTCTGATGGGTTGATATACCGTACTGAATTAGAGGGTGCTTAGGATGGTTGAGGCTCAGTTGTGCGTAGACAGGGGAAATGATTGCTACTTCGCGTTGATTTTCTGTTCTTTTTTCCTTGCGTTTCTTTCCGTCGAATCTCGCTCCAATTCGTTCTTAGGGGGTTGGGCATGTCAAAATTATAACACGGTTGAAATCACCGCCAGAGTTTCAGGGTCTCTAATAAACCCATCAACTTCAAGCAAGCAATATTGAAATTGCTTCTACTGTCCTCAGTGAACTGTAATTGTAATCCGAAGGAGCTATTCCCGAGGCCTCCATCACGATACGATCGGTGGATTGCGCCAACATTTTGAATAAATTTCAGACAACAAAACATGCTCAAAGCGCTTGTTGATGCAATGACATTTATTGTTTTGTATGCGATGCAACAGCAGTCATACCCTATTCTTCTAGTGGCTGCTGACGTGCTGCACAACCCAGCCCAAAGAACCTAGAGTATGGAAGTATGTAAGTAACGGGAAGGAACCTGAAGTCAAGCGACCTGAAGTGAACAAGCAGCCATGCTATAACTAACTAGTCATCGCTTCCCTCTCTGCCCATTTTCCAAGCAGCAGGTGGCCGTTTTGCATGCCCTGGGCTGTAAGCTGATGCCCTCGTTGATCGCATAAGGTACGTGATTTTTTCGTTCCATGACCTCAAGATTTTTGTTCTGGTAACTTAAGGATTTCTCGTCCATTTTCTTAGTCGTCCAAGATTTACTGACAGCCTATTCAGGTGGCAGTTGAGGTCAGCTATGCTTGATTGCTCGGTCTACTTTATTCGGAGGTCAGCTTTCTACACTTATTAGACCGTAACATTTGCATTACTGCCTGTCATGACTGGGACTGTTGCAGACCATGGGGAAGAGTATAACACCCACCACCTCTCCTTGGCTTTGCAAAGCCTTACTTGCTAAGGTTGATTACAGCCCTGAAAGCCTACCTTTCTCAACCATTCTTTCAACTATTTGCCCAGTCACCTTGGCTCGAGCTTGGGCTTCCTTGACGAAGGCGTCCCAGACTCGCGTGGCGTCCAAGACATGCTAAGCTCCAACCTTCCTGCACCGCAACACAATCGGCTGCAGGCTCGCCAGGCTACCGAGACAGTGGCGCAGCTCACCACCTTTCCTGTATTGATTGAGCTACTTTTGGTTTGATTTGTCCTGATTTAGATCAGGCTGGGAAAGGGTCCAATGGCTACTAAGCTGCCGTTACATTCGGACTGGAGATTACCCGCTCGACGACGATCCTCCTCGGTCAATCTCTGTGGGTGCATGTGGCTAAGTTACCAATGAGGCTCTGCAGCAAAGACGATAACATATGCAGTGGCTGCCTGCCCAATGTGACGATCAAATGAGAAAGTTAGGAACCCTCGTCAATAATTTGGTTTCGTCTGCCTTCACGGCGATTGATCCAACACAGCCTAGCATCTACACTCATCCACATGCGATATACATTGAATACTGCGGCCGTGATAGCCGGCCTTATTCGCGCCTGCATCTGCGATGAGGTCGCGGGCTATTCGGTACTTGCCAATGACTTGTCTGCCCCTCTGGCGGCAACAAGCGATACGTCTCCAGACTTGATCAGAAACATCTTCAATCGGCAGACGGAGTGGTGCACCGCAGGGTCTCCTTACGTAGTTTGCCCAACCCCGAGAACATGCTGCAACGCGAAGTATAATTGGTAGGTATATGAGCCCCTCAACGAGACTCGGGAATATCGCTAATCATGTATTTCATGTTGCGGTCGCGTCTAGTACACCGACCGGGTGCTGCCCCAAGATTGCCGAGACCTGCGGCGGGAAACTCTGTACCGAGCCAGGTTCCGTCTGCTGTGGGAGTGTTGCCTGCAAGCCAGGAGCAAGCTGCAAGCTGTCTCCTGGAGGGCAGAATGTCTGCTGCAGGAGTGCTACTGATGTTCCATGTGATGGCTACTGTACGAGCACCCCGCCTGTCAAACACAGCATTGCTCTCTGACCTCTCCGAATCACTAGGCTGCCCAGCAGGCTCCTCCTGCTACGGGGGTGGCCTATGCCAGAGGGGTTCCCCATCAGTCTCTCGATCTACGATGACCTCCCGATCTACATCAACATCTCGGTCGACGTCAACTTCACATTTTACATCGATCTCTCGGTCAATCACAATGTCACGGTCTACTAGTACCAGCAGCGCAGCAACCACAACTCGCTCTACGGCTACTTCCACCCATACGACAAAGACGACTGACAAATGCACTCCAAGTGTAGCTCCCAGGGCCGCCGGTGGATGGGACTATATCCAGGTTCAGGGCGAGGACAACTGCGTTCCGGTGCTTGACTTCTTCTGCGTCACCGATCTGTTCGATCAGATGTGTACCAGCATGTGCCAGGGGATCCGCGACCAACGGAATATCAACCCCCAGAATGTTCTCAGTGACACGGCAATTTTGCTGCACAGACGCGAGGGACGCAACGCGGCGGCCGCGTGCGGAAGTATGGGTTGCAACCGTAAGTTACAGTACAGACCAGGTGTATACACTACACCTTGGGAACATGACACTGCTTTTTCCCCTCCGAGCTGACAGTCTGATGAAGAACGCTTGACTTGGAGTAATCTCTACCAACAATACTTTAGCATGCAATGCGACGAGTTTCCGCCAGGTACGTTCCCCCAAAACGCGTTGCGCAGAGAGACTCCCTCGCACCAGACTAACCGGACTGCGCTCTAGCATCCTCCATGGAAGGCGGCGGGCCGACAGTGACATGCATCTCCTGGTACCAAAACAACCTCGGTGGCGTTTATCTCCGGTATTTCTACGACGATCTTGGGTTGAAACAGAATCAGCCATATGTAATCCGCATGGATACCTGCGATTTTCCCGCAACGCCAGTCAGCTACCCGCGAGGAAGCGAGCCTCGGCCCCATCCCAGGCGCCAACAAGCCAACGGCGGCGGACAAACCGTCAAAGCCGCCGAAAATGCTCTCTGGGTCCGAGATCCGCGTACCGAGTCCGAAGGGTATGTCCTCATGCCCCTCGAGTCGGGCAGCCCGGGAACGTATAGCGGTACCTTGTCCTTGTCGAGTCTGGAAGGCTTGCAGGATCTCTCCATCGTGGATGGTGCGGGCGGCCTGGTTTGGAACAGCACAGCTGCGGCGGCGTTCGTCGACGGCCAGAGCAACTTGCAGTACACGGTCCAGGACGATACCCAGGATCTGTTTGTGGCGGCAAAGGCGGCCACAAGCGTATCAGTCAGCGCGGCTTTCACGGCGACGAGTGTTCCGCAGGCTACTTCCTCCATGCCATCGGCAGCGACTCGCGGCATTGAAGTGTATGCTCCGGGTCTCCTAGCAGGCGTTGCGGTTGCCATCATGTTGGGCTAAGGGTGTTGAGGAGCAAATCATCTGTTGCTGGAGACAGAAAATGTCTGAAGAAATGTAAGGGTGCCCAGACCGGTCGTCAAGTCAGACGCTACCAAACACAACAGGGGTTGACCGTAAAGCAAAGTCGGGTTCTTGAACTCGCCGCGACGCCTATCTTGTTTTCTCTTTCAATAATCTGTCTTCATTTCCCTCGAGCGCCCGAACTCCCCTCGAGTCCTGACATGTCCCACGTCCGGTGAGGGCTCGGCCCGTGGCTCTCGTGCGACTCCTTGGTGCCGCCCGACTCGTGAAATGGTGGACAAGCTGTCAGAGAATCTCGAGTCTTAACGCGACAGAGTGCTCCATCTGGCGGAATGTGCCATCGTCGGACGACCGGAGATAAATCCCGGGGTCGGGGGGTAATTGCGGGCTGGTGTCGTGAGAAGCAAACAAAATCGGGCTAGCCACGAACAGCCGTGATAAATCCATCACCGGTCGGCCGGGAACTGGGACTTGGCCTGTTCACGCGACGCTAGCGCCGGCACCGATACCAAGAAAGGGCTCCTGCCAAGATATCGGATCAGATGAAGGACCAAATCCTGAAAGGCAGGTTTGTTGATACGAGAGAAAAACAGAAGTGGCGCAAGGGATCTGTTTTTCGAGTGTCAGCCATTACACAGTATATTGAAGTTCAGATTCGTCTTCACAGTCGTTGTTCTTGAGGTTGCCAGAATACCAGTGCCGAGTTGGGTGTCCACGAGTAATGAGCAGTTCGTCCTAACCCCGGATCGGATTTTTCCCCAAGGGATCGGCACGAGCTGCAAGGATGATTCTGGGGTGAGTGGTGCCTACCACCAATTTTAAGCGTGCCACTCATCAACGTTCTTTGGGCGCGAAAACAAGCCCTGAATTTGGACTCGACTTGGAGAAGGGTTCGCTGTGGGGTCAGCAGTAATCGGCCCGGGTTGCGGGGAAGGTTTGTGCGAGCCCAGGTTACATGGCGAGAGAGCCCCAATCAGGAAGGAGATGGTTGCCGAGTCCGCCAAACGCTCCTGCAGTGACGGCATCGTCATCCGGACTGCCACTTCGGCAGTGCCTGCCCTGCCAACCCACATTCACCCGGTGAGAGCGCAGAAGCGCGCCTATCAAGTTGCACGGCGCGGTTGCCTTCGGATGCCGGTTGCATCTGTCTCCTCCCGATCCTCCATCCCAAAACCTGGAGGCATCGCGGAACCGTCTCCGTGATTGGCGGGATTCATCGCGGGGTCCCCAGAGTGCCAAACAGCCAAAGTAGGAACGTACCGTGAACAACGGGCAGTTCCATGGGGAAACACATGGAGAACAAGGCATGCCATGTAACATCCCCAGACCCACGGTGGCCCAGTCCCGGGCTCGACCCTGGACGTTTGTCGTGGTCTGGAAACAAATAAGTTGACTGGATCGTCGCCAGTCCGGCCATGAAGAGAGAGCCATGCTTTACAGAACTCGTCTCAGCTCGCAGGCCGACAGTGAAGACGGACACTCGATTGGCACTGGGTTTTGGGTTTTCAGGAGCAGTGAACTACTGTGAACAGCGCCCTTGTTCGCCAGTCACACCGCTGTCAACACCAACCTTTCAGACGGAATTCCAGAGTGATTGAATCTTTTCTGCCAGATTTGCCGGCTTTGGGTAGCTGCCGGACTTGCAATCTCATATTCTCCTAGACTACGATTTGATCTCTCTTGCTCTCGGTTCTCGAGAATTCATCGATCCACAACCCAACTTATCCCCGATATTGCCATCAACCTCATCAAGATAGATATCTTTACAGTAACATCGCAGAAACAACTTCGCAAATCGAGCAAGATGAAGTTGCCTACGATTTACAATGTCCAACTCGTGGCCATCATAGCCACCCTTGGCGGCATGCTGTGAGTTTCTTCCCGCTGTCGGCGCCGTGACAGACTGACCGATTCAAAACACTAACCCGACCGATTTTTCCAGGTTCGGCTTTGACATTTCGTCCATGTCGGCCATCGTGGTGACCAAACAATACATCGACTTCTTCCACAACCCAGCTGGTGCCCTCCAAGGCGCCATCGGCTCTGCTCTCGCCGCGGGCTCGGTTGTCGGCTCTGCCGTCGCCGGCCCGCTCTCCGACAAGATTGGCCGTCGCGACTCCATCATGTTTGCCTGCATCTTCTGGCTCATCGGAACCGCCGTCCAAGTGTCCTGCCAGAACGCCGGCCAGCTCATTGCCGGTCGCGTCCTCAACGGCTTCACCGTCGGCATCACGTCGTCTCAAGTTCCGGTTTACCTCGCCGAGATCGCGAAGGCCGAGAAGCGCGGCTCCCTCGTCATTATCCAGCAACTGGCCATCGAGTTCGGTATCCTGATCATGTACTTCATCGGCTACGGCTGCGCCTCAATCGAGGGCACCGCTTCGTTCCGCACCGCCTGGGGCACCCAGTTCATCCCCTGCTTCTTCCTTATTATCGGCCTGCCCTTCCTGCCGCGGTCGCCCCGCTGGCTCGCCAAGGTCGGTCGCGACAAGGAGGCCATCGAGACGCTGGCCAACATCCAGGCTGGCGGCAACACTGAGGATCCGCGCGTCATTGCCGAGTGGGAGGAGATTCAGACCGTTATGAACGCTGAGAACGCCGCCGGCAGGGGCTGGCGCAAGTTCTTCCGGAACGGCATGTGGAAGCGCACCCTGGCCGGCATGTCGGTCCAGGCGTGGCAGGTAAGTCATCCGCTGTATCCACGGAGGACCAGTCTGGGCGTTCACTAACCTGGCTTAGCAACTCGCCGGCGCTAACGTCATCGTCTACTACCTCACTTACATTGCCAGCATGGCCGGTCTGACTGGTGACGTCGCCATGGTTACCTCGGGCATCCAGTATGCCGTGTTCATCATCTTCACCGGCGTCATGTGGTATGTCTTTCCTCTCCCACCCCCACAATCCACGATCGAAAACCATACTGACAGCAAGCCAGGCTCTTCATCGACAAGACGGGCCGCCGCACTCTCCTCGTCTGGGGCGCCATAGGCATGGGCTTCTGCCACTTCGTCGTCGGCGGCGTCATGGGTGCGCACAGCCGGTACGTGCCCGAGGGCGTTGGCGGCAACGCCAACGTGGTCATTGCCGTCGACCAGGGCGCGCCCGCCAACACGGTCATCACCTTCTCGTACCTGCTCATTGTCGTCTACGCCCTCACGCTCGCCCCCGTCTGCTGGATCTACGCGGCCGAGGTCTGGTCGCTCGGCACGCGCGCCACGGGCATGTCGCTCGCCGCGCTGAGCAATTGGGTCTTCAACTTTGCGCTCGGCATGTTCACCCCGCCGGCCTTCATCAACATCACCTGGAAGATCTTCATCGTCTTTGGCGTGCTGTGCCTGGCCGCCGCCGCTTGGTTCTTCGTCCTCTGCCCCGAGACGTGCGGCAAGACGCTCGAGGAGATTGAGCTGCTCTTTGCCAAGGACGCTCCCTACGCCTGGACCACCAGGAAGGGTGAGTCGCGCCTGGCGGCCGAGATCGAGGCAGTTGCGGCCCGCCAGAAGAAGGGCGAGCACGAGGGTGTTGGTCCCGTCTCGGAGGTCGAGAAGGTTTAGAGGGGAAGGGTCATTCCACCTTTCCCGGCTACGTATGAGCGCATTGAAGCGCAATGGGCGTTTGTTTGTTGGGGAATGAATTCAGGAGTTTATGCAGCGGCCTGTGATAGCGTAGCCAGCCAGAATTTAGCGTGCGTCTCACCACTGATGACGTCAAGGTAATGAATGTGAACACAGTCGTCTTCGATGTTTGCCCAAAGAATGCTAGATGTCTTCATGTGGTATGCTGATTATAAGGGTTAAAGATGGTGCTATCCGACCTGCCCCAATATCGACCGCCTCTCTCCCTGACGCCCTCGCTCACTAGACCCCATCAATTGTCGGTCTGGATAGCTTTCTCAAGGGGCTGCGGGCCCTTTAAGAGCCACACAGACTTCTCGATTCTATGCCGGCCATTTTACTCACTTGCAGCTTCAGTCTCTTTGACACATTCAAATTTCACCAAAAGGTCAACCAAACCCGCCATGCCGTGCGCTATCTGCCCGTGTCAACTGTCCGGGCAAAGCATAGGGTATTTTCTCAGACGTAATGAAAGAAGTGAACAGCAGTCAACATTCGCTCATGACTACTCAACCCCCTCAATTCGACAACAAGCACACCGCCACCCACATTTCATGAATATCTATCTCCCCCCATGCGCACTCCCACTCCTAGTCTCAACTCCAACTCCAGATCAGAATTCCATACACCCGCTTTCTGTCTCACCAACCTCCATCTACTCAGGCTTCTGGCCATAAACAACAATGCTGGAACAGAAAAAAATCCATGGCAGTCAGAAAACAAGCTTGAACAGGCACCCTTATACTCGTGTTCGTGGGCAAAGACTCACATCGGCCAGTAGGCGTGAACGTCCTTGTTCTTAACATCCTTGCGGACCTGGGCAAGCAGCGTCTCAACCTCGATAACAGACCAGCCCAGGCCCTTGGTAAAGGACATGATACTGAGAGCTTGGAGGGCCTGCATGATATTCGCCTGAGTCCACGCGCCTGTTGTGTTTTTTTTCAATATCACTCATTAGCTGCTGATCTCGCCCTCCTCTGCATAATCACGTTGTACTGTGTTTGCGGTGCGACATGCGGTGCAGCTTACCGATTTCCTTGTGCTTGGGGTCCTTAGGCCAGGGGTTGGTAGGCCACTTGTAGTCGACTTGCACGACGTTCTGGAACCCGGCGTCGATCATCTGCTGTTTGTAGTGCTGCGGGGAGCTCAGGGAGGCGCCCAGGTTCTCGGAGGCCTCGAGGAGTAGTTTGCTCCACTTCAGCAGCGGGGTCTCGTCCGTCATGCTGCCATCGTCGCAGGCGATGGGGCTCACGATGTCGCAAATCTCGATCCAGCCACCCGGTTGCAGGTGCCTGCGGTTAAGTGTGGTGAGCAGACAGCTAAGCAACGTTTGAAGGAGGGGGGTCAAGTAGGTTAGGACGCCGTACTTGTAGGCTTGGTCAAAAAACTTGGGCCAATTCTTGAGGGAGCCTGTCATGAAGCGGGTGTAAATGAAGTCAAATGGGTTGACATAGTTCCATTCCAGCTCAAGGTCGTCGACAAAGAACTCTACTTTCGGGGGCACGCTGAGAGTAATATAAGCATCATATACCTCTCGCCTGTACGGACGTCGGAGCGTTATTCATGGCTCGGACACTCACAAGCTCGGCTGGATGGGGCTGATGTCGATACCAACGACCTAGGACGAATCAATATTCCATCTCAGGAGTTAGGCGCGAGATGTGGGGTAAGAACGGCAAGCATACGGAAGTCTCGGGATTCTCGTCGGCTGGCAATCGTCAGAGCAATGTCTCCCAATCGGCGCTAGGTGCGTACATACCGAAATCAATAGACCAAATACCAGTGCCGCACCCGGCGTCAAGGACCCGTTTGAGCGGCTTGTCCTTGCCCGCCGGAGAGATGTACAACTGGCCGTCCTGCGTCAATATCACAAGGTTGTGTTGGAGATCTAGGCGCTCGGTCTCGGACTGGACATGGCAGTCAGCTACATTGCCCTGCGAAATGGCAGCATCACACTTATTAGTCACCTCGTCGTTGGGCAGAAAGTAGGCTTATAGCACAGCGGTCAGTCATGAACCTGAAGTCGGTTGACAGGCCAAGAATCTCGTACGAATGAACTCGTCGCTGCCGGTCCCCGTCCGGTCCCGGTAGGCATGGAAGGTTCGGCCGCTCTGTTCGCGGTACCGGAAAATGCTGGAGACAACCGACGCGGTCTCGCTCACGTCGCCGGAGCTCTGCGAAACTGTCAGCGACCTTCTCAGACCCAGGGGGGTTCAGTTTGGGGTCCCGTACCACGCCGAGGGCAGAGTCGTCGTCCTCGCCATCATGGGCATCCTAGGGTCCAGCGGGTCAGCATCCGGGCCTTGTTTGCATAAACTGGAGCGAGCGTTGCATCATGTCTCACATCGACCTCCAGGATCCCAGTGTTTTGCGGGACAGCGGGAGAAGGATTCGCGGCGGCTGGCGGACTAGCAGCGGCGGGCGGAGTGGCGGGAGCAGCCGGGGTAGCCGCCGCAGGGGCCGGGCCGGCGAGGCCGGGGGCGCTGGATGAAGTCGTCGCTGACGACTCGGCCATGGCAATGAGATGTCTCGATTCCCTTTCTCCCTGGCCTTCGAATAGAGTAGATCCGGATCGACCGCTGGAGAACAGCAATGCTTCTGGGAAACAGAGGAGCGGAACACAACAAGGAATGCGCACTGGGGGGCGGTCGCAACGATTTTGAAGGTGGCCTCACCAGAACGTGGAGCGGTGGTGCGGGGTCCGGAGCGTGATTGCAGAGTCGACGGCTGCAGCATCCAGCGCCATGTTGCAGGGGACCGGGCCGCCGGGTTGGCCTCCGCGGCATGTGGTTCGCCAATGGTGGTTCAGGGTCGGCATAAAGCGGGGCAGACCCCGGCCAGCCGCGGGAGCGGCTTGGGGGCGCACATGGGGAAATCGTCTTGTGGACATCGGAATGTCATGTTTTCTCAACGTTTTTATCTTGGCCCGCATCGAGGCTCCGGCTTGGGGTCGAGGCGACGCGGACGGCGAGATGGAGTCATGTAGAACCGCTGAAAGCGAAAAACGTGGAAATGGAGGAGGAATTGGTAAAAAAGTGGGCCAAGCGTCGAAGTGGCCGCGAAGCTGCAACGTTGGCAACGTGGATCGGATTGGCGAATCAACGGCCCGCTGCGTATCATGGTGCCAGTGCGCCGTTGCAGCGCCAATGTCTGGGATCTAACCGAGGTGGGAAGGGTGAGGGCGGGATGGAGGCAGCATGGTGGGATGCAGGGCAACAGCGGTCTCGCCAGATTGGGAAGGGACTTCTATTTTTTTGCTTTCGGGTTGTACAAAGATTATCCGCATCGCTCCTACTCCTTCCACCGCAGCAGGGTAAACGAATGCTTTGCAAACGTAAACTTGCCCTTCCCATCCCACTTGCTCTCGACAATGCCCACCTTCTGCTCGCCGGCCGTGTTCGTGACGTGGATGTTCTCGCCCGTCACGACAAAAACCTCGACCTGATCCGCCTTCAACCCCTCCAAGGCCACCTCGTAATCCCGCTCCTCGCTCAGGTTCGCCACAGCCAGGTTGACCAAGCCATCCTCACCCAGGGCGGCGCTGCAGTCCAGATACGGCGTCTCGATGGCCGCCCGGATCCACGCCGGGTTCGTCCTCCCGGTATACTCGGGCGCGCGCACGTTGAGCGCAATCGCGTGCCCGCGCATGTACTTGCTGAAGAGCAGCAGCGGCCACCAGATGGTCTGCTTGACCAGCCCCTCGGGGCTCGTCATGAGGGGCGAGATGACGTTGACCGACTGGGCAATGTTGGCCATGCCCATGTCCTTGGCCTGGCGGACGAAGGCGTTGAGCCAGACGGCCACAGCCAGCGCGTCCGACAGCGTGTACTGCTCCTCGGCGCCCTCCTCGCCGGGCGCGCGCACGGGGTCCCACACGTTCCACTCGTCAAAGCAGATCTTTTGCTTGGGGATGGACGGCGGCACCTTGTTCTCGATACGGGCGAGGTCGATCAGCGCGCTGGCCATCTGGATGGCGCGCTCGCCGCTGCGCGGGGCCGTTGCGTTGGCCAGGTGCTCCTTGTCGGCCGTGTAGACGTGGATGCTGTGCATGTCGATAAGCGACTTGGTGTTGTTCTCGGTGCCCAGCCCGTGCACGTCCCACTTGACGCACTCCTTGAGCACGTAGTGGTCCCACGACGAGTAGCCCGTCTCGCCGCAGAGGATCAGCGTGATGCTGGGGTCCAGCAGCTTGAGCGCCTTGGCCCATTGGTACGCCTTCTTGGCGTAGTCTTCCTTGGTGAGCTGCTCGACCTGCCACGGACCCCAGCACTCGTTGCCGAGGGCCCAGTATTTGACCTGCAAGGGGCTGATTAGCTTTGGTGGTGCAGACACGGATGGGTTGGATTTTTCGTAAGGGCAGAATCTACCTTGTATGGCTTTTCCCGCCCGTTCTTTCGCCTCAGGTTGGCGTAGTATGTGTTACGGTCCGAGTTGCAGTATTCGAGCCATCCAAGAGCTGTCTGGGGTCAGTTTCTCCCTTAACTTTTTTTTTGAACTTGGCGGAATTCGAACTGACCCTCATCCAGAGTGCCCGTCCCAAAGTTCAGGCACAGGTATGGCTCGCACCCGACAAGCTCGCACCACTTCATGAACTCGTCGGTGCCAAACTGGTTGGTCTCCGTGCCGATCCACGCCAGCTCGGGCCTGTTCGCATGTCGCTGTCAGCATCCTTCTCAGAAGCCAAACAACCGAAAACCGGATCCGGGTCCTCACCTGCTTGGCCGGTTCTCCTTAGGGCCAACGCCGTCGAGCCAGTGATACGTCGCAACGAAATTCCCGCCCGGATACCGGACCACGGGCACGTTCAGCTCCTTGAAGGCCTCGATGACGTCTTTCCGGAAACCATTCTCGTCGGACAGGGGGTTGCCGGGGTCATAGATGCCGCCGTAGATGCATCGCCCCATGTGCCTGGTCTTGTGTCAGCGCGTCCCCCTCCAGAAAACGCATACGGTGGCCGTCTTACTCTGTAAAACCGCCATAGATGTTCTTGTCAATTTCGGCCACCTTGTGCGAGGGGTGGATGGTGATGGACGGGCTCTCGCCCTCGGGGATTCTTGTGAAGGTGGCCATGACGGAATAATTTAAGAATCGGGAATACAATTGCAACTGTTATGGGTGCGTCTGTCTTCCCGAGGACACCCCAATCCAAAGGTAATTTATTGAAGACACCAGGCAGAACTTCGGGAACTCCCTCCAACACCAAGTTGCCCGCATCGGAGCGGCTGTGGAGGTCCAGATCTGGAGGTTGCCGGAGCTAACTGTTGCCGCCAGCCGACGGTGTCTGATTCGTGCGCATATACCGAACACTGCCGGGGCTCCATGTGCACAAGCCCCTATTCCTCATCGGGCGCCATAGCCGGGCGGCGTCAGGGTGGAACTCGGGAATATCCACCAGTCGCCGTTGGAGACGACATTATTGACCCAAGTGCCGCGTGCCATGAGTCGGAGCATCTGGGCGCGGGGCTAGCGCTGGATCTGGCAGCGGACTGGGATGGCACCCTTCCAAAGAGCGGAGAGCAGCGGAGCGGCGTGGAGAAATTGGGGTAGTTCTGGGGTAGACAATCATGGTTTTTGCAACTTTTTTGCGGTTCGATAGGTGCGCTACACGGTTCTCGGGAGCCCCGTACGCGTCCTCGGCGTCCCCAGGGCTTCCTAACTTGAACTATCACGCCAGCTGACTCCTTCTGGAAGTCCACGCGAGCGAGGATCCAACTGCTGCCCCGGCATCCCGGATCCCGGGCTCACATGCAATGGCAGGTCTGGGCTGGTAAGCGAGCTGCTGATCACAAACGTCTATAAAGTGTTGGCGATCTGCTCGTGTGGGGATACCATCTCGACATATCTCGGACTTCACAGAAGTTCTTGTTGAACCCACTTTTCCGCCAAACAGACGACTGGATTCCAGCCTCCTCGTCAAGATGGCGCTCCCCCCGAAGTGGTACCAATTCCTCGTGGGCGTGTTTGCATCGCTCGGCTCGCTGCTGTTCGGGTACGATCTTGGTGTCATTGCCCAGGTCATCGCCGCCCAGTCCTTCAAGACCAAGTTCAATCCCACCGAGAATGAGACGTAAGGGATCCCATCCTCTGTCCCCTTGATCATGTCTGACTTGGCAACTAACATGCCGGACCCGTTCAGAGGAGCCGTTGTGTCAGTCTTTACCGGAGGGGCCTTCTTCGGCGCTGCCTTCGCCGGTCCCATGGGTGACAAGCTCGGCCGTCGATGGACCATCCTGCTCGGCTCGATCGTCTTCTGCCTCGGCGGTGCGCTGCAGACGGGAGCTCAGGCGCTGTCATACCTCTACTCGGGCCGTTTGTTCGCGGGCGTCGGTGTTGGCATTCTCTGCATGATCATCCCTCTGTACCAGGCCGAGCTGGCCCATCCGAGCATCCGCGGCCGTGTCACGGCTCTGCAGCAGTTCATGTTGGGCATCGGTGCCCTGGCGGCCGCCTGGATTTCCTACGGTAAGCAAGCACCCGCCTTTTCTTCTTCCAAGTCCTTGTTCAAAGTGAAGCCTCGATCCCTGACTTTGCACTGCTTTTCCAGGCTGCTACGTCGGCTTCGCCCCCACCGACGACGGACAATGGCGGACCTCGCTCGGCATCCAGTGCATCCCCGCCGTCTTCCTTGGCGCCCTCATCCTCCTCTTCCCCGAGTCTCCGCGCTGGCTCATCGACCACGGCAAGCCCGAAGAAGGTCTCAAAATGCTCGCCAAGCTGCACGCGCACGGCGACACCAACGACGCGTGGGTGCAGGCCGAGTACGCGGCGATCCAGGACGCCATCGCCTTCGAGCACGAGCACGAGGCCAAGTCGTACGTCGAGCTCTTCAAGGACAAGTCGTGCTTCCGGCGCCTCTTCATCGCCTGCTCGCTGCAGGCCTCGGTGCAGATGACGGGCGTCTCGGCGATCCAGTACTACTCGGTTACCATCTACGGCCTGATGGGCATCCGGGGCGACGACACGCTCAAGTACCAGGCCATCTCGTCCATCATCGCGCTCGTCGCGCAGGCGCTCTGCATCCTCCTCATCGACCGCTTCGGCCGCCGCTGGCCGCTCATCCTGGGCAACCTGGGCAACTGCGTCACCTTCATCATCGCCACCATCATGCTGGCCGTGTACCCGCCCGGCGCCAGCAACAATCAGGCGGCCGCCTGGGGCTTCATCGTCGTGACGTGGGTCTACAACTTCAGCTTCAGCGCCACCTGCGGCCCGCTCTCGTGGATTATTCCGGCCGAAATCTTCGACACCAAGACGCGCTCCAAGGGCGTCTCCATCGCCACCATGGTCTCGTTCGCCTTCAACACCATGATCGGCCAGGTCACCGGCCCGGCCATGTCGGCGGTCGGGTACAAGTTTTATCTGCTCTTTGTCATTTGCAATTTCACGAATGCCATCTTCTTCTGGGCCATCCTGCCCGAGACAGCCCGCCGCCCGCTCGAGGAGATGAACCGCCTGTTCCGCGAGGCGCCGCTGTTTGTGCCGACCATGAAGAAGAGCGAGTGGGCGTCCAACGACCTGGAGCGCCGCGTCGAGGAGGTCAAGGCCAAGCAGGAGGGGTTCGCGCATACCGAGGTTGGTGCGGGGGCGGTGGGCGGGCATTAAGTCGCCCGGAGAGGGAGCAGAGGAGTAGTGGGTTGAGGGGACGAGATAATGCGGTTTCTGATATCAAGTAATGTAGTGCATGGAATAGAAACGACGAGACGTTGAGACGATATACAAACCCACTTCCCTTCCGCATCATTGCATCCTACCTTAAGGTACGTGTACGGTGTACCTGTAAGCTTCATCCACGGCCATTGAACCCCAAAATCATGTTCAGGCCCGAGTAGGTATCAAAGCACAACGGCAACAACCCCCACAACCCCCCCAAGCGCAATCACCAAGCCCATCATCCAACCGTCCCCTCCTCCAAGCGGCATGCCCGGCTTTCCGGCGCCCACATTCGGGCTCGGGCTAGCCCTGCCAGTCGGCCGAGTCACACCACTGCCGCCCCCTGTGTTTCCCACGAATCCACCATTAGCCGCCGCTAGCGCCGACGGACAGCTCCAGAGCGACGTAAAGTCTTCCTGGTCCTTGCTGAGGATCGACTCGACGACGGTATTGGACGGGCAGTAGGTCGCGAGGCAGCTGCGCCCGCAACAGTAAGCATCTCAGTTCATGTCGTGTGACGAGGGCACGCACCTCGACATCTGCATGATACTCGAGCAGATGCACAGCGTGCGCGACGAAAAGGCCGTCTTCACGCCCGGGCAGTTCCAGCCCATGTCGAAGGCGCTGGAGGAGCAGGTGAAGTACTCGCTGCATAGTGCATGCCCAGTGTAAGCGCCGAGTAGGTACCGTAGGGACCAGACAGGGCAACGGCCTTACCCCTGCATGGAATTGGGCGCGGTGCGCGGGCAGTCGGTGCTGGCGGGGAAGTCGGATATGGCGGAGCTCCATGAGGCAAAGTTGAGACCCGTGTCCGTTTTCTCGTCGGCTTGTTGGGCTAGGGCTGGCCGTCCAGCCAGGCTCAGGGCGAGAAGGGCGAACGAGGTAAGGGGGTGCATTTTGGGGTTCCAGTTGAGGGTCACTGGTGCTAGGGTGATAGCTAGGGTGATAGCTGAGGGAATGGTGGACTTGATCGGAAAGGGATATCAAACTCAAAGCACGGCAGGTGATTATCTGTATCCACGCTGGTGGCTCCTTGGGGATGGAAGCGCCGTCTTAAATGAAGTTCACTGCCTCGTTCACTTCCCCAGAAATTAAAGCACGGCTATCTTTGGAACATTATGGCAGTTGGTTTTTCATCCCAAGAGCTACTAAGCCTTCTTGAATAGTCATGATGTCCAATCAGTTCCGTGGCTTCAAAGTGAAACTCGTGAGACCTCCGAAGGCTGAACGCCGTTGCCCATGACTTGGCAGGACGCGGCGCCGTCAGTGGCTGGACCCATTTGCTCTCGCGATATTATGGAAATGGGTGGATGGCTACCTAGGTAGACCTTCGAGCACTGAACATGTGTTTTGACTCGTCAAGCTGCATCACCATGTCGAATTCTGCGAGTTCAGTCAGAGTCGCTCAGGAGCTATGTTCGAGTCCATCCGATCCGACGGGCGGCATGGAGAGATCACAGGTCTCGTCATAATCTTTGCTTTCACGTTGATTCATTGGCCAGGTGAGATAGTCTCTCAATCGAATCTAGATCTGTTTCTCCGTAAGGTAAACTGCACCGCCTGCTGCCCAGGATGCCAATAACGTGGTCTAGTGTTGAGGAGGTGGAGGTTACGTACTAGAATGGGTAGCACTGCCTCTCGGATCGGTCTAGCCGAACGCCCGATGCTTGGCTCCTCGGCAGTGGGACCAACATTGTACGGACAGCGCTGGTCATGGGGTGATCTGGGCATGAGTCGGATCGCTGCACCGTGCCAACATTAAGGTTCTGGCTCTGTCCAATCCAAAGTGGCTCATGAAGCTTATCGGTCCATGCAAAGCATTTCAGTGGGAGTTCGCCTCGACCCCGCTCGCCACATGCACACTCGTCTTTTTGTCCTTGCATCTTGCATGCGCGCTTCTTGGTCCCTTAGCACGTTTCGTTGGCGGGATGCATTTTTTTCCTCGTAATTACTGCCTCCAATGGGGATGCTTGGGACGTTGAGACAATAGATGAAACAAAGCTTACCAGGTAGGCGCGGATGGGCCAACAAAGGCGCAGCGCTTTGCCCGGACAATGGGCTCTGAGCATGTGCCTTTATAACACCAATGCTGCGCCTGCTGTTTTCTCGAACATCGATGTGTCCCAATTTCGCCAGGTACCAAGTGCACAAACTACAACGCCCTGCCAGAGATTTCAAAGGACTCATGCTCCTTTTGCTATGCTGAACCCTCGAAACAAAACATCCTCTCGTTGAAGCCTGAGTCGTCGTCATTCAAACCCGTCACAATGGACAGTAAAACACTCTCCTCCCGCCTGCGGGAACTGGTCAAGGTGCATCTTTACAATTTGAGAACCCAGCGACCAAACACCGAGTCTAACCCCATTCCCAGTTCCTCGGCACCGTCAAAGGCGACCTCGCCAACGTCACCGGCCCGCCGTCTCTCCTCGCCCCATTATCTGTAGTCGAAGTGGGCCACTGCTGGGCCGAGCGCCCCTCCGTCTTCGCCGCCCCGGCCCTCGAACCCAACCCCTCCAAGCGCGCCCTGCTCGTCCTCCGCTGGTTCCTCACCGCCCTGCGCAGCCAGCTCTACATCGGAGTCGACCACCACCACCGCCACCACCACCGCCAACACCACCACACCACCACCGCCCACAACAACAACAAAACCACCAACCCCAAAACCCAAACAACAGCGGCGGCGGCGCAGCAGCAATCCATACGCAAACCCCTCAACGCCTTCCTGGGCGAGCTCTTCCTCGCCACCTGGACCGACGAGTCCCGCAAGTGCACCACGGAGCTCGTCGCCGAGCAGGTCTCGCACCACCCGCCCATCACGGCCATGCACGTCGTCGACCGCGAGCACGGCGTCCGTGCCGACGGCTACGCCCGCGTCGAAATGTCCTTCAACGGCAGCGTCAACATCCGGCAGGTCGGCCACGCCGTCTTGCGCGTCGATCGGTTTGAGGAGGATTACTTGATTCCGCTGCCGGATGTGAAAGTGAGGGGTTTCTTGTCTGGGTCTTTGTATCCCGAGATTTCGGGGACATATCACATTGTGGGCAGCGGTGGGTTTGTGACGGAGTTGAAGTTTCGCGGGGAGGGGCTCGTGTTTCGGGGGAAGAGGAACGCGTTTGAGGCGAGGGTGTATCACAAGGGAGATGCCTCCAGGAGGGGGTTGTATGAGGTGGCTGGGTGTTGGAGTGAAGGATGGACGGTCAAGGACTGTAGTACCGGGGAGCTGGTTGAGGTGTATGAGGTGGACGCGCCCGAGAATGATCCCGTGCCGATGGATATCGAACCAGTTGACGCGCAGGATCCGTGGGAGTCGAGGCGGGCGTGGGATGGGGTGCTGCGGGGGCTGAGGACGGGGGATATGAGGCTGGCAGTGGACGAGAAGACAAAGATTGAGCAGGCGCAGCGGCAGATGCGGGCTAGCGAGGCCAAAAGGGGAGTGGCCTGGGAACCGCTGTTCTTCCGGTCACGGCCTGGCGAAGAGCACGACGTGTTCCACCGGTTGTCCGAGGGCCTGGGCTGGCAGCTGCACTATGACAAGACCAAGGGTGTGTGGCGGGTGGACGACCACAAGGTGCAGAATATGCAGCGGCCGTTCCGGGGCGACCTGACGCCGTATGGGTACTGATGACTCAGAAGTCACGGTCTTTCGGTCTGCCTGCTGGTATATTTCATCTTTTTTTGTTTCTTCTTATTCTCGATACCTTTTTTCTTTACACACATAGCGTTGGCGTCGGGGTAACCGTTTATAGAGGACTTAAGCTTGTATTAGGAAGGCCCGAGAAGGAGTAGTGAACTCTCATTCAACGGATGAAGGTCATGGCCAATCACTACTATCACCGAATCGTTAATCTTGCGACACGTCAACCAATCCAAGAGGGAAACAGAAATTTGCGACACTAACTACTGATCCGAAATACCGTAAGTCAACAAGGAATCTAACACAGTAGCCGATGCGGGCAGAAACCCTAACCCGCTCTCCGTCAGTTCCCCAGTATTGAACAAACACCGCGTTCCTTTTCAACGGAATTGGTTTGTACCCGTTTTACGCAAGAACCCGTGATCAGAAAGTCAACTAATTTCTTGAATATCTGCGGGCTTCATCAGGTTGAGATTCTGTCAAACCGGCAACAGGCCAGCGTCTGCGTTATCTCTTACGATAATTATGCCTTGGCGACCCAGCTGTGCGAAATGCCGATTCGCGGTAATCATCGGCCGTACATGGCGGAACGGGCCGAGTTCACAGTGGAGGGGGTGAAGATCAACTATTTATGAACTGGGCGCCCGTCGCCGCGTAGAACGACATTTGACACGCGTATTCCCATTTCGCCCGAAGAGCAGACGGTTGGACTTACCGAGAGAGAGGCGTGGGGAGCGCGGCAAGATGAGGGGACATCAGCTCACGTCCGTTCTGTCGGAATGCCTCTCTCGGAGAACCACTTGGCTGCAGGCGCGGCGATGGCCTTTGCATTATCAAGTCAGACGGTCATCAAGCATGGCATCTAGCGCAGGAACTGGCGGCTCCTCACGTGGCCGGAGTTGGAATGCCGCAGCCGCGGGTGCAGTAAGAGCAGTCGGCTTCGGCGCTGGGGCGTTGTTCACGAGAACCAGTACTAGCAGCGGAGATGCCAGGCAGAAAGGGGACGACGCCGACACACCATCCTACGCCAACCGGGACGAGATTCTGCACACCGCCGAGGAGATTGCCAGCGTGCTGGGCCAGGACGCAGTCTGCTACGACGACGACGTGCTCGAACATCACGGCCACTCCGACTAGTCCACCTCCAACACGCCTGAGCGCGCCGTCGCAGTTGTCTACCCCAAGACCACCGAGGACGTGTCGGCCATCGCCCGCATCTGCAACCGCCGCAGCGTCCCCATGGTGCCCTTTGGCGCCGGGTCCAGCATCGAGGGCAACTTCTCGCAGCCACACTCGGGCATCTGCATCAACTTTTCCAACATGGACAAAATTCTCGCCTTCCACCCAGACGACATGGATGTCGTGGTGCAACCGGGCGTCAACTGGGTCGACCTCAACAATCACATCGCCAGCAGCGGCCTCTTCGCGCCCATGGACCCGTCTCCGACTGCCACCGTCGGCGGCATGGTATCAACCAACTGCTCCGGCACCAACGCCTTCCGCTACGGCACCATGAAAGACTGGGTCCTCAACCTGACCGTCGTGCTGGCCGACGGCACCGTCATCAAGACCCGCCGCCGCCCGCGCAAGACCTCGGCCGGCTACAACCTGACCTCACTCTTTGTCGGCGCCGAAGGCACGCTGGGCGTCGTGACCGAAGCCACCCTCAAGCTCGCCCCCATCCCGCAGGCCACCTCAGTTGCCGTCGTTCCCTTCCCCACCATCCATGCCGCCGCCGCCGCAGCAACCGCCCTCATCCGCTCGGGCATCCAGCTCGCCGCGCTCGAGATAATGGACGACCGGCAAATGGCCATCCTCAACTCGCACGGCAGCCCGACGGTGCGCAAACGCCATTGGGCCGAACAACCCACCCTCTTCCTCAAATTCTCCGGCACGACCGAGTCCGTCCAATCCGACATCGCCCGCACCTCCTCTCTACTACACACCCTCACCACCACCACCACCACCACTACTTCCGACAAGTCCGAACCACCACCCCCCTTCCACTTCGCCCGCACAAAGCAAGAAGAGCACGACCTCTGGGCAGCACGCAAGGAATTCCTCTTCACCATGACCAGCCTCTTGCCGGAAAACCACCGGATGTGGTCGACCGACGTAGCTGTGCCCATCTCGCGGCTCGCAGAGCTGATCACCTGGTCCGAGGAACAATGCAGCTCACTCGGCGTCTTCGCCAGCGTGATCGGCCACGTGGGAGACGGCACTTCCACGTGGCCATGATGTACGATCCGCACGACGCGCGGCAGACGGCGGCCTTGGCGGGGTGCGTGCACGAGATGATGAAGCGGGCGCTGGACTTGGAGGGGACCGTGTCTGGGGAGCATGCGATTGGGATTGGCAAGAAGGTGTGTCTTGTGCAGGAGCTTGGGGAGGATACGGTTGAGGTGATGAGGAGGTTGAAGAGGGCGGTTGATCCGAAGTGGGTCATGAATCCTGGCAAGGTGTTTGACTACCGGTAGCCTGTCACTGATGGTGAGGCGGCTAAGCCTGCGGTGGCGGGAAGGGAGAAAGGGCTCGGTGGGTTTACTGGATTGCGACAATCCAGGCCAGATCACGACGTGGTTTGACAATGCCGGGCCATGAGGGAGGGACATGACCATTCCTGTAGGATCAACGAAATGCACCCAGTTGGGTTCGAAGCCTTGAGTTGGTGGCTCGAGGGCAATCGAGCTGTCTCTTGTCCGGTGCGTGACAGGGTTCTGTCGCGGACAGGGTGCAGAGGGTGCAAAGTACACTGCATGGTATTGATATTAGGAATAGGGCGTACTAGGTATCCTGAAAGCTGCGGATATAGGCCAAGAACAGGAACCAGCCGTTACTCAGGGCAAGGCCAGAGTCAAAGTCGAGCGAGGCCACTCCGCCCATCAACCGCAGCCCCCAACACCTCCCTGGCCATCGCCCGCCCCGCCGCCCTCCCCGAAAAGATGCAACCGCCCAAGAAAGTCCCCTCTAGGGAGCTATACCCGTGCACACCTCCGCCCCCAAACCCGGCCGCCTCGCCCGCCGCATACAGCCCGGGGAACGGCGTCCCATCGGCCCGCATGACGTTACTGTCCAGGTTCGTCTCGATCCCGCCCAGCGTCTTTCTCGTCAGCAAGTTCATCCTGACGGCGATCAAGGGCCCGTGCTTCTCGACGTCGAGCAGCCTGTGCGGCGGAGCAATGCGGCTGCGCTTGTCGGCCCAGTAGGTGCGGGCGCTGTGTATAAGCATGGCCTGGGCGTCCTTGGAGTACGTGTTCATGAACTGGCCGTCGCGCGTCTCGACGACTTCTAAGATCTGCGCGTAGTTGAGCTGCGGCGCGCCGGGGACGGTGGAGACGAGCTCGTTCATGCCCTTGACCAGGTCTTGGAGGTTGTCGCGCACCACGAAGTCGACACCGTGCTGGACGAATTTTTGGACGGGGGTGGTGCCCTTGGAGCTGAGGATACGCTGGTTGAAGAACTGCCAGAGGGATTTGCCGGTGATGTCCGGGTTTTGCTCCGAGCCAGAGAGCGCAAACTCGCGCGCCACGATGCTCTGGTCGGTGATGAACCACGTGTAGTCATATCCCGTGCTGCAGATGTGCTTGAGGGTCGCTAGTGTGTCGCAGCCGGGGTACAGGAAAGGAGGCAGACGCTTGCCGGTGGCGTCGAGCCAAAGGGACGAAGGGGCCGGGAGGACGCGGATGCCGTGGCCCGGCCAGATGGGGTCCCAGTTGGCGAGGCCCTCGGTGTAGTGCCACATCCTGTCGCGGTTGATGATGTTGGCGCCGGCCGTCTCGGCAATGTCGATCATGCGGCCGTCGACGTGCGCGGGCACGCCGATAACGAAGTTGTCTGGCACTTTCGGGCCGAGGCGGTCGACCGGCCAGACTGACTTGACCTTCTCGACGTTGCCGCCAATGCCGCCCGAGGAGACCAGCACGGCAGAGCCATAGATCTCGAACCCGCCAATCACTGTCCTGGATGTCTTGACACCTCTGGGGGAGTCGTCCGGCTCCAGGACCCGGCCCTTGACACCGACGGCGCGTCCGGTCTTCTCGTCGACGATCACCTCGTCGACCATGTGCCGAAACTTGAACTCGACGATGCCCTTCTTTTCAGCCTCCTTGACGGGCTCGGCAAACACGCGGACAACCTCCGGGCCAGTTCCCCACGTCACGTGGAATCTCGGGACCGAGTTGCCGTGCCCGTCCGCCCGCCCATCGCCACGCTCGGCCCAGCCAACGTTGAAGAGGAACCCTATCCCGCGCGCCTTGACGTAGCTCTCCATCTCGTCCGTGGCAAAGTTGACAAAGGCCTCGGCCCACTTGCGCGGCCAGCAGTCCTCTTTCTCGCGGTCGAAGCGGGCCGAGCTGAACCAGTCGCGCATGGCCAGCTCGCGCGAGTCTTTGATGCCCATGCGGCGCTGCTCGGCCGAGTCGACGCAAAAGATGCCGCCCAGCGACCAGAAGGCCTGGCCGCCCAGGCTTCCCGCATTTTCTTGGTCGAGGATGAGGGTCGGCACGTTTTGGCGGGACAGCTCAAAGGCTGCGACGAGGCCTGCGAGGCCCGCGCCGACGATGATGACGGGCTTTTTCTCGGGCTCGGACGCCATCGTATAGTCGAATTGAGTTCAATTGGGTTCAGGGACGAAGGTTCAGGTTGACCGAGCGAGCGTGATGAGGGGGGCGGGGGCTGGTCCTCGAGAATGGAAAGAGTTGAGGGCGACTAACGAGGGAGGGAGTCCGAGTTGCGAGGTTGTTGCAGGTAGGTCTGTTGCTGTTAGTTAGAATGCTCGTTGAGGAATTGGTTGTGGGAACAGGCCCTTTCAAAGTATCGCCATTGTTTGGTGCCAGCCAGCAGCGACGGCTGGGGACCGCAGGTAAGCCGCGGAAAACACTCGGGGGAAGGTGTCTTGTGATGCCCAGCAGTGGTGCCTCGGCTGTCATCACATTGTGGTGCCATCCCCGCACCAGACTGGAAGAGTTGCCTGGTTGGGGCTCGCCAAGGTCGCTTCCCGCTGAGTCTGGTCTGCCCCGCACCGCCCCGGATCTTGGCATTCACTCAAACCTTAACGTTACATTATAGCGGCAGCTCCTCTGACAGACGGCCTTGAGAAATGGTTTCCACGCTGCGGCACAGCTCGACCTCATCCCTTTCACAAGACAAGAAGCTCGTTGATGAGCAACGGAACCATGGAGTCCGCAACATAAAAAAGTTGACCGAATGGTCTGACACTTGTTTTGCTCTGGAATCCAGTTTGTACTCAAGTCGGTCGATCCAATCGTCGCGATGACCCGAGACATACCGCTACCAGGTATGAACGAAGAGCTAAGGCGACTGCATAGCTGGGTTTCTGCAACGCAGCTTTCGGACCTGAAGAATACAAGCCACGGTCGACAGCCGCATGAGGTGCCCAGTATGACTGCCCTCTCTCCGTTTAGCCCTTGGCGCGGGGCAGTGCAGCTGAAGCCTTTATCTTGCTCCTCCCTCGACGGCGTGTGCGCTACCGACCGGTTCCAGTAATTGGAATGGATTGCTTAACATCACGGCAAGCACCACTGCGCTCGCTGCCAACGTCCTGCGATCGGCCGCACACATCAAGAACGCCGCCGACGAGTTCCAGAACGGCCCCAGCGTGGTCCCGACATCGAGCACGAGGTCATGATTGAGCAAACCGCTCTCCGCCAAATTGAGGCAGTCCTTCAGCGGGACGCCCAGGCCATGTCGCGTCTTAGTCTCCAGGATGCCTTTCAATTCCCGGTTGAGTGCTGTCGCGACACCCTGAAACGCATCAGCGATGACTTCGAAGCCTTGTTCAGCCGCCGCGATTGGAAGGTCAAGCTTGCCGTCTCGTGGAAAGGTGGGGAGATACGTATCACTTGCTGGCGACGCTGGACACTAAAAGGGGAGCTTGATGCTCTTAATCTAGGCCTTGAGCTTGTGAGTTGCCATGAGATTCGCATGCGATTGAGGCTCGCTGACGGGCAGCTTCGCCGGTTAGGCACTCCGTCCAAGACCTGCAGGAACTGCTGCAGCAGAACACCAGGACCCTTGAGCTGGCCCGGCTTGGCCTGGATGGCATCGCCCACTCCTAGCCTGCTTACACTTCGAGGGAACTGGACTCAGTGGCCTCGGCTATCGGCTCTGAAGACAGCGTCCTCGGAGACCGGGAGTCGGTGGTCAGCCACACGCGTTTTGACTTCGACAACGTTTGCTTCACAAGCAAACCATGACTACCGCCACACTATGGAGAGGTTTCGATGAAGAATGCTCCAAAGATGACTAAGGAAAACCCCGCTGAAGCCTTTTCCAAGTCGATCGCCTTGCCCTCCGTCACGGAGACTGTCGAAACGACTGCCAGATCTACGGCGACCGATGCTGAGTCTACGGCCCGGTTGGGCGTCACAGCTGAAGAGCACGACGCTGTCGTTAAGGAGCTCCGAAAAGCCGAGGCCCTGATTGAGGTGCTCCAAGACCGGATAAACCAGTCATCCTGCGTCCCGACGAAGGAGCTAGGCCAGCCAACTCCGTTGTTAGTTGAGGAAACGTCCACCTCCGAGGGCAACGCCGGTAAGAACTCTCTCGGCTCTACGGTTGAGCCAAATGGAAAGGAACCCGCTGTGTATGAGTCCATCTACAAGTTCTGCCACCTCCAGAAACAGATGGCGAGGCGAGACCGCAGTCGCCACCGCAGCCGACAAAAGCATGAGCAGGGGCGGCGAGCTTGTACGTGCCGAGCGACTGAGCACCGGCGAGCTGGTGCTGTATGACGAGGAGCTCCAGGTCGTTCAGGCCGTCCTATACCCGTCCGCCGTCCCAGAACCAGGCCTGGATTCCCACGCCGTCCCAGAAGCGCTAGACACCGTCAAGTCTGGCCGCAGGCCAGAGCATTCGTTCCATACGAACTTGCGAATCGAGTATCACGCGCCGGAAAGCAGCAGGGCCGATAAAGCCGAGAACAGACAAACCATTGCCGGGAGTTCTCATTACCTTCAGCACCAACCTTGAAGAAATAGTACTGCCTGGTGACGTCTCGCCTATTCCAGCGTGCTCCTTCATTGATACAACGGGCCCTTCTTCCACTCTTGAGCGGTTTATCATCGAAGCTCGATAAATAAAGCGAAGCAATTTTTTCCTCACTCATTCTATATAAACAGTGTCGTCAGAGCTTGTCATTACCTCTTGGCTTCAATAGTAATAGTCAGCGGGCGTTAGGGGAATATACCATCAGGGTCTTTCACCACAGAGCGCTGGGAAACAGGCTCTGGACAACCTCGGCCGTTGTCTTGACGGCGGCCTGGAAGCCGTCCGGATCTGTGGCGTATCGCAACCTGGTGGCATGGGCACGTTCGACAATCGACGCAAAGGCCGTGCAAAGCCCGCGGCCTGTGACAGGGGAATAATAGAAAAACCGACAGGATCGCTGCCGGGCAGACCTCTCGGCTTCTTCATGCGATACGGATCCTTCGCACATGGCGGCCATGACGGTGGGGAATGGGTTGACACCGTCCTCGAACCGGCTGCTAATGTCCTCGTAACTGGCGATCATCTCATCCCATGACTCAGTGGACGACGTGTCGTAGTTGAGGAAAAGACCAAAGTGATCCGCATCACGGATATATCGATCCCTCAAAGCAGTATAATCTGAAGAAGCTTCAACGAAAATCAACTGATAGGGATATCCAGCACAGAAGTATGTTGGGAGCCAGTCCTCCGTCGTGGGGTTACACATGCGGACGATGTCTTCCCCCGTCTCCTTTTCTAGGAGCTAAAAATCGCAGGGCATCAGCGAGATGCTTTTAAGAATCGTTCTCTTTGGCATTCTGCGCAACCCGGTGACATACAGTGATCAGGCCCTGGCCGTCTGTGGCTCCGTGGGCGTTCTGGATGACGACTAGAATATTCTGCTGAGCAGAACGCCCGGAGAACATGATATGTGGCCTATTCGGATTGATTGGTCGGCGGCGGTCATCCCATTCCATTTGGTGCATCGCGCGAGGACAGTGGACTATGACTGGTATTTCCGGCCGCGGCGTTTTGCCACACCTCTCGGCCTTTCGGAACCATTTCACGAACTTGGGCATGGCGACTGGGTTTTGACGAAATGGCGGGATTTGAAGCCGGAGCGTAAGCGGGCAGAGAGTTGGGATGGTATGATTTGTTGGCTCAACCTGGATTTGGAATAAGCTGGACATGTCGTCGAACGTTTGTAAGCTTTCTGGTCCTTTCCCTTGCGTGTAAGCGTTGTTCGAGGTTCAGGCGATGATGACAAAGGACCGCGTGCTGGATTCAGACCTGGCCTTACTGGTCATCTGCGCAGCACGTGCAAACCACGCGCATCAAGCCAGTCCTTCTTCATCCCGTCCCCGAACATTGGTTCAGTTGGCGCGTCCAAATCATGGCCCTGGATGGGATAGAGCCTTGGCGTATCTCGCTCCACTGTTTGGACGTGTGGGGCCATGTGGCGGGGCCTTTGTGCCCATACTCTGGTATAATGGAGCTTGTTGGCAACTTTAACTGAGGTGTCCAATTCGAAAGGCGGGGTTCAACGGTTCCATGTCAACGCAGGGAATGGTAACCTTCTCTCTCCCTCCTCGATCCAAGAGGCAGGCCAAGCACAATTCTAAGATGATGACCGAGATCGAGATCTTAAGAGAATTCCAATCTAATAAGATCACAGATGTAGTGCTCAACGAGGCACCGCAGTTCTTCAGTGATTACTATGGAGCTGGAACACGCCTCGCGGTACGCCAGCCTGGCTTGATCCAAGCCTGACCACTTTCCTTTCTTCTTCTGTTTTCTCCTGTTCAGGTCAAGGAAAGGAAGTACTTTCCCGACCGGGTTATCTAGAACGGACAAGCAAAACGGCGGATCGATCATCGATCGTCGGAGCCTGCAAGACAATGCAACAGCAACAACAATGGCGCCTCCACAAACAACAAGGGGCGGCGCCAATCCACAAAGCACGCTGCCTGCCGAGCACATGGCCAGACAGCTCTCAGGCTGTTCTCCGACATTTCACATGAGCGGCCAACTAAAATTATGTGGCGTCATTAACGACTCATGTCGGGAGTCGGGACCGACCCCGCGGTTCTGCGCTTTGACTGCCGAGCCGCTGGGGTGAATAGCGCATTCCGGGCCCCGACTTCCTGGTCCGGGGCCGTTGAAGCTTCGGCTTGGTAGCCTTCGTTTCGATGGATCCTTTGGCCGAACGTGGAAGTGATCACCAAGTTAGGTTATTGTTCTCGTCAGCCCGATGCTAGCGCCTATTTAAGCTCTCACCGGACCCTGGATCATGGATCGAGCGATGAGGAGGTCCTCGTGTTCACTTACCTGTTTTCGAAGATTTGAGCAGCTGGTCCTGAAACGCTTTACTCATTGCTTAATGAGCTGACGGCCGAGCGCCGTTGATCATCAGTCGTCTTCAGCATATCCGCGGCTGACTGTGGCTTGGCTGGGATACCATTTGATCCAGTCGAGCGCCATGCAGATTCGCCGCCCACAGGGGCTTCAGAACAGCGTTTGGCCTACCATATACAAGTTTCCCATGATGTCCTCGTCCTTGGACCTGCCCGACACATCTTGTCCTGCCCTGAAGCTCTCAATTTGAGTCGACCGTCTCTCGGCCGGATGTTCTCAACGCACCAGTTCGAGGGGCATCGATTATTACCATGGCGCCAGCGGACTACGGCAACTCGGCGGGCAACGCGCCCGAGGGCGCGGCGCTGACAATAATCATCGCCTTTCTCACCCTGTCGTTCTACAATGTTATTGAGCTTACCTGCATCATCTTGGCGACCTTCAAGCGCCGCAGCGGCCTCTACTTCTGGAGCTTCGTGGTCGCGACCTGGGCCATCGCGGTCTACTGTGCGGGATTCCTCATCAAGGCGGTGAGACCAGAAACCCCCGGCTGGGCATACATGTCGTTGGTCGTGCCCGGATGGTGCTGCATGGTCACGGGCCAGTCAGTCGTCCTGTACTCGCGCCTGCACATCGTCATGCGCAACCCGTCGCGCCTGCGGCTGGTGCTCATCATGATCATCACCAACGCCATCATCGGCCACGTCCCTACGGGCGTCTTCGCCTACGGCGCCAACTCGCCCAACCCAGAGCCCTTCATCATCCCCTACTCCATCTACGAACGGATCCAGGTGACGCTCTTCTTCCTGCAGGAGATCATCATCTCGGCGCTGTACATCCACGAAACGATCGGGCTCATGCGCGTCCGCCGACGCGCCAACATGGACAGCGGCCGCCGGGGAGCCGGCAAGCGGGGCTTGCTCATGGCGCACCTCGTCGTCGTCAACATCCTCATCGTTGTCCTGGATATCACCATCCTCGGGCTCGAGTACGCTGGCCTGTACGCCGTCCAGACGGCCTACAAGGGCTTCGTCTACAGCGTCAAGCTCAAGCTTGAGTTCAGCATCCTCAACCGCCTCGTCGAGATGACCCAGGGCGGGTCGTCGTCTGGCCACGAGAGCTCGTACGCCCGCACGGCAGCCGACATGAGTGGCGTGCAGATGGAGAAGCTGGACGGGGATAAGGAGAGGAAAAACAAGAATAGGAGGTCGATAGCGACGGCCGACGTCAACAACTTGGGGAATAATGTCTTTGTGGGCGTGGGCGCCGGCGGCCCCGCGGCAGTCACGGAGGAGGGCAAGCACAACGGCGCGTTGGTGGTCATGACGACCGAAGTCACCATCCAGCGGGATAGGCTTTATTTGGAGTCGGACATCGAGGCCGATCGGGAGAGCCTCGGGGGCAGGTCCGGCGTCACGGTGGACTCGACCGTCGAGGGTGAGTTGGGGCAGACGCGGACACCGTCACACTCGTCTCAGCGGCACATTGTCGACGCGCGGTACTCGTGACAGTCCTCAGTGTGTCTGCCAACTTGCCGCTGTTAATGTTTTCTGTGGAGCTCAGCACACTTCTGAGTGGTTTCCTGTAACTTACACGGATAAGAAAGACGTCAGGTACTTTGGTCAGTGGTGGTTGAAGGCCCGTGTCTAGACAGGCAATCGCGAAACAGAAGTCACAGATTGGAAACAGGCAGGTTCAGGTATTGTCCGTGACTTGGTGGGGCTTGGATGGGGATTGAATAGGTAGTGTTAATGATGGGTAGGATAACTACATGTATCCAGAGGTAGCCTAAGAGCGGCAACCATCGAATCTTGGTCTCGTCCCTTGACTTGATGCTCGATAGAAGGCACGGTGACAATGGCTATGATATGCCAGTATGGCAGGGGGTTTTCCACCTGGAGCACTGCACGCCCCCAGTCGGTTGCGATGCCATGATGATCTAAATATTACTGGACGGTGTCGTCCCCTCTACCTCTGTCCATCTGTTCGCAGCATCGACGCCACCCTGCCTTGATACCCGGTCATCATGAGGGCGCCGCTTGCTACTCTCGCTCCGCTACTAGCATGCGGCGCGAGTCTCGCCGAAGCCAAGTCCGTGCGTGTTTGTTCATTTCATGGTAAGTTATCACACCAACCAGCGCTATTGTCGCCCTCGAGACTAATCACTAATGACGCTGGCACAGGTGGGCGACACCAAGTCGTTTGGCTTGGACGACTGGAAACACGAGATCCAACTTACCAAGGATGCGTACATCGATGCCTTCACGCTGAACATGGCCAAGGATGACGCCACCAACGACGTCGCCCCGCCCTTGGCCTTCAGCGCGGCCGAAGCCCTGGGCTTCGGGCTCTTTTTTTCTTTTGATTATGACGGCAACGGCCGTGGGACAAGCCGGTCGTCACTGACATGATCAAGAAGTACTGGCGCAGCACTGCCTACTACGAGGAGGGCCTGAAACTATTCGTCTCGACTTTTGAAGGCCCCCGCAACGCCATGAACTGGCAGGATATCAAGAGGGCAATAACTGCTTCTTCATTTACCACTGGTCATCTGTCGGTGCTGTCACGGGTCGTGACAGTGTGAGGTTCATGTGCGCAGATCCTGCAACGACTAACAGTTCGAACCACCGTCCCTCTTTTTAGGGTGTTACGCAGTGGTCAGTTGCGCCCACCCGTGACAGGTGCCTAGCCTGCTGTCTAACTGGGCAACGGCGTTGCCGATGGCCTGTTCAGCTGGGACTCCTGGCTCAGGGGCCTGCTAACATGACAATCCGCCCCAACGCCTCGTACTACGACTTTCTTAGTCCAAAGCGCTATGCGATGCCTGGCTCTCCGTGGTTCCACACCAACCTTCTAGGCTCGGCAAGGATTGGCTGTGGCGCGGCGATGATTGTGGATCTAGCGCTGGCAACAGGTCATCTCCCTTGACCGCCAGCCCGACTATATTCAGATCATCGCGTGAAGCGATTATGGCGAGTCTTACTATATTATTATTCCTACACCGCTGTGCCCTAG